AGCGGTTATCAGCTCTTCTAGTATTTTTGTGTTACTAGATTCAGCAGCGTAATGCAAAGCTGTTTTGCCATCATTATCTCGTATTTGAAGGAAATTACTAACAGCCTGCTGCTGCGATTCAGCTAACTTTCTTTGATCTATCCTTAGCCCTTGCATACATTCTTTTTCTCCATTTCTTGTTCTTCTTATTTTCTGTATTTCTTCCTCGTGCGCTATAGTGTCTTCGAGTTCTATACATTTTTGCGGCCTTATAGCGGTTATCAGCTCTTCTAGTATTTTTGTGTTACTAGATTCAGCAGCGTAATGCAAAGCTGTTTTGCCATCATTATCTCGTATTTGAAGGAAATTACTAACTGCCTGCTGCTGCGATTCAGCTAACTTTCTTTGATTTACCCTTAGCCCTTGCATATGTTCTTTTTCTCCATTTCTTGTTCTTCTTATTTTCTGTATTTCTTCCTCCTGCGCTATAGTGTCTTCGAGTTCTATACATTTTTGCGGCCTTATTGCGGTTATCAGCTCTTCTACTATTTTTGTGTTACTAGATTCAGCAGCGTAATGCAAAGCTGTTTTGCCATCATCATTTTGTATAAGAAGGAAATTACTAACTGCCTGCTGCTGTGATTCAACTAACCTTCTTTGATCTATCCATGGCCCTGGAATATATTCTTTTTCTCTATTTCTTATTCCTTTTAACAACTCGCCAACTATTTCTACATTCTTTCTAGCAACATAGTGCAAAGCTGTGTTGTCATCTCTATCTTTCATAAGTATTCTTGCTCCTCTATCTATCAACGTTTTAACTATTTTCACATAGGCACTCTCGGATGCGTAATGCAAAGCCGTTTTGCCTCTACAGGCTCGAAAATTCACTGGAGCACCATATTTTAACATCAGTTCAACAATCTCCTCATTACCTCTTTCTACAGCATGGTGTAGAGCTAATTTTCTGCAATCGCTTTTAGCGTTTAGAATAAATTTTAAATCATCATAATTTTCTGCAGCTTCTAAAATTTTCCGAACCATTATCATATTATTTTCTTGAGCAAAAAAAATAAAAAAATGTTGTGTTTTGCTATCTTTAAAATCTATTTCTGCACCACTATTAATAAGAAATTCAACTAATTCTGCATCTACGATTTCAAAGTCATCATCAAAACCGCCGTTCGGGTATAATTCTATATTATATAAGGGGGTCTTACCATTATTTTGTTTAATATTTACCTCAGCTCCATTATCTACAAGTAGTTTAGCTATATCAAATTGTCCTTGCTTAGCTGCATAAAGTAAAGGAGTTGTGCCATCGTCATTACTAATATTTGCATCCGCTCCGCTTTCTATAAGGAGCCTGGCTATATTAAAATTGTTTTGTGAAACCGCAATAAACAAAAGTGTAAAACAAAATCCAGGTGAAGTAAAAGTGAATGGTAAATGAATATTGTAATTATCTTGAAATTTAATATTTGTATCTGCACCATGCTTTGTAAGCAGTTTAACTATTTCTTCGTTTTTACTTATTACTGCATAAGATAAAGCTGAATGATGATCATGATCTTGTATATTTACCAAAGCTGAACAAATATCACGATCTTGATTATCTACCATAGTGGCATGTTCTAAAAGTAGGTTAACAATATCTTCATTGTTCTTTTTAGTAGCGTGATGCAAAAGAGTTTTTCCATCATTATCTTGAGCTTTTAGTAAGTGTAATAAATATCCTTGATTTTTTAAATGTGTTATATGTTCTTGATTTTCGCAGACTAAAGAATCATCTTCTAAGTTTGTAATTTTATCCTGATCCTGATAGGCAGCCTGAATATCTCGATTCACGGATTCAGTATAGCTTCCATTTTCATTTTGAAGCAATGTGGAAGCTTTTGTTTCTTTCTGAAGCAATCTGGCGGCTCTTAGTGTTTTTATCCTTGCAGTTTCTTCTCTACTTCTCCAAGCCATTTGTGCTAGATTATCCAACAATCTTGGATTCTGTATAGCTTGTAAAATGGTTTCCAAGATGGCTAAATTATTTTTTTTAACAAGCTTAGCCATAAAAGACATATGCGAGTGTTCTTCAGCCGTTGTAGTGATTGTACTAATGACAAATGGATCATATTGAATTCTTAAGAAAAATTTTTTGTCACCATTCTTTACTGCTTGCCTCCAGACTTTAGCAAATTTTTTCCCACTTGAATATTTTAAGCTTTTTGGCCCCGCTTGAGTTGAATTGCTTGACTGCGATAGTCTTCTTGTATCCATTTTAATTTTACCTCTATATCCAACCATACTTGACTCGGTTATAAGTACTTTAACTTTTATAGCTATATTTGCGCTTTAAACTAGAAAAAAGTATGCACCCTCATGGACTACTATCTTGATGTATCTGAAGATAGATATACATAACCAGGGACTTCATGAATTCATAATAAATTATCAAGTTGCACAGTACTGTCTAATACAGCATAGTGTTAGCTTTCGGTAAAGGTTAAACTCAAGCAGACTCTCTCGACGCATATATAGGAAAGCAACAACTACGCCTATTTACGGTCTAGGCTTGATTAGAGGTCGTTAACAAACATGACAAATCTAGTAATTAAGCTTTAATCATAGAATATCTTAAAAGGAGCATAAAAAAATCTGATCTTGAGTCGCTTGTTGCAATGGCAAAGTAGAAGTACACAATTTGAAGATAGCCTTACGCGCTTACGTAAAGAAATAACAGCATAGATTCCTCATCAGACTTAAAGCTATGCATATGATTAACCAATGTTATATAACATAACATATAACTATTATCCTTGTCATACAAGATTATCAGATATGACTATGCTACTGTAATAAAGTTACCAAATCAACATAAATACGTAGTTCTTCAACATAATACTTTGTTATATCAAATCTGAAAAGGCATAAATAGTTGATGTTTGGTAAATTGTAAAGAAGATGGTGAATTAGTTATTCTTAGTAGAAGCGGCTATTAAGTTATGGAAATGGTAACCATACTATTTAGTGACGTAAGACTTTAATTAAGGAAGAAGGCAATAGTTTCTTCCATTTAAATTGTGACGAAACGAGTATTTATTATGAATTTTTCAAGAGCTAGTGATGATCTGTTTACGATCTTGACTTTACATCTTACAATGGCGATCGTGGTAATTAATCTTGTATCGCTGGAGAACGATACTGATGGATACTGTTTGGCTCGGATTTGTATGAAAGAATGATCGGATAGCTTTAGCTTAGGGAATAAAAAGTTTACTACGTATCGCAACAGTTACTATTTGCAGTACTTTTTTATGTCGACCTGTAATTAAAGTGTCTCACAATAACTGTCTTAGTCAATGCTAGATTTTAAAAGGCTTTCATTTCAAGGTTTTAGGAATAGTAGAGCAATAATTGATTACTGCAAGAATCTAGTCTAAAATATAAAGTATTCCAAGCTCAGAGTGAAGTGAAGTCTCTTCTCCCTTATGAGCTCATCTCTGCAGTTCTTAAATGTATTTCGCTAAATCCATTTACGACAACTTGATTAGTCTGCAATCAGACATAAATCATCAAATGAAATAATTTTTCTTAAATAGAACCTCATCAGTACAAACTCCCGTCGCTATGCTGACGGATTACATTGTTATAATATCAAAAACTCCCGTCGCTTTGCTGACGGATTATGCTTTTATAATATTATACTTATAGAATATTGTTTTACAATAATACTTCAAACGTGACTCGGCCTTGCGTTGCTATGCAAACGGATTACGTTGTTATAATTATACAAACTCCCGTTGCTTTGCTGACGGATTATGTTCTTATAATATTATACTTTTAGAATATTATTTTACGATAATACTAATATTAGTTATCAACAATTTCGAATAGAGTAGTTATCAATCATCTAATATTAGCTTCACGAAAATATGTATTCTTAGTAACTTGACTATATCAAATACAGCAATCCACATAATCAAATATGGGGTGCGTCGCTCCACGACTAAACCACAAGGAATCGCAAAAATAGATTGATACATAAAATCTAGCACAATTACGTTGTACAAGATGACTAAAGTTATGGTGATTTTATCAGTCCTTGATCAAAAAGATGACATCTTATGGATAGCGAAAAGTCTGATCAATTGTGATTTACGGTGCTATACTGAACGTAGCCGGGATAGGAATCTAGGCGACGAATGTTACTTTGTACTATCTTTCATTAGTCTCCGATTAATTACCAGCATTAAGGGTTTTATTTCCATCATGTTACTAACTAGACAACCTATTAATTAAAAGATTACAGTAAATTCGAGTACTTAAAAACACTAATTAAAATCGACTGCACTGCGTGATAGTTGATCATGAACTTAATATCGAATATAATCAACTAAAATTTGGCGAAGAATAGTTACTGTAGAATAATAAGACTACATTATCACAGCTTAACAAGCTTTATGTTTTCATCGCAAATTTACCGTAATATTTTTGATATTAATTATGCTAATTTACTACTCAGCTGGATCGGATCAAAACCCCATGATAGCATGATAGCTGCGGGATATGCTACCCGCTATTGCTAGATTGTAAAATTTATTACAATAGCGTAGGGTCGTTAATTGTAGTAGCCTTATAATAAATGTTAGACTATAGGCATTTTAGAAGCTGTCATAGCGGGATTCTAGACAATTTATTCTAGTAAGTGCCCTGCAGCGCTTTTAAAATAGACAAAATTCGTAAAATCTACGCATAACGATCGGTAAATCTACGATCCTGATGCACTGATTTAGAAAAATCATTTAAACGATTTCTCGATATTTCATAAAATTGAATACGAAGTGAAATTTTTAGGTATGTTAAAAGCTATAGATGACAATCTTGTAGGTGCATAGCATAAGAATTTTACAGTCAACCAGAAATAGTACTAACGAGGATACAGTATATGTTCCATCATTTCTTCTGCTGCATGCAATTTTACTTGAATTTTATCAAATACAATTAAATACGCGTAAGCTTAATGTAAATTATGCTGCTTTTCTTAAGTGCTTTATCAAATTAGTATTTTAGAGTTGTAATACCAAGCATGTAGCCACAACAAAGTTTAGTTCCTGGTATTAACAGTCTATGTATCAAATTTATCTAAGCCTTCTAAGGGCATAAGCATCATTTTATGCTAGTAGGTTCTTAATTTAAGAACCTTTATTTAGTCATTAAGTTTTAAGATTTTGTCCTTACAAGCAGCAATGTAATACTCGTGCACACTTAATAATTATTTAGTAATCGGTTAATGAGATGTGAAACCTTGTATACCTATTGCTAACGACCTTATCAACAGGCAGTAAATATAGTCGTTCACGTAGCGTATGCTGTACTTTCTAAATTTAGAAGATATGCAACCAATTCCTTATTTCAATAGTCGTCCTTCTACAATCGACAAGTCTTCTTTATTGAACTGGCTGATGCTGAAAAACGCTAATTCAAAATCTATGTTATCCACATCTTGAATTGCATCTATTGCTAAAATATCGAAAATTCTCACTTTTTTATGCTGATAGTTGTCTTTTGCTTTGCTATGTAATAGATTTTGTAGTCTTTGTACCTACAGTACAGAAACGGCATGATGGCGCCGCTGTTAAGATGGCTGGTTATCCTGTATTTAGTAGGCTTATCTTTGCAAGAAGGTCAGTAAGGATCAATTTGATACAGAATGAAATGTGATATCCCACCCACCCAACCTTTTAAACGAGCAGCGCGGGGGGCATTTATACTACTGATAGATAGCTGTGATTATGGGTTCATTTCAATAGGTCAGTATAAGATTCTTACAGTACCTTAACCTCAAGATTTCTTCATGTAAAACAAATAGCTGTAAGGTAGTCATTTCTGCAGAGTACTGATTTTTAAAACAGTATTCGTTATATCGCTAAGGGTGGCCTTTGGGCCTTTCAATTTTGATTTGATGCAATACTCTGATGAAAATTGAATGAACATACAATCTTTATAGAGTTTTCTACACAGTCATTTTGATTGTTACATTTTCTTATAACGGTTGTTATCGACAGAGCAAGCTTTGCTTGCATACGCAAGCGATCCTTAGACACATTATAATGATAGGCATCGCGACTAAATAGTTAAGATATTATATTAGCTATAGACAAAAAATAAAATTATTTGTTCTTGAAATAATTATGTCATCGTACAATAAATGTAAGTTAACATCGTACTGAAATCCTTAATTATCCTCTAGACCAAAAATTCTTTAATTTCAATCCTTTGAGAACCATGATACCATACTCTAGACCCTCATCGTGCAAAGCACTGATTTGAAGATGGCCAATGGAAAAGTTAATACATAATCAATTCTATTTACCGTATTTACTTATACAGTACACATTAATTAATAGTATGGCCTGCAAATAAATTTATTTTTAGAATACGAGTTTATTTATAATATCGTATCTATGCTTATAATACTTTACTATGGCACGACTCAACAACTGAGAATTGATGTTTGTTCTGTACGTATTTAGTGTGAAATCGATTGAATACGTTACCATCTTCATACCATATATAGATAGAAATAGTATATTGCGTAAGAAATGTCGCAGAATTTTTTTTCTGGCGAAATAGTTTACTGATAAGTTTAAGTTCGGTTGGGTATAAAATTTCAGTATCGTGATTGCAATTTTCCTTCTAATGATGCATCCGCTACCTTTTCATTACGATTTTGTTCATCACTGGAGTAGTAAATACGATATCTCACACAGTTGATTTTAGCCGTGCTACGCTGTTCTCGAGGGATATTGGGCCTTTTCATTTGGAACGTTGAAGGGATACTGTATGCGGTATAGTGCATTGTACTGTATGTATACGCGTATGTTGCTTAATTCTTCACGGTCGCTCGTATGGTGACATATAGTATTTTAGTATCGTATATCGTGTATATAGTTTATGATATTACCAAGAGTTATATTAATACATACAAAACTGAATTACATCGACTTGTTTAGCTATGCTGTAACTGATGATGTCTTTACGATATGTGTAGTAGTTAATTAACTGAGATATCAATGTTATTATGTTTACTAGATTCGAAAGTTGAGAAAAGTTCGGGACGAGAGTTTTTTATAGGTTTTCTAAAACTGAGTGCCACCCAAGCACAATATATCACCATAACAAGTTATAATAAGCCAGCTGTTGTCAATGTTACAAATAAGTTTGATAATACAGCTGACGAATACACTATTGCATCGTATGAATCAAAAACACTAATATTCGCAACTACTATGAATATTGTTGCAAGTGATTTGACTTCTAAAATCGTGCATATCGTCTCAGATGAAGATATAACAGTTAGTAGTTTTTATATCTTTAATTCTGCATTGGCTTCAACATTAGTTTTACCGAGTCATCTATACGATAAGGATTATGTCGTCGCTGCGTATATTCCATATTATTCCATCAAACTATTAATAATCGCTAAGTACGCCGACACACATCTTAATATCAGTTTCCCAGCGAGTATTGACTATTCTGGTGAATATTATTCAAGAAGTAGAAACTTATCTATTACTTTACAATCTTCGCAAGGATTTCATTTAAGAGCGGGCAGAGACATATCTGGCGCTATTATCTATTCCGATAAAGATGTTGGAGTCTTGACTGGTAATACATGTGCATATATACCTAAAGGTACGGATAGATGTGATAGTATACAAGAATTTCATTTACCTATTACACGTCTTGGTAAGAACTATATTATATCGACGTTCGCTGATAGAACAGCTGGTGATGTATATCGTGTTGTCGGCGGTCATGATAATACGACAGTAAGTGTCAAAGTAACGTCTCAAAATTATCAACTGTCTCGAGGAGATTTTGTAGAATTTGAGTTAAACAGCGGTAATAGTTCGTATGTTACATGCGATAAGCCATGCTTAGTTACTCAATTCGCGAAAGGAAGCCAAGCAGATAATACTAAAAGCGATCCATTCATGACATTTGTACCAGCAATAGAACAATACAGTCGAGATTACAATACATTCTTGCCGTCTGCTCTTACAAATGTACGAGCTGATCGAAATTATGCGTTGATTACTATACAAGACAAATATAAGAACGGATTGATGCTAAACGGAGTAATACTACAAGGTATTACCTGGCGACAAATCCTTACAAATACTGTTAGCGAAACTTATGTTACTGCATCTGTTCCTGTTACAATTGGCGGAATAAGAATAACTCATAACGATTCTAACGCGTTATACGGATTAATTTACTACGGCTGGAGTCAAAATCTCGCGGGATACGGTCACTTAGGCGGTATACGAATTGTTAAAGTCTATCCATGTAAGTTACTATCATAAAATACAAGTATATAAGTGTTAATAATAACATTGTAGTTTTAGAATAAAACTTGATTATTCTCCACAAGAAACGATTCAAACTTGTACTTGACGATAACACATTGTAGTATAACTAATTACAGAAAGAGAACCATACAAAAAACTTACAGAAAGAAATGATTGCCTTATTGTTATTAGTCGATATCTACTATGCACATATCGTATTAAGTAACTTGGGTATAATTTCAAATTTTGACGGACTATAGATGCGCCGCGAATCATTGAACAATCCTCAAACATATCTGTGTATGAAGGTAACATGACGGTATTAGAGTGTAACGCGACAAGCTCGCCGATATCTACTATTACTTGGTTAAAAGATGGAATTCCTGTTATAAACTATGAGAATACGACAATAGTCGAAGGTTTCTATATTTATAGTCGTTTAGTTATTACAGAAACGTTTATACACGATATGGGGAATTATCAATGCGAATACGTTAACACAGTTGGATCAACAAGAAGTAATAACACATCGATAAAAGTGATCGGTGAGTCTATATTATTTATGTATAGTCTCGATATTCTTATTGTACTCTATAAACTTATTACATACTGTACATTGAATAGTGTAATTAAGTTATTGTTATCTATCTAATTTGAATATAGTATATCCTGTAATTACGCAACATCCACAAAACGCCGACGTTATCTATGGCAACACTCTGATTTTACATTGCAATGGAAAAAGTAATCCGATATCTAGCATTACGTGGCTCAAAAACGGATATCCGATATCGAATTACGATAATGTTACATCGATTGATAACATTTACATATATAGTCGTATCACTGTTAGAGAAGCAACTGTACGCGATAGAGGATTCTATCAATGTCGTTATAGAAATACAGAAGGAACGGCTATAAGTAAAGATGCAATTGTGACTGTTTACGGTAAGTACTGTATAATGCATAGAATCATAGTTTAGATATTTCTAGTTACAGTAAAAATTATAATTGTTAAAACGATATTTTAAAGTAGCTATAACAAATATAGTTACAATACTTTTGTAACTGATAACTGGTTTACATGATTTCCTAAACAATACTATAATTGATACCTTGTACTTAATAATACTGCATATAAATCAATACTACATAAACACAAAGTTTAGTTTCGAGATTGAAACTCAGTGTTACAGTATCATAAGCCAGCTATGTAACAAGATAACGCAAAGGTTAACTTGTACAAATAGAGACAATAGTTTATGAGCTTATAACTTTACATCAGATAAAGCTAGCGAGCTGATTTTACTCAACTATCTGTCGGGCTTATATATATGTTATATATGTTATACACGTCGACAGCGGCTAACATTGATAAATCATCTTACAATAATACTCATAGACATACACATGTATCAATTGTTATTACCTAATCAGACTACATTATGTCTATTCACAGAACTATTTCAGTACACTTTCGATCTACTTTTAGCTAGAACTACGACTACAAGAGCTTGTAGTATAAACAATTATTATATAAGAATAACTATTACACGCCATCATATTGTAACGTCAGTGATTCCTAGTGTGAGTAATTGTGATCACTATATGTAAATATTAAACTCGCTAAACTTGGTTACTTAACTCTTCACAGTCGCTCGTACAGTGACATGTAGTATTTTAGTATCGTATATCGTGTATATAGTTTATGATATTACCAAGAGTTATATTAATACATATAATACTTAATTACATCAACTTGTTTAGCTATGCTGTAACTGATGATGTCTTTACGATAGAGTATATTATTGTTTATATAAATATTTATGTAATATTATAACGACAAGTTTGTTAAATTTAAATATAATAGAGATAGTACTGGTGATAAGATTACAATGTACTGTGTAGTAGTTAATTAACTAAGATATGTATGTTCTTATGTTTACTAGATTCGAAAGTTGAGAAAAGTTCGGGACGAGAGTTTTTTGTGGGTTATCCAAGAATGAATACCAGGCAATCATATTATCTTACCATAACAAGTTATAATAAGCCAGCTGTTGTCAATGTTACAAATAAGTTTCTTAATACGGTTAATGAATACACTATTGCATCGTATGAATCAAAAACACTAACAATCGCAAGTACTATACTTATTTTTAATTCTGAATTGACTTCTAAAATCTTTCATATCGTCTCAGATGAAGATATAACAGTTAGTAGTTTTTATATAGATTATCCTGAAATGGCTTCAACATTAGTTTTACCGAGTCATCTATACGATAAGAATTATGTTGTCGCTGCGTATAAACCATACTCTAATATCAAACTATTAATAATCGCTAAGTACGCCGACACACATCTTAATATCAGTTTCCCAGTGAGTGTTTACTATTCTGGTCAATATTATTCAAGAAGTAGAAATTTATCTATTACTTTACAATCTTCGCAAGGATTTCATTTAAAAGCGACAACAGACATATCTGGCGCTATTGTCTATTCCGATAAAGATGTTGGAGTTTTGACTGGTAATGAATGTACACGTATATTTAGTAGTGTGGGAAGCTGTAGTAGTATACAAGAATTTCATTTACCTATTACACGTCTTGGTAAAAACTATATTATATCGACATTCGCTGATAGAACAGCTGGTGATGTATATCGTGTTGTCGGCGGTCATGATAATACGACAGTAAGTGTTAAAGTAACATCTCAAAATTATCAACTGTCTCGAGGAGATTTTGTAGAATTTGAGTTAAACAGCGGTGATAGTTCGTATGTTACATGCGATAAGCCATGCTTAGTTATTCAATTCGCGAAAGGAGGCCAAGTAGATAATACTAAAAGCGATCCATTCATGACAATTGTACCAGCAATAGAACAATATAGTCGAGATTACAATATATTCTTGCCGTCTGCTCTTACAAATATAGGAACTGATCGAAATTATGCGTTGATTACTATACAAAACAAATATAAGAACGGATTGATGCTAAACGGAGTAATACTACAAGGTATTACATGGCGACAAATCCTTACAAATACTGTTAACGAAACTTATGTTGCTGCATCTGTTCCTGTTACAATTGGCGGAATAAGAATAACTCATAACGATTCTAACGCATTATACGGATTAATTAACTACGGCTGGAGTCAAAATAGCGCGGGATACGGTCACTTAGGCGGTATACGAATTGTTAGAATCTATCCATGTAAGTTACTATCATAAAATACAAGTATATAAGCGTTAATAATAATATTGTAATTTTAGAATAAAACTTGATTATTCTCCATAAGAAATGATTCAAACTTGTACTTGACGATAACATATTGTAGCATAATTAATTACAGAAAGAGAATCATACAAAAAACTTACAGAAACAAATGATTGCCTTATTGTTGTTAATCGATATCTACTATGCACATATCGTATTAATTTGGGTATAATTTTAAATTTTGACGGACTATAGATGCGCCGCGAATCATTGAACAATCCTCAAACATATCTGTGTATGAAGGTAACACGACGGTATTAGAGTGTAACGCGACAAGCTCGCCGATATCTACTATTACTTGGTTAAAAGATGGAATCCCTGTTATAAACTATGAGAATACGACAATAGTCGAAGGTTTCTATATTTATAGTCGTTTAGTTATTACAGAAACGTTTATACACGATATGGGGAATTATCAATGCGAATACGTTAACACAGTTGGATCGACAAGAAGTAATAACACATCGATAAAAGTGATCGGTGAGTCTATAATTGATGTATGTGAATAAAATAATTTAAATATCACACTATGATATTTTTTAATATAATTATATCGATGAAATTAGAATAAATTTATTACTATTTAGTTTACTCGAGTTGAACTTAGATCGAATGCTTAATGTATGAATTAATTTAGCTCTGCATAAAATAATTATATTTAGGACTACTGGTGTAATATTAAACTATAATCATTCGCAGGTTCATTTACTTATTACAAAATCGAGTCATTTCTCGCTTATCAGACGCTTAAGTCGCTATCGGTATCAGACTTATATAATCTTTCCTTTAGAGACCGAAATATTTCATAACTTAAAGAGTAGTTTTCTTGTTATATAATTACCTAGCTTCAGTATTTAGCTACTATTCTAATTTTTAGATATTAATTTATACGAGAAAAGTATTTAAACACAGTATAAATTAAGATAGGAAAGAAATATTGTAGTGAAATACACTCAGGTGCTGCAAGTGCTATCTTGCATAGTTTGGAAGTATGAATAATGTAAGAATTCTCATGGTAACGGCTTTGAGTAAATATCACTAGTAAGAATAACGACACGCTAATAATTTAAGAAATGTAACTTATTAAAGATAATAGTATCGCATTAATTAATTATTTAATTTAAATTAATGCACTCGTAGATCATGAAGTATCATCGCTTTTACTAAGCTGCATATTTAACTTTTATTGTTAGATTATATTATGTAGTTGGGACCAGGATCGTAATTTTTCGATCAAATACCACTGATAGCATTGCACAAGTACTATCGCATTAATATAATTTGATTCTACGAATTCTTTACCAACTGGTAAATACTGTTATTTAGAAGTGAATTAAGAGATACTGCAGTCGTAGTGATTTGCAAAATTTTCAGATACATTATCCGAGGCTTGTAATTTGTTATACGCTGTTACTGAGCCTACTTTATTATACAGTACTCCTTATTATTGCATCTTACGTTGCATAAATTCCACAGTAATTAGTTTTAAAATTATTTGCTGAGGTCTGCTTTAAGAAGCGAATTTTATAAGAGAGACGTTGCGTTTTAAATTGATTCTCTGCTGGTATTTAAGCCAAGCACTTTAGAGAGGTGCGTGGTCGAAGATTTATCACTCGGTAGTCACGTTGAAGAACATATACTCGTGTTCAGAATTTACATAAAGATTTCATTTGCGCTTATATATAAGAGAAAATACAGTTTTAAGGCGTAAGCACTCATATCAGTATTACCAGTAAGGATGAGGTACCTTACTGTATAATGATATATCATGTGATTTTTTAAAAGATTGTAAGCTAACAGGAAATTAATATTATCGAACTGATTTAGCAGTATAGCTCCCAGAAGAAGCATATATACAGTAGTAAGAAACAATCTGGCTGTGAATTTCCTTTTCATGTCTTGCTTTGTGAAAAATATATACCTGTTCATTTGAACGGAACTTTACTAGTAATTATAAATGAAAATAATGATAGAAACTGATATTAGTACTAGTATAAAGAGCTCAATTTTAAAATATTTAGAAAGAGCAGTATTTAAATAATTAATAATTTATACTTTTTGAATCTAGTTTATCCTACTATAACACAACATCCACAGGGCGCCAATATACTATATGGTAAAGACTATACCTTGAATTGTAACGGGACTAGCTATCCAGTGTCAAGTATAACATGGCTCAAGAATGGAAATCCTATGTCAGATGTCAACAACAGCACGTTCATTCGGAATAATTACATCTACAGTCGCATTACTATCATTAATGTAACCTTAGACGATCAAGCATCATATCAGTGCCGTTATAGCATTGCCGAAGGAATTACTATTAGTAACAGCGCGATTGTCACAGTTTTTGGTAAGCAGAAAAAATTTTTTTAAAGTCAATGCTTTATTTGACGAAAAGATATAAGTTAAATTTCTTCAAATATTCTTATTAGTTACATATCGTTACTACACTTGATATCTTGATTATTGATGCTAAATTCATGGCTAACTATACTGTACGGTACTGAATGGAATTCTTTATTAAGTAAGCATTATCAATAATTATAATAACATCGTTAATAAAGCTATAGCAATTAGCAATACCGCTAGCATCTTCTAGCTCATAATAGCTTATCGTCGCAGTTTACAATTATTCACTTTTATCGGGATTGACCGTAACAGATATAGCACAGTTAAAAACAATTTACATTTGGTAATTTTTATATACATATACAACCGTATTTATAGTTTATTCATATTTTACTCATAGATGTTTACTTTTAAATGATCATAGTAATTCCATTTACCAGCAATGCAACAGAATTGCAAATGGCTTAGAAGATACTTTATTTACTTATTTTTGTTTAAATTTAAGTACATGTATAACAGTTCATTCGCGGTGTTTGTTGTTTTTCAAAGCCGTTACTCTAACATAACTTACTGATTTAAATTATAAATTTTGTATGTGTAGCGAAACTACAGTGTCTTCATGCTTCGTGAATATATGGCATTAGACGTTTGATTCGGTATATTCAGAAAGTAATCTTAAGTTTTCAACGTTTACACCGGATATACTTTAGCTATTCCAAGCTTTAAAAATCCCATAACCCCAAATTTGGTACCTATTAACCACACAATGATCTTACAATGCCGTGGAAGTAGCCTACCACCTGTTACTGAAATATCTTGGTTAAGAAATAATACAATACTGACACAAAATAGATATTCTATTTCGCTTATACTTATTAATAATGGAACTGAATTTATTGGTCAGTTGAAATTAAATTCATCGATAGGAGAAGATGCTGGTAATTACTTATGTAATATTAGCAATGGTTATATTTCCTCTACATCTCCAGAGATCACAGTGATGATTCAAGGTATTTAATGCACTTGTGATTATATCTTAATACTACTGTAGGAATATCTATTTTACACAAAGGTACTACTAACATTATGCGTATTCTAATTTATCATTTTTATACTAATCGTATTTGGGTAGAATCGCCATGGTCTATACGACAACCACATATATCGAACGTAACAGCTACAAATATGACAGTGTCATGGTTACCTCCTGCATTTGATGGATTTTCTCCAATAACAAACTATACAGTTCGACTTTATAATCATTTAAACATAACATTAAACAGTACTTGCTTGTCAAGTTTAAGCAATAATGACTGTATAATTACTAGTACCGGCACCTTAACAATTTTTTATCATCTTGCACCATATACTACTTATTTCTTGCAAATATGGGCTAGAAATGCCATTGGAGTTAGCGGAAAAGAAGTTTTATCAGTCAGGACAGATGAATCAGGTAATTGTGTTTAATGAGGCGCTGGAATTATTTTGAACGGATTATTAAGCAATAAGATGTAATGATAAACCGAAATTTAAAATCATTTATACGTGAGTTGGCGCATATTATGTGATTAGCTGATATGGATCTTTTAATATATAATTTTAAAAGCTGCTTATATTATTCCATAGCTCCTGCAAGCTCTGTTAGAAATCCGTATGCTCTAGGCTATAATTCCACGTCTATTAAAATAGTGTGGCAACCGCCAAACATTCAAAATGGTATTCTTGCCTATCGTGTGTATCAATGGATTTCTAATTCTTCAACAAATGGGACAATCGATAACTCGACCTTAATATACGACGGACTTGAAACGGAAATTTACTCGATAAACCTACATGAATCTCATACTTACTTCTACCAAATCATACCATATAACATAAAGTATGGCTATAACGGTATAGCTAGTGACATTATTAATGCTACAAGCCATGAAGACGGTAACTCGATAATCCATCTATTCTAACTATATTAATACAATTAGTTATCCCTTTTCAGCAGGAAATCGTTATGCCTAGACATATTTTTAATTCTTTATTGTGGTGAATAATCTTAACTAACAAAAATAAAGTGTAATAAATTTTAACATTAAAGATTACCCCTCTTTAGAATATAGCAGATTATATCTAAATTTAATTAGTAACTTAAAATTAACCACTACCGTGCGTATTTATGTTTTAATATTTTTGTTTGAAAATTAAAAGCTCCGAGCTCATATCCACAAATGATCAGTGCCATTGCCTCGTCACCTGTAACAGCCGACATAACTTGGCAGCCACCCCCGATTCTCGATCGCAACGGTGTTATAATCATGTATAATATAAGCTATGATTCAACTCAATGGAACGAAAACGGCATTTTACAAGTTGATGGCTCAATCACAACCGTGACTTTGCAGAACTTAATTCCGTTTACTACGTATAATGTTGCTCTTAGAGCTGCTACTATCGCAGGATTTGGACCTGCAAGCCCTACTATTTCTTTTATAACTCAGCAATCAGGTTAGACTATTTGTTGTCATTAAAGAAGTGCTAGTATCAACTTTATCGTAATGTCATTGTTACCTTAAAATATTACCATTCTGAATGTATTTCATTGCAGAGCCTAGCTCTTATCCACCCAATCTCAATGTAACCGCATGGACAGCCAATTCGATCTATGTTTCATGGCAGCCAATAATGCTACTTTACCGTAATGGTATTATAATCGCATACAATATTAGCTATAATTCTCTGCGATGGAATCATAGGGGTGTACTTCAAGTCAATGGTTCAACATTCTCAGCAGTATTACATAATCTGTTGCCCTATAGTGCATATAATGTGACAGTAAGTGCTGCTACTATAGCTGGATTTGGACCGTATAGTCTGGAAATATCAGCTACAACTTATCAAGCAGGTAAAATGAAAGCAGCGAGTACATATATATTTGCATATATAGAGATTTTATGATTTTTGGTGATTGTTATACATACTGATATGTATTGTAACTAAATATCAACAGTATACGCTTGGCTACGGCTATACATACTCAAAATCTATAGTATTACGTTATTATTTGCAAACAGTATTTACTGTAATATGCCGACTACTAACGTATTATATAATGGAAAGTTTTTATTAAATTAATAAAATGTAACTCTGTGTTTATTAATTGTAGCTCCAAGTTCTTATCCACGAAATATCACTGTTATCGCTTTGTCATCTACGTCCATTTATATTACATGGCAATCACTTAGATTTGTTGATCGCAACGGTATAATTACTTCCTATACCATATGTTACAATTCGACTCAATGGAATGATAATGGCGTTGTACAAGTTGGCAGTTCAACTACAAACGTTACTGTTGGAAATTTAATTCCGTTTACTACGTATAATGTTACTCTTAAAGCTGCAACTGTTATTGGACTTGGACCTGAGAGCCCAGTAACATCGTCTACAACTTATCAATCAGGTTAGACTCTTAATGTAATCAATTAAGAGAATTTTAAAGTAAGTATAATGAAATATCTTTTAGTTGATGTTATTAAAGCTTATTACCATTTATATGCATAATGGTTATTTTAGCGCCGAGTTTTTATCCGCTCAATCTCAACGCAACTGCTTTGACGGCAAATTCCATCAATATATCATGGCAGCCAGTAATATTGTTTAATCGCAATGGTGTTATTATAACCTATAATGTTAGTTATAATTCCTTACAATGGAATCACACAGGCATAATTCAAGTTAATGGAACAACCTTTAATACGATATTGTATGATTTAATACCTTATACCATATATAATGTGACAATCAATGCAGCGACAGCCGCTGGATTTGGACCGAATAGCCCATATACATCGACTATCACTTATCAAGCCGGTAAACATTAAGTACTTCTAAAACCTTTGCCTCAATATCAAAAGAAACTTAGTAAAGATGTTTATAAATTATTTTATTAGTAGATTTGTCGCTAAAAATGATTAATTATCGACTAATGATTGGGACTTAGAATTTAAGCTGTATAATTTCATCTCAGAATATAATTAAAATAACCTCTATCAATTGTTCAATTCTTCAGTAAAAACTGTGTTTGCTTATCTGTAATATTAACTATTATTCAGTATCGACGATTTAAAATACGCTAAACTTATAAGAATTGTTTGCATAAAACATAACTAATAATTTATTTGATTGGTTTATAAATTGTAGCACCCAGTTCGTATCCTCAAAATATTAACTTTACTGCTGTATCGCCAACTTCGATTTATGTGGCATGGCAACCGCTCAGAGTTTTTGATTGCAATGGCATTATAAATTCCTATAGCATAAATTATAATTCAACTAAATGGAATGATCATGCTACCATATACGTGGACAGTTCGATTATGAATATTACTATAAGAAATTTAATTCCGTTTACTAACTACAATGCTGTTCTTAAAGCTACAACTATCGCAGGATACGGGCCTGCAAGTTCAATAGAATCAGCTACGACATATCAAACAGGTAAAATATATCAAAACAAATCAAAAATTACTATACGAGCTAGAATACTACAGTACAAATAATTATTCTTAAATCGTATCTATAGTCATAAGATTATCAACATTAATTTATGTGATTTCAGTACCTAGTTCCTATCCTCCTAATCTCAATGCAACGATGCTAACCGCTAATTCGATCAAGGTTTCATGGCATCCATTAATGCTGCTCAATCAGAATGGCATTATTTTAACATATAATATTAGCTACAAATCCTTGCAGTGGCACCATACCGGTTCAATTCAAGTCAGTGATTCCGATTTATCAACAATAATACTGGAACTAATACCTTATACTACTTATAATGTAAGTGTAAAAGCGGCTACTATTGCAGGATTTGGGCCAAATAGTCCTGATGTATCGGTTGTGACCTATGAAGCGGGTAAGAATTAAATGTTTCATTTAATACTATGGCCTTTGATATCAGTACGTAAATCAAGGAAACTCAATTCTTGATATCGTTCGTAACTATGATAGATTTGATATTACAATTTGAACATAGAGTTACAACCAATGTTAAGGCAGCCATCGCATCTTAAAAATTTCGTACAATGGCCATATTAGATTGATACTATTTTAAAGTAATCTGAGTTCCCATCCAAGCTGTGTTTCTATAAGATGGCTTTTATTAATAAACTATAAGCAGTGCGTTATAACGCAGATTTTATCAGATACCGTACTTAAATAACTAAGTTTCCCTTTACTAAATACCACTGTTTATATATTATTCGAATAGCTTAAACGGTTGTGTTTTGAATTAGATCACAAAGTTGAGTTTAAGTTAATAATAAATTATACCATTTGTTACAGCACCACGCTCGTATCCACCCGATTTTACCATTTCGAATTTGTCGTCTACATCTATAAGTGTCAAATGGGAGCCATTATCTCCACTCGACAGAAATGGCATCATTACAGAATATAAAGTGGTTTATAATGCTACATCACGTCGAACTGATGGAGTTATTCGCGTTAATGATTTAGTAACATCTGTAGTTATTCCAAGTTTGACGCCGTATACAACGTATAAAATCACTGTATACGCAGCTACAGCAATTGGATTTGGACCAGGCAGTCTGTATGTAGTTGGAACCACGTTACAGTCAGGTAAAGATAAAGCATTAAAAGATTGTATAATAAAGCGAAAATAAGTAAAACAAATAGCGTTACCAATGTCAAGCAATTAAGTTTATCTTGATCACGAAAGGAGATAAGTCGATATCATAAAACAATAATATACCGTGGTATAAATAATACAGTAAAATAAAGAATGCAATAGAATAAGACGTTTAAATATTCACTTATCTATCACAAAATGAGATAAATGGATGACGGATCAATAGAGTTGCGCGTATAGCTAGAATTTCAGCAAAAATCTACAATGCTATTTCTAGTGATTGTACCGTAGTTATAGAACCAAGTTTTCGATTATGCATATTATTTCTTAGACAGCAGTGATAAATATTTTCATAATTATGTATCTTATGTTACCAACAAGTTCTTTACTATTTAATTAGTTCCAAGATCATATCCACAAAATGATAACGCCATTTCGATATCGCCAACATCAATATACATTTCATGGCAACCACTTTCACCATACGATCGTAACGGAATCATTACCTCATATAGCATATACTTTAATTCTACTCGATGGGATGATCATGGTTACCTGCAATTTAATAATTCAGTAACTTCAGCAACGCTGCAAAATTTGATTCCGTATACGACATATAAGATTACCTTTAGAGCTAGCACAATCATTGGTTTTGGACCTAAGAGTCCTCCTTTGGTATCGACAACACATCAAGCAGGTTTGATTAATTATGCATATATATAATTATTTACAGAATTGATTCAAAAATTTTAGGGTATTAAAATTATAATTTTTCTAAATACACTCATAGCTTATGCGGTTTTATATATTTAAAGTATAGATATCATAAAATTTAGTTTCATAGATAACTTATAAATTTACTTTTCGATAATGATATCAAACAGTGCCTAGATCATATCCACCAAGTTTGAATTCATCAGCAATATCAGCTGCAGAAATAAACATTTCATGGCAGCCATTACCCTTATTTGACCGAAACGGAGTTATAATCATGTATCAGCTTTACTATAATTCTACGCAGTGGAGTGATAGTGGTGTAGTTCACATCAATTCGTCACTTACTACGGCGATATTGAATGGCTTAATTCCTTATACTAAATACATAATCAGCATCAAAGCAGCAACGATAGCTGGCTTTGGGACAGCAAGTCCGTCTACTTCATCTACAACACATCAATCAGGTTTGATCCATTCTCGTAAATATAATAAAATTTTACGTATTATAATCAGAAAATGTTCTGTCTTCTATAATAATTAATTATTTTGTTAAATGTCTGATTTTCTAACGGATGCTTTCTATTGATTCTAATTTTGGGAATATACTACTGTACTCTAATTGAATTATAGTACCCAGATCCTATCCACAAAATATAATTTCACGAGTAATTTCTGCGACTGCCATTGAACTTTCATGGCAACCACTAGCGCTTTTCAATCGCAACGGCGTAATCGTATCATATATGGTATATTACAATTCGACACAGTGGAATACAAATAAAGATTTCATGGTTAATAGTTCCACGACTACGGTAAAATTAACTCATTTAAGTCCATTTACGTCATATAATATCGGTATAAAAGCAGCAACAGCGATCGGCTTTGGCCCTGAAAGTCCTACACTATCATCAACGACTTATCAAGCAGGTTTAAACTAAAACTGATTTTAGCATGAAATATGATAGTCTTAATAAAATCATTAATCATTTCTAATTAGCTAAAGTAAATGATTCCTGTCATGTTCTAGCACCTCAATCCTACCCTCAGAATGTGAAAAGTTTAGTTATATCTGCCTCATCTATTACCCTTTCCTGGCAGCCAGTTTTACTAAGTGATCGTAATGGCATTATTATCGCTTATAAGATTAGCTATAATTCTTCCCGGTGGAACGATTACGGCAACATTACAGTCAATGCTACAACAACATCAAAATTACTAATGAATTTATCACCGTTTACTGTATACAATATTACCATGAAAGCGGCAACAATTATCGGATTAGGGCCAGAAAGTCCAGTCATATCTGTGATAACACGCCAAGCAGGTGATGATAACGATGTCATTATAACCTATCCTTGTATTATATGATATGCCATGCTTATACTTGTGATCTATTTCTAAGTACTAAGTATAATCATTTTATAAATTATCACTAAATATAGCACCTAGTGAAAGCCCTATGGTGCAATTGATTTCACTTGTTAGTAATAACAGTGTTAATATCGGATGGCAAGTACGTCAGCATTGTATAAGATGATTTAAGTAAATCCTATTTTGTACAGTACGATGTTTCTCGAGCTATTTGTAATGCTATTTCATTACTTGCAATTAAGGTCATCTCTGAAAGATTTAGCAATGGAGTTATACTCGGTTATCACTTTATTCTTGATAATGCTAACAATAAATTTGTTAGCAATCTAACAGTCTACGAAAATCAGACGTTCTTGCTTGGTAACTCTAGAAATTATACCGTTTTCAACATGAAGTATTTTTCAAAATATAAGATATCCATACAAGCTTTTACAATAGCTGGTGTAAGTCCACGAAGTAACGAATATATCATCAATACTTTAGAATCAGGTATGTTTTAATCCATATTGTATTGTCTTTTAAATTACCTTGGTGTTATTCGTAATTTAAGTAATATAAATAACTCACAATGTTACTAGAATGCTTTATTTTCTACAAAATCGAGCTGAAGTCATTTTATTAGATCATAAATATACTACCGTATTCCGCGTAAATAATTCCTTGACATAATTCTACAGTACCTAGCGCCACACCAGTAGATATAAGAATATTACCTACCGCTCAGGGTGCTACCTCAGCTATGGTTGTATGGAATGTACCTCCTATAAATGATCATAACGGCATCATTACCGGATATCGAATTAAATATAACCTATTAAAACAACCGATTGTTGACAATATTATAATTGTTGGTAATATTACTCAGCATACATTGCAATATTTACAACCTCAACAAAATTACTCCATACAATTGGCAGCATCGACTTCAGTTGGTTTTGGACCTTATAGTAGATCGATTATATATGAAACACATAATGCTGGTAATAAGTTTACGTTGCAGCTATTCGCTAACTATCTCATATGTCACTAATTACTGCAATGATAAAATGATCTGTATTAATATGATGATCTTTTGATATTGTAGTTGCACCTAATGTCACCCAATCACCTCAGAGTATTTCTATTAAAGCTGGAGCTACTTTAACTCTAGAATGTACAGCAACAGGTGATCCTATTCCGAGTGTTAAATGGATGAAAGATGGCGAACTTACTAGTTCGGCATATAACATGTTAATTAGTCCTGGCTATGGGAAATTAATTATCATAGATGTTAACACTGGAGATAATGGATCACATTGGTGTCAGTTTACGAACGTTATAGGGTCCATATCATCAGCTATGGCAGTTATATCTGTTAAAGGTTAGATTTTTGATATGATATTACGCTAATGATACACAGATAATAATTAATTATACGTGCTTGCATACTATAGAAGGCTTGACTAATAAATATTTTTAAAGATAAAAATACGACAGATTTTTGTTTGGGTGAAGTAACAAATGATATGCGATGGCCAAAAACATATCGTGGAAAAACGGCATTAGTTTCTTGTCCTTCTTCAATTCAGGGTAATCTAAATAGACAACTATCTGGGCCATTAATATCTTAAGCCTATCTCACATCTAACTCTACTGTCGAATTAAACTTAGATATTAAAGATAGATACCTATATGGTCATAAGTTAATAGAAAAGTATATTATTTACTTTGATAAGAAATTGACCGTCATATCTTTGTGGGATAGGTAATGCTTCACGTTTATGCAGTATTAGAAGCGGTAGCTTGCCAATTTGGGAATCAATCGACACTACAGGATGTAAATCACCAACTTTTGCTGCCATGACTAGTTTGGTAATAACCAATGAAAAAGCTACAATTTTAAACACATAGACTATCGGCTAAGTTACGGCTTTATATTTGCAAGTATACATTTAGTAGAGTAGAAACTATAGTAATTACAATAATACTGTAAAGTATTAGTCTAAAATTCTTTTAAAAGCTGTAAACATACTATAATTTTGTAATTGTTCTCTAGGCTAACAGATTGAACATAAGTGGACCAAGCGTTTCAGATGAGGTCATAAATGAGTTGGATACTGCTACGGCAAACAAAACGTTGTATGGAGGTGATATTGTCCAAACACTAGAAATAATGACTAAAATTAATCAGGTTTCGAAAACAGTGAACACCACTACACTTACTGTAAGTTCATAAGTACGATGCTTTACGGTTATCATAATTTAGCTAAATCCTTATAGGTCATAATTACAATTACTAAGATTATTTGTTTCTTTAAATTGGTGCTCTTAGCGTTATATTCATAATTCATATCTTATACTATATAGAAATTCATGAAGGTACAAAGTAATCTTCTAAACTTACGAAACAAATTAGCATGGAAATATGAAAATAAAGTAGGCATGACTATAAATAAATTATGGTTTAAATACTTGTAGAAAATTTTTGTTTTAAAGCATTAGCTTCTATTTATGTATTGCTATACAGTATTCGTGCTTTATACAGATATAGCAAGCAAATAGCATTAAAACAATGTATTCATTGTTTACAGTTTTGTCGAGATGCAAGTAACAATAAAATTCCAATCATGGACACTTTAGAAGATTTTGCAAGCAAACTAAATAGCATTCCAGACAATGAAACATTTACTACTACAAACGATAATATAGGTAATATACTCTTTCATATATTACCGACATTAAATGTTTTATTTTATAAAGAAGTTACAATCTATGAAATAGTTGATTAAAGAGTAAATTTGACAATATCTAAGCCAAATTATTTACTCTTCAGCGATTATTGTCAGGAATTTGAGTTTTTCTGCTGAAAGCGTAGGCAATCTTACCTATGTTGACGATGCCCATTTAGCAACTAACATTGAAATGAATATTCCAGGCCTAGCCGTTCAACATGATCAGTGTACGTAGATGTAATATTTAATACAAGTAGGAATCGTAAATTGTTTTAGTAATATCCGAGTCTTATTACTACTTATGTACCAATTTTATAGTTCAAAAACTGGTGGTGGTAATATATAAAACTCTTGATGCAGTTATCCCATCAACCATGGAAGTTAATCGGTAATATATTAATAAATTGTCAAAATCTGAAGCATTACCGGTATTTTAATGAGCGGTCAACGTTGACATGACGTTTATACGAATATTATTTCGATTCAAGTGCTATCAGACTACAGTTCTACATGCTTATGCTACCAGTATATCTAATTTTATCGTTTTTAACGACATATCGTTGATAAATGGAACCAGTACTGGCACACACTCCGTTAATTCCCATATTATCTCTACCTCAATGTATCCAAAGATAAATAAAAATTTATATCAGCCGTTGAAGATTACCTTTATTAACAAAAATGTAGGTTTACTGATTATACTATTGTTAACTTGGATGTGCTGCAATAATTTGCCAATACCGAAATTTAAATCATTGTAGTATGTATTAAAGTCTTACTGAAATAGAAACCGTAATTTTGTTCTCTGTATAATGATAAAGCCCAAATTATACATTACTTCATTTGAAGTAACCGCTATTTAATTTTTGATTCCAGTCGACATTTTTAAGTAGCCAATCCAGTCAGCGACATTGTTCATATTGGCAACCTCAATCCCGGTAAGTTTTCAACGATTAATATTTTTGCGCCCAGTATTATTGATTCATTCTAACTACAGATAGGTTCACGATTTTCAAATTAATAAGTAAATTAAGGTGCTAAAGCGGCATAGTTGCGATACAAATTAATTTTAAATCTCAAAATAAGTAAAAATTTTTCGCTATGTATGCTTGATTATTAATTGCAATTTGCCTCTTTTAAGAAAGGATTTCAATGGAACGATAATACGTATTAATCAACTTACATTATTATTATTGTTAACAATAGTCATAGCGTTACTTTGAGGCATAGAAACGAACTAATCATGATTAACTAGCCAATAATAGGTAGTTATTGATGCAAATATTTCTAATTATCAAAATTTAATTAACATTACAGTTACTGCACGTGGGAAACAACAGGGTGCTGGATGGGTTTAGAATCCAATTTAACTCATACCGTCTGCTATTGCAATCATACGACTACTTTTGCGACTATCCTGTCTAATGTCCCTGTGAGTCCTTATATTAACATAAATGTCTTCATATTTTTATTACATATAAGTTTATGTCTTGAAAAGCTTTTGATAGCTGTATAGCAGTTTACCTAATGAACTACTATGATTAACAACAAAATTATATTGTAGAATTTATGTTTCATTACGTAAATAAAGTTCGACATGATATTTAGTGGTACTTTTATAATCAGATATCCTTATATTCAACTACTAAATTACTTATGAATTGAAATTGATTCATATAAGATGCAAAACAATTGCTTAAAATTTCACTATTAAACTAAGGTAAAATAATCTCGAACTGAATTACTATGCAATTGATAGTAAACTACTGTAAATGCCAATCTAATCAATTAAATACGGTATTGTTTGTAATTTAAATGTAGATTACTAAAATTAAATTGGAAACTACAACTTACATTGGCTGTGGCTTATCTAGCTTCTTTCTAGTATTGACCATCGCAATTCATGTTATTTATTGGAGGTATGTGAGTATTACTAAATCGAATATTTTACAATGGCTAAAATTATCATACGACTGCCATTTTCACCACTTTTATGTTATAACTAGTCATAGTTATATGAAATATTGTATTTGAGTTATACAAAGAATTTTAAGCGATGTTAAGTATCGTTCTTCTAATGCTGTAATTACTATATTTTAATTAAATTATCCAGAGAAAAAAACTTATGGTTAGAGCGAATACTTCAGCTAGAAGCTAATTTTTCAAAATAAATGTTCATTTCTTTTATTCAATTAGGCAAACACATCAAATATTTAGCAGTATCAACCTCAATATATTCATTTGTTTGCTCATTGCTAATCTTATTATCATCTTCGGATTAACGCGAACTGAATCGAAGGTTTGATATCACGTAACTAGGAATAAAATCTCTTAACTGCTATTCTATTCAATACGTATGTATTTCATAATTAGTGGATTAAATCTCTTATATTACCAATCTTATACTCTATTTTACAATATATTTCAGTTACAATGTGTAATATTAGCCACCGTATTACACTATGTACTTTTGGCATCTTTTGCTTGGATGCTGTGTCAAACTTTCTACTTGTTTAAATCTGCAAGTAGAGCGTCAAATACAAATAAAGCCTGCAAATATTTCATATTATGTACCTTTGGTAAGTAGTATCTATATACAAATATACCATGCTAATTTTTTTATGTAAACTGATTACTATATTAACGTTAAGAGAAGAAAAAATCTCAAAAATAATTTATTATTAATTTTTTATTATGGCCAGTGCATATGTATAATGAACTATAAATATTCGTTTTGGTTATATTTTAGTTTTAGCGATCGCTATTGCGGTTGTAACCGCTGCTGTTACAATCAATATAGCAGGAATTGATAATTACATACAAGATAATTCGTAAGTTAAATTGCACATCGGTGCAAATAATGACATTGACGTATGTATTAGTTTCATTAGCTCTGCTTGTAGTTACTCTTACGTAATGTTAAGGGCTTAAATTCTTAATGGTTGACTAAGATTCATATTAATTAACTGTATTTTGTTTGACAATATCTATGACGATCAACAATTTATAGGTGCTGGCTGAGAACTAATCCACCAATAATTTTGATATTCGTTATTTCTATAATGCTCATGATACTGGTAAGGATTAATTATGTTATAATGTAAGATCTTAATATAATTTCTTCATAAATATATGTGTAATATCTTATATTATTATACAGTATCGTATTCTATGCGACGCATTATCACACATTTCGTATCTGTTCATGATATGTTGACAAATTAGGATTCTATACATATGAGCTTAATGTTTTAAATTACTGTATTGCAGATGTAGATTAGAATAGTGAATCTGTTCATACCATTAGTACTTAAGCACTAGTGATTGTAATCACTACCATGTCAATCAATTGATTATTTCACTGTTTAGTACAGTTGAAATGAAATTCCATATATGCTGCAATGTAGAAATTGATGTAATTATAATTATTACATCAAAACGAATCTGCCATGATTTCTTCTAGACGCAATTTAGTGTATTTTGTAAATCTAACCTAGAGACTTATTCTGCGAAATATGAAATATACAGGGTGCTGCGATCACAATTTCGTTTGGGTATAAGAATTCAAGGAAACTGAGCATTATGAACAACTTTTTCCATGAGGATGAATATCATATCATTAAGAAGTATATGTTATGAAGTTGAAACTTAGCATATTATTAATACCCTACTTTGCCGAAAGACTATAATTAAAACTAATTTCAAAATTATAGACTATATTTGCCTGAAGCAACCGTTCTTCTGCTAATGCTTGCTATTTGCTGGACACTATTTGTGCTATTTATTGCCTTCAACAATACAATATTGCAGCATATTTTTGCAGCAGTGTGCGTTATAAAGGTATGAAAATTCTATATTATCAATAGCTTGTAAAAAAAGTAGCTACCCGCATCTTCCGCTGCAAGAGCAGTTTTGCTTTTAAATAAATTAAAGATCGATTTTTACTACAGTACGAAAATATGGAAATATTTTATTTCATCTAGGCATAATTAATATAAATGTAATTTTTTGATGAAATTGCTGAAAATAGAAAATGTACATTGATTATGACTTAAATAATAATACTCACATACTTCATAAACGTTATATATCACTAGGGACTTTATGTATTTGCATTCTATGGATGTATAAATATAATTTATCACGGTCTTAAAACGGTAAGTGATCCTCTTATCAGCTTAGTAAATCACTGCAGTTTGTATTGTCTGAAGCTTACGGAAAATCTCATAAATAAGGATATAATTGCACTAATATATGAAGCATTTTTATAAATAATTAATTTTAATATCTATTTTATAATATTTTACTAGGTTGTTTGTCAATATTGCGTTAAACATTTTAATTTAAAAAAATCAACAGTAAATAACTTTAAAAAATCGAACATCGAAGATGAATTAATACATTTTATGTCATGGCGATAAAATAGGGAGAAATAAATTGGTGCAAGTCTAGATTACCATACCTTAAGAATGAGAATTCTACAACTCCAAATTTTGAAAGTAAGTACGTTTTAGCAAAATTTTTTGTTAATGAGTAGCAGCATTTTAATTACTTTATATTTTACCTTATGTATCTGCTGTATACTAACAGTTTTATCAAAATAAGCATTTACAATTTATACTAAGCTAACTTGCTAAGTTATTTTCAAAATATATTTTAAAGTTACATGTCATGTCTGCATAAGCTACGAGCATTATAATTATACATAGACACTAACCAGTAGTTTCGATAACTTTAAATTCGAACGATTGTCATTTACTAAGGATCCTTATAGATTAACTGATAGCAATACTATATAGACAAACAGTATTAAGAATTTAATCTTATCTCTATATGCACACTGCACAGTGCCCAGTATAATCATAAGTGCTTTATTTTCTATTAAAAGCTGCTAAAAAAGAAGATAAAGCTTCTTCTAGCAGTGATCATAGAATTACTAAGGTAAGTTATGATATTATTTATGCAATATAGTATAAAAATAGCGATGCATAATAAAATGAAATTGTTTCATGTCGGTAAGTAACAAGTTTACCTAATTTTGATAATTTGCTTAACAATAACTGTGCAAAAATTTTAAATATTATTAAGCTATAGCTTACCTATGTATTTTATAGTATGAAAACTTGTATACGAATGGGGAACTGAATCAAGCAAGCTTTTAGAATTCATACTAATTGGACAAGTCCAATATAGCTCTTATATAACCTTTTAGAATTCATATTAATCAGACTTGTCCAATACAGCTTTTATAAAGATAGCGCTACATCGAATTATATTCGTTATGTTAGCTATTATTTCGTAAAGACTTTAATTGTAATGCAAAAGCTGCAAATTTCAGGGATTGATTTTCGTTGTAAAATTTATCCTGAGAGTTTCTTTACAGTCCACATACACTAAGTTAGGTAATGGCGGCACACATGGGTTTATAATTGCAATCTAAATGCATATTGTAATGTTATTATACAAACTATCATAGAAATAGATTGGTAAATTAAATAATTTTAATTCTCTCATAAAGTAATCGAGCCTAAATGCTTACAGTAAGAAAAACAAATTGCGATTGTACTGCGGTAAATAGCCTATTCCATTGCACCGTACTAATATTTTTACATGTTATCGTACCAGGTAGTTGTAGTACATTACTCATATCTACCTTGCTAGTCGTATTGATTATAATTAAATAATTAGTTTATGATAGATCTTGTGCTGTTAATAAACCATTTCATAAAAACATGATGTAATCTGACAATCTAAAATAAAACATTAGATATCTATGTCTACTAATATTACAGCCAAAATTAGCTACTATTAGATAGTTTGGTATAAATCCACCGCTTGAATTATGTGGAGGTTAATAATTCTGCCACTTATAACTACTTTATTAGAGTGCAATATATAAACTCCACCATTATGATTACCGTAGAGAGATTTAGTCAATTAGCACAGTTTTTACCAAAGTGATATATTACCCTATAAATATTAACTAAAATATTACTAATTAAAAATTATGTTACTCTCTAAGTGGCTATATTTTTTACATATCGCAATTGCCGAAGTAATTAGTGTAGTAACTACATTAATATAACAATTTTTGGTCTAGTAAATCTAATATGGTTTGATTTTGAAATGTATGGATTCTATAATCTATCTATGCGCTTCATCATTTTTGATAGCCTTACATTGTATCGTTATACTTAAAGAGTTCGAAGGTGTTCCTCAAATTCATCAAAATTTACGATCTCGATAATGTAATAGATAATTTCACTAATTGAGTTAACTTCCTTGATCACTGAAGTACTGTATACTGCATGCCTGAATTTGTTATAAATTTTCTTGAACACAGTTATTATATCAAGTTAATAGATAGCTGAGTTTATAATGAACATATAAGATAAGGATATGTTGTGCTAGGAGAGTTATCTAAGTCCTAACCTTAAGAATTCATTGTAATGACGAATAGCAAAATTATACTCGTATGCAGATTTTCAAAATTTAAACGAAGAGGGTTTATTGGTTAGAGTTATTAATTCTTTTCTGTCGCTTCACCTGATCAAAGAATTAGTAGAAAGGTCTATTTCCTGGTTTACTGCTAATAACGAATAGGGTACATCTTCTTTGAAAGCATACGCTGTGTTCAATCGTATTTAAAGTAGGTTATGAAACACTTATTTTAATTAATCGGCACTGTATTTTAATATTTTTCTGTTGATAATTCTATATATATTTTGCGATGAGGTATAGCTCCAGATGACTTTCACTTTACATGTAGAACATCTGGATGTAATTGCATAATAACAGTAAAGAGTGCTGTGATACCTGTGGGCTTTCTCACTGAAGAAAGTTTGAGTACTTCTAGAAATAGTTTCTATGAAGGTTTCGGCTCTTTTGAAAGTGAATTTTAAGTTTGTATGTTTATGGCGTGTTCTGTACTTATGATTGATGTACTTGAAGTATAAAAATGAACTTGGCAACTTTTTCATAACTGTTCACATTTAGTTGGGGCATATTCAATTTCATTTTTGACTACCCTCCAAATTACGTATTACCAAGCTGAAGAATACGAATTTTTTTGACGAGCTAGCTTGCTAATGCAAAAGGACGTCCAATATAAAATTTTTGCTGCCGCTATCAATCAGATCTTTCAAAGAGATATAGTATTAAAGTTAGTCTCTTTTAATCTCCAAGAATAAGAAATTTTAGAGATTTGTAAATAACGTTATCGATGAAATAAAATACGTATTTATCAAATTTTACTCACATTACATTGTGTCCTGTATGTCTTATTAATTATGATCTGCAACTATCAAAAATATTCAATAAACAACAGTTGCATAATAGAATAATTAATCGAAGTATTGATTGCTTTCTTTATTGCTTTAATCAATATTTTGCTCAGTATTATTTGTGTGCTTTACAAATATGCAAAATGTAATTGCAAGCATTGTAAATAATGGTGCACACTGCAGTTAGATACTGTATTTAACGTAACAGTAAGCGTAGATAGCTGACTCTTAAGTGTGTTCATGTATCTCATCCTAGCTTTATATTGGACGGTAAATCCAATATTAAGACAATTCTACGTCTTAGATGATAAATGATAAGCAGAGGAACTGATATAGCCATTAAATATACCAACATCTGAGCCTATTAAGATCCAGCTTTGATTAAAAAGCAATAAAGCTGATACAGAAATTATGACGTATCTATAAGAGCATGCATTTTCACTTGCAACAGGTTCATTTGCAAATAATTTAGTTCTAGAGTAACGACGAAATAATACGAGCTATAAACGTGATATAGCACTGTATACTGATTACTGTTTCAGAGCCGTGTCTGCGGTTGAAACAGATAAAAGATATAAGATATTATAGAAATGATAGTTTAGAATTTCTTAGTCTTTACTCTCCTCATGGTCATCATGCTGTTGTAGATAGTCATCGAGATAAAACTGTTCTTCATTTTCTTGTTTTTCTTCTATGTCTTCTTGTATTTCAGGGTGCTTTAATGGCCTATCATTTTTCCTGTAAAATCCTTCTAATGCTCTTTTTGATTCGTAAGCGAACCAGGAATCACCTCTAGTAATTGGTGTCGGAAGGAAAATTCGGGAGTGCTGAGGAGTTATTTGTTTTACATGGTCACTATTACGTCTAGTACTATCAAACGGTTGCTCAATTGGGAACTTAGGCGGAATCGTATTCCAAGAAGACTGTAATATATTACCCTCTGTTTGAGTTCGGTCAATCAATTCTTTTGATTGTTTAGGACCTGCTTGGTTATTTTGCTGATGTAACGTAGAAGAACTGGAATCACATTGCTGATTTTCTTGATTAACGGTAAGTTCTTTATCGAATGGCAAATCGAACGCAGTATCAGGTAAGGGAACTTTACTCGTTCTTCTTTTATCGGGTGAATGCTGTCTTTCTTGCTGAGTTATTTTACTAGTATTAAATTCACGAATACTGTCATCCTGGCAACGCGATAATTTCATTTTGTTAGTTTGATGTAAGTCTCTAGTATCAGGTAATTGTTGCGATGTTTTTTTTGCTTCATTTTTCTCCTTAATTTTACGGCTTAATACCTGCTCAATATCGCTATATTCCCATGCTAGTAAGATAAGGTAAATAAACCGTTACAGAGGTAAAGGAAAATAATTTATTAAGATAAAAATATACCCTCGAAAAATTTGGCTTACCCGGCACTTGAAAAATATCCCACTCCAAATCATCGTCGTCTTCACTATACTGCTTTCGATAAAGATTAAATTGAGTTGGATAGATTGATTTATCATTACATGACTTAACATTCCATTCGCCTTGACGTTTTTCGGACAGATTTCGGATATGACTATAGTTTTTAAAGAGTAATTACAGTATTTATAGTATTTATTCAGCAATTCCTACGATACCAAGTATCATCGAGAAACTGTCATTATAAATGTTTATGCTATATAAAACTCCTGGAGTGGTAAAGTTTATGTTGGTTATGCTATCAATTGATTAAAGGTAAGTTAATAGGATATTACTTAGTAATGATAGCCAAAGATTTAGTATTAATTGTGTAGTAAGAAATACTCTTGCATCGACGACTATCCCTGCTGTTATTATTACATGTTGCTTTGTATTAGCCATATATGGAATTAATTGAACGTTAGAGAATTGAATTCAAGCTATGAAGTAACACAGAAAGATTGATTTTATATTTTACTTTAGCTACTGATATACACTGATATCGATATGAAGTGAGATCTGAATAATTTTATGAGGTAATCAAGCAAAATGATCAGCTTTCTATATCTTGATTGCGGAGGATCTTCGAAATGAAAATACTATTTAAGATTATAGAAATGATATAAATCCGTAGAAATCTTTTTTTAAACCTCCGTTGGTGTATTGAGCACTCAGCTAAAAGTACTATATGAATTATTGTCAATATGATTTAAAATTATGATGAAAATATAAATTTATCATCTTAAAACTTACCGTCTGTGTATTAAGCACTCGATTAAAAGTATTAGTCCTAATATTAAAGCCATCAAGATACAGGTTGCAAATAAAACGTAGGAGACGATAATTAAACTGTTCGCTACTAAAAAATGCAAAAGATTATCCAAATGTAAGTTCTATATCTGTAAGGTTATTAAACTTGTAATTTGCTATGGCTAGACGGATTATCAACAGTTTCAATATGTCATGATATTGATGCTATTAGAATTCTTACCTTGACACTGGTCAACAGCTACCGATGCTGATGACGATGTAGTTAAGCCATACGGACATAGCCAACAGTCGGATTGATTTGCATAAGGTTGATAAGTACCAACTTGACAAGGCAGGCAAGTTTGATCGGACTGGAGGTAGTACCCAGGAGGACAAATCACTAATTAAATTTATTAAGATTTAGCTGATCAATATTTTGACGAAATGTTGTAACGAGCACTTAGAGATTTCAGTTTGAATAAGAAAACTGAGTTATAGTCTGTTTCTTATAATATTACAACATCAGTAGAAGAATCGCATTTCTCTACCACAAAATCGAGCATTATTTAATACTATTCTAATCATGGAATTCTAATTTGGTTGTAATCATGCCAAGTCGTAATAATGAGCATAGCTGATATTACTTTTCATGGATGTTATCTGTACATGGTGAAAGTAACTGCACTCCCTTGACCTAATTTTATAAAACTCGTAACCTAATACAGTACGTAACGTCTGAAATTTTCTGCTTATAATTATTCACAGTATGTCTTAGCAATCTACGAGCTATAATCACTATCTAGTAGTTACTAAAAGAATATTACCACAGATAAGTAAGAAATGGGGGTATCTACAGGTTTTCTCTAACTATTAGACATGTATGGTCGAAACTATAACCTTTTCGGTATTATCGGGATAGTACATAGTAGCCATGCAATAGAATACTATTCCACCAAAGTGAATTAAAACTCCGATCATTACATATTATGAGTCTTGAGTTCATATACGGCATGAAAGAAAGTAAGAAGAATTGTTCACTTCTCAAAACCATTCTAGGAGATTGAGACTGTGTTATAACCAGACAAATCTACGTAGTCTTCGCTACCATTGCGAATGATATCGACCACTGTTAATAATTACGGGAAGCCTTGAGTCAATATGGCTGAAAAATAGAGAACTCGTGAATCTATTAAAGCAGCTTAGTATTTTAATGATCCTTATGGCAATTAAGATTTGTACATAGAAGAAAATGAGTAGAAGAGGAATTGCGTTGAAGCATAAAAAGGATGAGTACCCAATCTCTTTTCGGTATTCGTCTGCATTATACGTAAGATCCATGTTTCATAGTGAATATTATCATAATGACCACATTATAAAATCTTTTACTATTGCTCTTTCAGATTATAATCAAGTAACATCCCTTAAACTGATAAGATTTTAAACATTACATCACTAGCGTGAACAGCTTGAATACGGTTGATATTGAAAGTATTGTTTAAGCTGAAAATACCAAATAAAGTACAAAAGCTAGTTGATGAACATTCTGTCTTAAAGATTTTTCTAGAGTATCATTAGAGAAAACCACTCGAAGATGGTTACAATTTAATTGAAGTATCGTTTAAATTGAAAGTATGACATAAAGTTCAGAAGTGAATGACGGATACTCTATCTTAAAGATTCATCTTAAATATCGTTACGAAAATGCTAAGAATCCACAATTAGGAAAGCCAGTTAGGAAATCATTTTAACGACCAATTATTTAAGGGAGTGCCGTAATAATTCTGCTGATGATTTGCATTAAAGGTAGAGTTAAATTCAATCATTTGGGAAACGTTAAGGAGAGGAAGTAGATAAACGATTATTGTTTGTTTTCAAATTTTAAACGGTATGCTTTTAATCCAAGTTAGAAGACTTTTTAAAAGGCGTTTTAGCGACCACTATTTAACGAAGTAGCCCCCCTAGGGATTACTGCATATCACTTAAAATTAAGTTAAAGATTACGTCTTAGGTGAAATAAAGAAAAATAGTACTATAGAGAGTGAATTGATGTATAATTATAATTTAATGATTCAATTTCAATGATTTCGCGGAACCGCAAATTGAAATTTAAAAAGGTAGAAAACTATTTGAAAATGCTTTGAAGGGTTCATTACTAAACGGAGTGATTCTAGCTCGGGAATTATGATTTAATCCGATCTAGGTGATAAATTGAATAATAAAAAAAAATCATATAAACGACATAGGGCAGAAATATCTAGACGAATATTTTACTTAAAGATTCATTTCTAACGCTCTTACTGAAATAGAGTGAGACCCAAATCACTTTAATGAAAGATTGCTCAAAAGACGAGAAGACTGTAACGTAACTCATAATTAATTTTAAACTAAATATATGGAAAAAGAAAAGTGACGAATTAATTCTCCCTTCAATATCCCGTCAAACACTTTAATGTTAGTCTGTTTAGAATCCACGCCGGCAAAAAACGAATAAAATTATCATTTGCAGGGCCTCTTCTGAACAGGATGATTTGACATTGAACTAGTATTACCTAATGACGATCCAGAAATGGTTTGTCCTGCGTTTTCCATTGCCTACTTCTGCTATAGATAAATGACTGCGATTCGAATGCGAATTTCTTACTTGCTTGCGTTAGTACTAATCCCGTGATTCGTTTCTAGATTGGTATCAGCTTCATTTTATTTGAAGATAAAAAGTTTAATGGATCCTCAACGATGTCAACATGCAATCAAAAAACAGATTTTGTAAAAAAAATTCTATATAAAGTTAATTAAAGATTGTAAACAATTTTAAATGGATACTGTAAAAGTTCTTAATCGAAAATATCATCCATATTAGTCAATTTTAATGATAGTAAATACAATATAACGCAGAGATGTATTACGTGCTGTAACACTAAGAAGAAATGGATTGCATTATAAATTGGAAGTGAAAAATTCTCGTTCAAGAAAATAGAAGGTTTTAAATCGATTTTAGTCTTAATTTGATTCAGTTATATCAGGATCAAATGCTAGTAATATCATCAGGCTGTGATACAATTAAAAAATGATCTCAAATCATAAGTATGCATGTTACAGTAATGATTGACTTTATGTGATGAAAAGGGAGACTTGAAGGCTTGCTGTTGCACGTATCGCAATTTTATTAGATTTTTTATACTTTACGTCATATGTGGTGGCAAGGGCTGTGATCCAACAAAAGTGTCTACGCTGTATATTAACAACAAATATTTACTCCTGATTCACTTGTAAAAATTGTTTATACTTTATTATTAACTTAAGTAAATGAGCAGTAAAAAATTCTCATATGGAACTACTGTAGTGATATAGATACCATGAATTGGTTTTAATTTGCTGTCATCAGTAGATGTACTGGCTGCATCTTACTCCAGATTTTAGGCTATAATTGATTAGATAAATATAAAGGGCAAAATATAGATTAAAAATATTAAATTGTCCGACACTAAAACAAAAAGCGTTTCTTTTCAAGCATTAAGTGTACGATTGATTATTAATCCAACATTTCTGCTATACTCAAGAAGAGAATATTTCCCAATGTAGCATTAAACACTTTTGGAGCATGAATTCTTGCGACTACTCCTTCATTTTAGATATTATGAAGATTTGATACCCTGAGCCAGACATAGTCCTACCATTTGATAAACCTGAGATTCATATTTAGACGGAGAGAAACTGTGCAACAATTATAACAAGTTATTGACTGCTACTGAAAGATTAAACATTAGATTTCATTTTCATGGGTTACTCGTCTTTCTCGGATAGAAAGCCTTAAGTGTGATTTTATAAGGTGATCCATGCGGAAATGAAATAAATAAAAGATACGGTATTTGTGGCAGAAAAATCTTATAGAATAATTTTTAGTATGACTCCGCACTACGTTATTATTCTAATTAGAATTTTGATAATATTCTTTATAGATGGAAAAGGGTTAATTTTACGTAAAGTCAAGAATATTGGACACATAATTACAAGCGAAAAAGACTCACTAGCCTATGCTACTCATTGTAAAAAAATCAATTTCAAGTTCTAAAAGCCTGTAATAGCTATAGCAAAATTCAAGAATTCAGATTGCCTTAGAAATAAACAAGTCGAAACTATGAAAAGTCTTTTCTAAAGATATTTTGTTATCAGCATTTGATACATTATTAACTGTATATATATCTGGCATCATTTCTGAATCTTAACGAATACTGTTTATGGTTCTTCTATTTGTCATTTAATAGAGTCGGAATGGATAAATATACTCGAACTTGTGAGGAGTAATTATAATAAGGACAGATTAGCTTCATAACTATATTGAGGCAGTTTAGAGGTAATTTGTAAATTAAGCTAGCTAGATGATGGATGACATCCATAAAGTTAATGAATAATCGAGTAATAATTAAACGGATGACTATAATATTATAGAATTTGCATATTATAGTTAACTCTTACATGCAAAATGTCAATGTCAGACATTTATTATATTACTTCAAAGATGGCTAGAATCTTAATTCAACGAGTTTGTCCCTTGATTATGTTTTCCTAGTGAAATTTTATTACTAATAGTGAGCACTTTTATCATGGATACGGGGGTTCTTGATTATAGCTAAGTCTTAGTTAGCATCTAAATTGTGAAATATATCACTACAGTACAGTACTTTTATTAAATACCTCGATATTGGTTATTGTAATCTCTAGAGGAGAATTACTACCAAACACGATCAGCACTTATTCAGAAATATTATTTCAATTTCTACACAAAATAGAATCATAAAATCATTACTAATTAATGACGAGCTTGATTTTATTATCGTAATTGTTTGACTTTGCCAATTATAGTAAAGATTATATTGAAGAAGAAGGAAAATAAACTAGAAGTACGCGGTTGAAAATCGAAGATTAAGGCCTTTCAGGGCCTTAAGTGTTTGTTACTTAGTCATACTGCCTGGCCGCAATTAGAGATCGCTCATATGTCCAATTCCTCATATCATTTCAGAGGAGAGAAAATAAATGATTGAGTAGCCCAGTTACACATTACTGTAGATAAACAGTGTTACCGCTTGGCAAATAGATGAAAAATCCTTCATAATTGCGCTGCAATTCCTTTTCTCTATTACGTTGCGTATAAACTAGGCGAAGGTTACAAACTTTGCTGGATAGCATAATAAATTGGATCGGAATGGATCTGTGCTACAGTTTGCAATTTTCCCTAATAAGTGATTGTAATGATAGTTCCTTCCAAGCTAATCTTTGACTATTGTACACAGTAACACCGAGACCGAACGCCGGAGAATAAAAATAACTTTATTATAGTATTAAAAGGTTCTCAGGTATTAGCAATAAAAAAAAATCTATAATCTATCGTAAAAAACTAATCTCATACTCTTAACGTAACAATACTGAGAGGCTGCCTTAGCTCTTCCTTCAAGACCCCTTTAAACTACTGGGTCTGATCTATTTGTCAACATGTTTTGAATAAATTTCTTACAGACAAATTCCCACACGGGAACTAACATTTATTAACATTTTACTATAAGCTTCTGCCGCCGCTAGCCATCGCTTGTTTTCGTCCTTCTGACTAATGTTTGAAGGCCTTTTAGAGCCAATCAGGTTCGGCCCTAGGCTCGCAGCTTCTTCTCCCGCTAGGTAGGCAATTCTTGCCTGGCGACGTAGCAAGTCTAGATCTAATCGGCATAGATAAACAACAATCGCGAGACCAAACTAGCCTAGCGCTAATATTTCATCAAAACAATATTTAATCCTGATACAAATCACACTATTACAGTGATTTATCACTAGTATTCAAGGGTTAAGAGCTGTAGGAAGACGTAGTTAAGAAAGCCTAGGTAGCAAGACTGCCGGTGAATGTATTCACATTTACTTCATGTCGATGCTGTAGTAGTTGCTGATTTTAACGCAACATAACCTCGCTAATTACGATGAGGACAGAACTGTCAAAGTCTGCGTATACTCCATAATGTGAAAAGTCTTATAAAATTTCATTTTTGTAACAGTAATTGCATCTAACTGATGATAGTTTGCTTTAGTAACCAATTATGCACAATAAATTCTACATTTTTCGTAAGTAAACTAGATGGGCTAGCCAGACAGCTTCCTGACCACTTACTTCATATTTTTTACGTATGCTATCGCATCACTTATGATTATCTGATTCGATATCAAAGCTACTTGCCTCTTCACTATCTTGTAATTGCTATTCCTTTCTAAGGAAGAGCTAAAAGCTCACTTTACACAGATTAGTTAGTTATAGATGGTTGTAAATATTCTTAGGGTTCTTTTTGCCTAGATTAGATGTACTAGTCGGACACCTTCCTGACCACTTGCTCGACGCTTTATATTCTTAATCGATGCCATCGTATCACATAGAATTATAGTTCGATGCCAAGGTTACTCGCCTCTTCACTGTCATGGAATTGCAATGTCGTTATAATGAAGAATTAAAATCCATTCTTCACAGATTACTAGTTATGGATCGTAATCCATCATGTTAGCCTTATTTTTGTTTGGATCAGATGCACTAGCCTGGTCACTTCCTCGATACTGTATATTTTGTTATATATTATCACATCATTTATGATTCGATGTCAAAGCTACTCGCCTCTTCACAGTCATGAAATTTTGATTCCTATCTTAGGAAGAGTTTAAAAGCCCTCTTTATACTTGTAGCTCATTATTAATATTCTTAATGTTATTTTTTTGTCTAGACTACTTAACATTATTTATACGTTGAATCAAGAGATTGATTTATTTTGATAATTATTATTTTCGAAATACAGTATAGTTGGTAACTAGATATCTTATTTTGTTATGATTATCCCGGTAGTCGACATGGACAAATATTGAACTCGATGAGTAGACTGTCGAGGATTTGGTGAGGAGAGTCTCCCAATTTGATAGGAATGATAGGAATATTCTTAGTCATTGAGTATGGAAATCTGGAGTAGGTGGTAATAAATTGAACTTTGTGGCAGCACATGCATAGTTGCTTAGCTGGATAAGATAAAGCTGAAGTCTGATTGGATAACTTTATCCCTACTTTACATTAAAGTAGAAGCCAACTGAAAAGCATAAAAAGAGACGTAGTGTCATAGTTCAACTTATAGGTTGGATTTGCCAAATGATACCTGTCAGAACTGAGAAGAAGAGTATCCCAGCTCATAAATTGTTTTATTCTACGCGTAGCATTTCTCTGGATGTTGTTGGTAGTTGAGGCTGGATATGCAGTGATCGTTCTTGTTTACTTTTTGCACTGGTAGTTGTGTTTAAAAATTTTGTCTTATTCGACCGGTAAATACATTTTATTATATCGCTTCTAGAAACACATTTATCATTCAATTCTTTTAACTGTTATGGTACTTCGTTACCCACCGTAGTCATGTAGAGTGCCCATGATACTTTTCAATATTAATTATTATATTTTCATCTTTTTCAGCTATAAAATGCTAGGGGAAAACGCCTTTGAAGGATTATTTTACAGTCAGTAAATTCTGGAACGCTACGGCTTACTGGCACTAATTTCTGTAGTTTATAAGATTTTCTTTTACCTATACAGTGATATTAACAATAATAAAGTTGTGGATTGAGCATATAGGAAAATCATCTTCAACAGCTATCATAATTTCCTTCCATTCCTATTAACAGCAGAATAGTTGAATTATACATTAGCTACAGATTGTCTGGTATCGAATTGATCAAATTTTCTGCATCATCCAATTTAAAATATGGACAACCAATCCGTCAAGTCCGGTAATCCTCAAGAAGTAAAATTACTATGTGAAAAGGGTGTGAATAATCATCAATCTGATAATCTTAATGAAGCAATTTCTTGCTGCGCACAACTCTCGGATAGCCTTCAAGCCATATTGGCATGTAGTGAAGACTATTATCGATTTCAAAGCGATATCTGTCTTCTTATTAGCGAGATTTATATACGAAGAAGTGAATGGATGAAAGCGGAAGAATTCAACGAGAAAGCAAGAGAAATTGCCGAAAAATCACAAGAACAAATCATCATTACTCAATGTTTAGATAGACATGGTGATATTAAACGAATGCAAGAAGATTGGAGTAAAGCATTAGATTACTATACGAAATCACTGGATTTAAAATTAAGTTGCGTAGGCAGGAACGATTTAGGTATCAGCCATTCTTATGAACTATTAGGATTCGTCTATTTTGCTCAAGGTAAATATCAAGACGTTTTTTCTATGTTTAAAAAGTCGCTTAAAATTCAATTATCAATCTATGGTCATAATCATGCCAGTGTTGCCGCAATCTATAACAACCTGGGCGCCGTTTATAGTCATCAAGCCAAGCATGATGAGGCTATTTCTATGTATAACAAATCGCTCAAAATTCAATTAGCCGTCTTCGATCACAATCATCCTGATATTTCTACGTCCTATGCCAATTTAGGAAATTGCTATGCTTATCAGAGCAAGCATGAAGAAGCTATTTCAATGTTGAAACAATCACTTCAAATTCAATTATCAGTCTTAGGTCATCATCATCCCGATGTTGCCGCCACCTATAACAACATGGGAGCCTTATATAATGATCGAGCCAAGTATGAAGAGGCAATTTCTATGTACAAGAAGTCAATCAAAATTCAATTATCGCTCCTTGGTCATCATCATCCCGATGTTGCCAAAACCTATAACAACCTTGGGATCGCTTACAGTCATCAGAGCAGATATGAAGAGGCTATTGCTATGCATAAAAAGTCCCTCCAAATTAAATTGTTCGTTCATAGCCACGACCATCCTGATGTGGCCAATTCATACGGCAATTTAGGAAATGTATATCGTGATCATGGCAAACAGGAAGAAGCTATTGCTATGTACGAGAAATCGCTCAAAATTCTATTGAAGGTTCATGGTCAACATCATTCAAATGTGGCCAAATTATACGGCAATCTAGGAAATGTCTATATTGATCAAGGCAAGCATGAAATGGCAATCGCCATGTATGAGAAGTCCTTAAAAATTCAAGTGTTTGTCCTTGACTACAACCATCCCGATATTGCTGCATCCTATAACGACATAGGAACTGCGTATAAGCATCAAGGCAAGTATGAGGAGGCTACTTCTATGTACCAGAAATCATTGAAAATTCAATTATCCATCCTTGATCCTAATCATCCCAGTATTGCTGCAACCTATAATAACTTGGGAGTCTCGTATGCTGCTCAAAGCAAGCATGAAGAAGCTGTTTCCATGTATGAAAAATCAGTCAAAATTAAAGAATCGGTCCTTGGACATAATCATCCTGATATTGCTGTATCCTATAACAACATTGGTCTTGCCTATCATGATCAGGGTAAGCATGAAGAGGCCATTCCTATGTTGGAGAAATCACTCAAAATTCAATTATCAGTCTTTAGTGACAATCATCCCAATGTTGCCAAATCCTATTGCAATTTAGGAAATGTTTATGCTCACTATGGCAAGTATGAAAATGCTATTTGTATGTATGAGAAATCACTCCAAATTCAATTATTAGTCCTCGGTCATAATCATCCCGATCTTGTCAAACCTTACAACAATCTAGCAAATGTATATTCTAGTCAAATCAAATATCAAGAGGCAATTTCTTTATATAAAAAATCATTAAATATTCAATTATCTGTCTTTGGTTGCAATCATCCTGATGTTGCTGCATCTTATAATAACCTTGGTCTTACCTATTTGCGTCAGGCCAAGTATGAGGAGGCTATTTCCATGTATAAGAAGTCCTTCAAAATTCAGTTATCCGTTCTTGGTCACGATCATCTCGATGTTGCTGCAACATATAATAACATCGGCCTTGCCTATTCCAATCTTAGCAATCATGACGAAGCAATATCGATGCATGAAAAGTCACTCAAAATTAAATTATCCATCCTTGGTCACCGTCATTCTCTTGTTGCAACATCTTACGACAACATTGGAACTGTTAAAAGAGAGCAGGGTAAGCATAAAGAGGCTATTTCTATGTACGAGAAGTCACTCAAAATTCAATTGGCAATTTTCGATCACAATCATCCCGATATTGCTCTATCATACCGCCATCTAGCTAATGTTTATACTCAGCAAGGCAAGTATAACGATGCTACCTCTATGTACGAGAAAGCATTAAAAATTCAACTATCAGTCCTAGGCCATCATCATCCTGACGTTGCTGCATCCTATAACAACCTTGGAGGGCTTTATTACTATCAGAATAAACTTAAAAAGGCTATTTCTATGTTTGACAAAGGCCTCCAAATTCAAATATCGGTCCTTGGTCAAAATCATTCCAATGTTGCTGCAACTTATAATAACATGGGAAGTGTGTACAGTGATCAAGGCAAGTATGAAGAGGCAATTTCTATGCATCAGAAATCACTTAAAATCAGATTATCAGCCTTTGATCAAAATCATCCCGAAGTGGCTACATCGTACGGCAATCTAGGAATTGTCTATAGGAATCAGGGCAAGTATGAACAAGCAATTTCTATGTTTAAGAAATCGCTTAAAATTGAATTGTCAGTTCTTGGCTCCAAACATCACTCCCTTGCCGATACATATATCAATATGGGAGCTGTATATGGTGATCAGGGTAAGTATGAGGAAGCAATTTCTATGTACAAGAAATCACTCAAAATTCAGTTGTTCAATTTTGGTTATCATCATCCTAAAATTGCCAGATTATATAAGAATATTGGGACTGTATATGATCTTCAGGGCAAGTATGATGAGGCTATTTTTATGTACGAGAAATCGTTTAAAATTCAAGTGTCATTCTTTGGTCAAAATCATTCTGATGTTGCCATGTTACTAGATAGTTTAGGGAACGCTTATATTCATCAGGGCAAGCATGAGGAAGCTCTATCTAAGTATGAGGATTCGCTTAAAATTAAATTGTCCATTCTTGATCTCAACCATCCTAGTATTGCTGCATCATATGACAATCTAGGAAATGTCTATTCTCGTAAAAATAAGCTTGAAGAAGCTCTTTCTATGTTTGAGAAGTCACTTAAGATTCAGTTATTAATCCATGGCGACAATCATCACAATGTTGCCCTGACATACTGCAATGTTGGACTCGTCTGTGCAAAGGATAAGAAGTATGAAGACGCTATCTTAATGTACGAGAAATCGCTTCAAATTCAATTATCCGCTCTTGGTCACAATCATCCTCATGTTGCTAAATCATATGGTAGTCTAGGAAACGTTTATAATCTTCAGTCCAAGTATGAAGAAGCTCTTTCCATGTATAAGAAATCACTTCAAATTCAATTATTGATCCTTGATCATAATCATCCCGATATTGCTAAATCATATTGTAATCTAGGTAGTATTTATTCTCGTCAAGGGAGGTATAACGAAGCTCTTTCAATGTGTGAGAAAGCACTGAAAATTCAATTATTAGTGCTTGACCAAAATCATCCCGATGTTAGTGTATCGTATTACGAAATAGGAAAAATCTATGATGATCAGGGCAAGCATGAAGAAGCTCGTTCAAGGTTTCAGAAATCACTTCAAATTTATTACCACAATCATCCTGATGAATGCAGCCGTGATAATATAAGCAATAATGAATAAAGATAAACATCTAAGCTGTAACATTTAATTTTAATCTTTCATCATGATCATCCCTATATGGCTAAGTTAATTAAAAAGTATTTGTCTAATACATCTAAGTAAACTTCGATGGATAGCTATCCGAGACTATTCAATATGGATAGGTTCCAAATATTCCGAATAACGAGAGACAGTCCCATAAAATGGTCAAGTTCGAGATTCATTTAGTACGATAAGAGTAACTGATAGGAATTGTGATGATTATTGTAATTACATTGAAATTACCTCTCCTCTAGTTATAGTCATGAAAATTAATAAAAACTTTTCAATTTGCTATAGTGAAAAGAGCACTATCGTATCATTTAATATCAAGAGTAAATGAAGTAATAATGTACGTAAAAATCGAATAATTAGATGTTCATTCTTTATATCATAACTTTGAAAACTTTATTTATTTTCATTTTTAATTCATTTGTGAAGTCATCCAATATCAATCTAGCATATTTTTCAGTTTTTATCAATAAATTTCATTTAGCAAATTTATTGTAGCTCACATTATTCACATTGAAACAAGATTCTCTCATGGCCATATTTAGAATTTTTTCATTAAACATGATTCAATTTCTATTAGTATTACAAATCTAAAATACTAAACTAGATTGAATATTTTGACGCAAACTTCGTTTGATAGCTGTTTCATTTACAGCTAGTGATCTAGAATCGCTGGCATAAAATAATAAATACGGGTTTGGAAGATAAATATAATACAATTTCATAATTTATCAAGATAGAAAGAACAGTGCTAGCCTCTATCAATATTCTAAAGTTAGCAGAAATTACTTACACTCTATCTCAGTCTGTCGAAAGGGCAATATACGCGTAAATTAAATAGATCATTTTAAATCTTAATTCATCTTTAACTTACTAAGGCATCAATCCAACTTTGCATAAAACGCCCACCGAGAAATTATGATGCACTTTTACTTTTATACAATAGATCATACTCTATGATATTTTTGGAAATTATCTATTTTATCATCAGCTTAATTAAACTGAAGTATTATAATATGCATGTTGCTAACTAAACGACTTTAACAGTTTCTATATACCAAATATACAATTAAATCATATCCAAGGTATAGAAATTTAAAACTAATGTAGTCATCTTGCAAGTAGATGACAAACAGATAGCGCTGAAAAATGCCAGAATGAAGTTTATCTATTCTGGAAGAGAGTATATTGGCGCTGCAAGACAATTTGAATGATAATTCTTGTAATAGAAAAGCTGCATTAAAAAATGATAGACTTTCCTTATAGTACTAGTACAATCAGTCTTAGTGAAAGATATTGAAAATTAAATCATTATAGATTAATTTCTGTAATTTTAACCAGGCCCTAGTTAATAGCGTCTTCTACGTCGATTGTTTCCTTCAAAATACATGAAATCCTAAAATAAACATTCAATATTAACAGCTTAATTACGTTTGTTACCGGCAAGAATGAAATAAAATATTATATTATTCACTTGTTAAAAACGACAGGAAATGGCGATTATTAACTGTCAGTGAATTGAATTATCAAAGTGTAGAAAAAAAGCATAAAATCAAATTTATCAAATTGTAATAAACAACGATATTGACGACTATATCAAGTTAAGAAATTTTAAACTTACTACTGATGGAGCCAACAACTCTTTACGATTAATAAGAAATTTTAGATTACAGAGAGGCTAGCTGCCTTTAATTATTGATACAGCGAGCGTTTTAGCATCTACAATTATTCAATACTGCCATCTACTATAGCATATATTTACAATCAAAACTAAATTAATAAAGACACTAGAAGTACTATTCGCTAACTTTTAGATTAGATTAACATTGGAAGGTTATTCATCTCCCATCAAAATAGGGCGATGGATGGACAATTGTTAACATCATTTCTGGATTATAAACTTACCATGAGGAAAACAGCTCCAAGTAGCGTTGCTTTAATTTTAACATCTAAATCTACTGGAACTAGAATAGGTGATAATAATAATAAGGCAGTATAAGATTTTAGTTCTATAAGTGAGTTAGGCCTATGTATACGTAGATCGAATATGCGAAACCTTTCAATTATTGTCCTAGTCTATTTGTATCGGTTTTAATTTTGATCTCATTAAATTTACACTACATATCGAATAAATATTAACTTTTGAACCGATTATAAATTTAAATTACTTGAATCTCATTTTCTAATTCTTAATATTATGTGCTGCTTCTATCTGATATATATCGAATTTATCTTAATTTCCGAATCGACTAGTCAATTAAATTTCATTTTCTAATTTTTAATATTAATTACACAGGGAACTAATTTCAACTTTCGAATCAACCATTTAATTTATTAGATTTCATTTTTTAATTCGTAATATTAGAATGCGCTGCTTCTTTCTGGTCCTGATCACTTATGGTGCGAATATTATAGTGCTTGTGATTTTTATGAAACTTTTTCCTAAAGTTTGATCTGGCATTAAAAATTTATTGAATTAAATGAATTCTATTTTTGGCTAAATTATATATTTAATCAGCAGAAAAGCTGCATTAGTTAGCGTCAGGGTGGAAGATAACTCGTAATTATTTCACTACAGAGAATCTAACTAATTGGCCAAAATATCTTTTGACGATATAATGAAAGCTTGCATTTTCACCTTATTACAATTAGCGTAGTTGTTCTCCTGAAGAGATCAAAATTTTAAATTTCCTTACATCTTATCCCAAAATTGTCTGCAAGAGTAAACGTTTCTCGCCATAATCCAGGCCATTGCTTTGTTATTTTCCCTATAACAGTCTCTCCATCACTCGTTAATATCTGGAAATTAAATACGAGCTAGTTAAAAATTTGGCGTAGTCGTAGATAACTGTAACATTAGTAATGCAATATCTACAAATCAAATTGAGTATCTAGCAATGCCGATATTCTAGAAGCTGCAGAAGGCTGCTTTTTCCTAGCGTAGTCATTTGGCTTTAGCAGTATGCCCACTTTAATACAATATTGGATGGTTGAATAAGAGTTAGATAACATTTACGTACATCGAAATCGATGTCGGTAAGGCATGAGCACAACCAGCAAGGTCCTCTAATTTTTAATACTGGATCTCTGAAAGTATTTAAGATGTTGAATTCTCGCTTAACAAAGGTTTGTCTAATTAGAAATGGAAGATAGACTGAATGTTAGCTGATGTGATATAAATATTTGATAATGAAGCGATGTTTTAGTAAGGAAAAAGATTGATTTACATTTGCCGGACGTAACCTATAGTTTCACCGGGAGGTGCTTGAACTTCTAATTCTTGTAGACAACATGGAAAGCAACGGCATCCTAATCGCATGGGGCGCGATAAATGGATAATATCTCGTTTCATATTGTCGGTTAAGTTTATTTCGAATGGCCGAATGGATCCACAGCATTGCATGGTTAAGCAGTCATTACCTAAGTTCATGATTGAAAGACTAAAAATTAATTAATGATAGGAACTGATCTACAGTAGAGTGAAATTTTGACTTGAAGGTGCTTATCAATTTGAATAAATGTCGAACTTACGTTCAGAGGCAAACAAGACTTGCTGGCCCATACTATTCTTTACAAAAAATCGCTTTCGTGTTTGAAACCCCGTAACGGCTAAGAGAAAATTGTTAAAATTCAATTGATTTTCATATAAATGAACTGTTACTGTAAATTCAATCTTTCCAATTGTACGCGTACTCTATCATAAGCATCCAACAAAGTATTAACGGAACATAGAATTTGGAGTCTAGGATGGATTCCTATTTTAATTTTTTAATTGTCAATTAACATGAAATGCCTCGATCGATAGCAATTATCGTTGTTATTAAGTTAAGGTATGACAGTCTTGCACTATAAACTTTATCGCTTTAGCAGCATTACTTAAAGTGATTGCCTCCCTACCTTCGAATATCTCAATCACTTGATGAATTAAGAGTTGATCAATTTGTGTTAAGTATTCAAGACCAGGTGGAGCATCAGGTTGGCAAACTTGTGGTGGCTGCATCCATTGGATGTTTTGTAATTCTTCCGAAGTGCCATAATTTTGCTGTTCAGATGGTTGCTCAATGATAATGAGCTCGTTGGAATTGATGGATTGTTGATTAGGTCTAGATGATTTAATCGTTACTTGGGTTTCCTCGCTAGAATCAAGAAGTTTTTCATCCATAATTTTCTTTATTATTTTAGCTTTGTATTAGCAATGGGCGCTTTTTAATCGTAATATCTAATTTTTGAATTAAATTGCTTAATGAATAAGAGACAATCTGTCTATTTCGATAAAGACGTAAGGCTTTAAATTTGGCTGGATAATCTGTAGGTCAACAAATCACTATAATGATAACTGTTAAACGAATTTATAAATAGTATTATCACCACTCCGGCTGCTTTTTGGTGACAATAACAACGTTAATCTTTTCCTTCGAAGGCTATACTTCTTATTTTAAAGAAGCAACTAATGCAAACGAGGTAGAATTGATAGTTTAAAGATTTAAATACTACTTATTTTAAGTCGTTCTCTCTTATGAACTCTCAAATCGTTGATACTTAGTGGTTAAATTCCCTGGAATGCTTACAGTATTTACGTTACGACACGCTAGGAAAAACTTTAGGTTTTCTAGCCTTGTAAGATTTTAAATACCTTCATTACTTCATCTATGCAATATGGCATTAACTAAAAATAACATAGCAGCTTGCTGTATTTCAATGGAAATTGTTGACTTTAAGAGTTATATTTAGCTCATCTGGCAATGCGATTTTGCACGCTAACACAGTCTGCAAGCGATTACTTTGCTACTAGCTACTTTGCAACACTATCGGTTAGTATTATCCGACAACGCGTTTATAGCAAATGTATTTATTCATTCCATGGTATTTTACACTTTCGATATTATAAGAAAGACAACACGAGATCCATAGAAAAGAATAATCACCTTGAACCATACTTAAAACATATTCAACAACATATTGATGCTTTATGCTTGTCTATATTGACTAATAAAATATGGTCGATTGCTAGGCTTGGAATTCCATAAGGCAAACGCAGTTTCAGTCTTGTAATTCTAAATTTATCTCGGTATTTACTACAGTAAGGCTCAATTTAATGGCTTTCAGCTTGTGTCTGCACTTAAAACAAGTGCTATCATGTCATGACTGATTACTAGTGAGGTAGAAATGGCAATACCCAAACGATATAAAAAAGTGGAGCAGAAAGAACAAACACAGTAGAGTGCTCAAACTGTCTGTACAGACCCTTTCATCTATTTCAGCTAAAGGATATTTTTAAATTTTGTTTGACAGAATAGAGAGGGATCATGACTGTACTCGTACTTATGCAGAAATTGGTTAACAGCGTGCCTTTCCTCTTGTTAGAATTGACTAATACGATCTACAGTAGATTATACGGTATAAATGTTTACGATACGTTGTTCACTCAGTCTGTGTTTTTGCCGACTAGTTTAGTGTTCACTCTTCCGCTAGCCATGAGCGATTCTAAACTGAGATCAATATATACTGCCGTTTATATACTGCAAATGCAATTTATGCGAATAAATGCAAGTAGAATTAGTCGTTAGTGGTTGACAAGAAATAAAGGTATCTGGTAGATTTGTACTAGGGCGAGGACGTGTTTCTTTGACCTGCGCTCGGATAAGCAACGGAAAATATACAATATTCAATTGATAACCTGATCTCGAATATTAGCTAATATCTTCAGCTGTTTACAAATTGTCAACGGACGAGCTATACTTTGTTGTCAGCAAATAAACGGACTGGATAATACTCCTATACGAAGACCTTGTTAAGCAACAGAAATGTTGATTTTGTACAGTTGCGTATTATTATCGATTGAAAGAAGAAAGCAAACATGGTTGACTAATCCTTACCATGATTAATACGTGATTTGTATCAAATTTTATCTAGTACGAGAATGAACATTTTAATTAAAAATGACCTTGGGAGGTCTATGTTTACTCTCTTGGATGGTAGAGTGAGCCAAGATCTAAGAACAGCCTATGTCAGTATGTCGAGGAGGTGTTAAGACATCGATGATGTAATTCTCGATAGTTCAGTTTGGTCAAACTACATGTCGAGAATTCCCTAGCGGGAGGCGAAGTTGCGAACCCGGCGAATAATCTGATTGGTTTCGAAAGTCCAAAACAAGAATCAAGGGAAAGAAAAGGAGTCGCAGCTAGCTGGGCCCAGAGTTTATAGTAAAATATCAATCAATGATAGTCTCCGTATGGGAATAATTGTGTTACGAGATTGGTTGAAAATATGTTGACAAATAAGATGGGCCCGAATCCTATGCTGCTGGTAAAAAGGTCTTAGTGAGAGAGCTAAGGTAGCCTCCCAGATTTGCCAAGTAGAGATTGGTAGACGAACATTTTACTACTAGCTATAGCCTTTTTATTGCTAATATTCTAGAACCTTTTTATGTACGTAATAAAGTTACTCTTATTCTAAAGTACCCCCCCCCCCACCCCGTCTCAGCTTTACTGTGAATCAGTAGTTCAGAATAGCCTAGGGATAACAAATATTACAGAAGCATAGCCGTAAATTGACTTTGTGAGCAATTCTACGTTAATAATGAATCTAATTCAGTGGCGACCATGTTTTATAAAGACAAATGGATGATTAGCAGCGTAAGCAGAGAGTAGCATGGTTGAAATAAATAGCGTATTTTACCAAGGACTATTTCTAGTAGTCCTTAGTTGTACTTCAACTTGAAAGAGAAGTGTTTCATTTTATGAATTGTAGACAGACTTGTTTTCGTCCAGCGAATCGGTGAATATCGGCAACGGTGTTAAAACTATAGTCGTATACATAAATTAATTAAAATAAAATAAAATCGCTTCTAATCATTGAGTGAAATCAGCCGGATTAATCGATAAATTTTTGCTAATCATGACATTCTACCAGATTAAACATGGATCCAAACTTGGATTCATGATCATCAATGGTACTGTTACTGTGCAAGTACGAAATCCAGTGATTTCGCGAATAGACAGACTTGTTTTCGTCAAAGTGAATCGGTGAATAGCGTTGGTGTTAAAACTGCAGTCGTATGCAGATCATCTAATCTCATGTAATCGAATGTAGCTAATAATATATTAATTGCCCTTCCCTAATGATAACATTGACTATGCGGTTAAAACTAGTGGTATATACTGTATGCTACCTAATCTAATTTAGTTTAACTTAGCAAATAGTACATTAATAACGCTTAACTAATGATGATATTGACTATGTGGTTAAAGCCGTAGTGGTATCTACTGTGTAGTGTTTACTTCTAAATACGGTGTAGTCCATTTTTAGTGAAACGTGAATTTCCACTAAACTGCAACATAACTCTAAATATGCTTTACTTATATTTAACAATTGACTTTGTGAAAATCACTTAGACTCTAGCTAGATTATACCGTAGCATTACCCTTACGTAGAAGTAACGTATTATTATGAATCATCCGTGTCTAGAAGTAATTTCCTCTTGCTGTGCTCTTAACATTATAAAAGCTATCTTCTTTCGCCTATCTCATGAGTTAGTTCTGGTAGTTAGACGGTAAGCTTGCACGCTTTACCTATTCTACACTACTATAGTTATTCGACTAGTCACGTCATTACTCGCACGATAATCTTACACGTTTATTCTCTTACACTAGCTCAATAAAAATTACTCTTCCGTTAACTATTCTATTGACTTTATTGCGACTAATGCCAAACTCTCAACCTTCCGAAAGCTTTCTTACTGTAGATCATCTAGTCTAATGTAATTTAATTTAGTATATTAATAGCCGTTAACTAATGATGATATTGACTATGTGATTAAAACTGTAGTGGTATATATATCATCTAATCTAATGTAATTTAATTTAGCAAATAGTATATTAAATTAAGTATATTAATAGCCCTTAATTAATGATGACATTGACTATTCGTTGAGATAGTGCGTGCAGTTTCATTACTTTCATACGAAATAACACTAATCGATAATATCATCTTTAAGGATAGCACTAAGCGTTGCAAAGGTTAAAGGGATAAATTATCAACGTATCATTTTGCTAGATGAAAGATTACATCAGAATTATACATATATACGTCTAGTTTAACACCATCATCGCTGTCGCGAATAATCATGAAAATATATATATCGTTACACTAATACACTAAGTCCGAACCGTAGTGCAATGTCATGTCTGATAATAATAATTATAATAGATCAGTTATAAGTTATAATAATCCTAAATTGCCAATTATCAACATGTTATGTTATCAAAATGCTTGTCTGTGTTATGTCTAGGAATTTAGAAACTTCAATATATGTATAGAACGATGAAGCTAAGTGGCAAAGCGATCCGTTACTATTACAGCTAGAATCTGATAAAAAGGAAAGTCTTAAGACCTCTTGGCCATTGCTTTACACCATCATTCAATTACTCTACCAATGTATATACAGTGCAGTGTAACCTTCAATAAAGTCAATTAATTTGTAGCAAAGCGAGAGCTGCATTTTATGAAAAGTATCACTAGTTTACCTCAAGATCCAACACAATCACTGTATGCAAATTTACTTTCGATACATCAGGTCTGCACTATAGAGTTAAATAGAGCAATTTATTGATTGCCACGCCTAAAGCTTGAATTATAGTACTTACAGTAAATAGCAGTCGTCAGCAATTTTATTCGGATTGTCAATCGAACATCCAACTAATAAAAAATGGCTTCCAGTCGAGAAAGCGATGATGTTTCCTTCGAAGACTTTCTTAATCAGTTTTTATGTAATATGAAGAATCCAGCATTGCGACCGTCAAATAATTATCCTTCATCGAAAGGAAAGCATCGACGCGATCGTCGAAATCAACAAAATTACAGAAATGATCCGAATCAAAATCGGGTGTATGGTAATAAAACTTCACACCACAGACAAGAAAATATCGAATCATCTTCACAAGAGATTCCATTTCTTAAATTTTGCCTTTTACGTGGCTCTCACGATAGTAATCAAATAGTGGAATTTCAAAATCATCAACATAATTCCTATCGTCGAGATGGCGAGATCAATAATCCGCGTTATGTAGCTTGTTTATCGGAGAGCCCTGATGCACGCAATGATGATCAAGACATTGAAGAGTTGGCAAAGGTAATACAATATTGGATAGATCAGGTTATGGTGCCCTGTGTTGATCAATCTAAATTTGAAAATCTCAACGCTACTATTCGATTTGGATACAGCTATATAACAAGGTTGAATCCATTTGTTGATCAAATGCCAGTGACTCAATTTAAAGATTATTTTCTATCTCTTAAAAATCCTTTACGCTCCCGCAGTTGTCATGTACCGTATTACCTTTCCACTGGATTTTATCCAATCTTTGACAAACTTTGTGACAATGAGGATGAAAATAGAGACGACAATTTATTCATTTTGGATAGTGAAGATGAAACTTTTAGAGTCTCGATAGCAACGGCTCAGTTCCAAGATCACTTTTATGTCGATTATAATAGGCAGATGGAGTTAGTGTTGAGTAGGGAAGAGGGAAGATATTGCAACATTGACATTAAAAACTTTCCTGATGACTTGGATGTTCGAATTTGTCTTTCCAATACCATTACTACATGTCAAAATGAATTTTCATCGAAAATGCAGCAATTCATGCAAGGAAAAGCACCCGTAATAAGGCGAAACGTTCATACCGGGGCTGTTGTTGTTGGTAAAGAATATGTCCACCTTGTTCCCAATGTCAGACATAAAAAGTCAAAGATATACAAATTCTCCAAGAATGCACCGTTATTAGTGGACGATTTTCGAACAGCCACTGTGGTCAAAGTTGTCAATGTTTTAGAATATATAAATATTGACGAGGCCACTGGCGAATTTCAAGAAATCCATAAAAAAAACGAAGTCTCGATTACTATCAACTTGAGTCAACTAATAAGAGAAACTGATTGCAATTTACTTGCTCGACAATTGTATCAATTGGGCTTTGAAATCATACCAAAGTATTTTAGTTGACTTGATACATCGTCGACGAATGCTAAATTAATCCGTGATTTGTGGATATTACTATTCATTTGTTGAATTCATTCACATTTCTGCTTGGAGTTGAAATACGCTTAACTAGTACAGTAGTAGTGTTCCAAAGCCTTATGTTAGTTTTCAGTACTCTAACATTTTAGTATTGATTGATTGATCTACATATAAAAATCCTCTACCTCATCGAATAACTAAATTGGTTTACTGCAGTGTCTTTGCTTGAACTTACCGCTTGGACTGACTTATTTGAATCGATTGCATTATTTCTAGCCTTGTCTACTTTGTTAAAGTAGTGAGTATTGAATTACTCGTGTTTACTATCAATTATAAAATTAAATCAATAAAGCATTAAATATATATATAATTAGAATGATCTAAGTGTAGATGAGTGATAATAATTCATGAATGTATGTAGTAGTATTAAGCCTAAATCACTTAGCGAGTGTTGAATTACTCGTATTTACTATCAACTATAAAATTGAATCAATAAGGAATATAAGTATATATGTTATATATTATTAGAATGATCTAAGTGTAGATGAATGATAATAATTCATGAATGTACACTTGCACAATATCAGTTCGCAGCATGATGTGATAAAATCGTTTTGCAAATAGTATTTCTGTCCCATTTGGCAGCTATTCATCATCTCTCCTTTACCTGAAGTTAGGAGAGTACTACCGTATATCCAAGCAATAATCTGAATCGAACTTCGTCTAAAACTCTCCTCTACTTCATCTAATGACTAAATTAGTTTACCACAATTTCTTTGCTCGAATTTACCGCTTGGACTGACTTATTTGAATTGATTGCATTATTTCTTGCCTTGGCTACTTTGTTAAAGTAGTGAAATATCAGTTCGCAGCATAATGTGATAAAATCGTTTTGCAAATAGCATTTCTGTTCCATTTGGCAATTATTCATCATCTCTCCTTTACGTGAAGTTAGGAGAGTACTACCGTGTATCCAAGCAATCATCTGAATCGAACTGTGTTCGATATTTGCCTGCTCTACTGATCGATTGAGTACATTGCAAGCTAGGTAGCACAGAGGTCTGACGTTTCTACCATTGGATAGTGCAATTGTACAAAATGGATGCCAAAGGCATGATTTTGACCAATTAATAAGTACATCATCTTGCAATAAAAATAAAGCATAGAGGCAAAGTTTTATTTTCACCTCGATGGCCCATAGCAACTGATCTCGAAGGGCCTCTAAAATAGAATGAGCTGTAGCGGGAGTGGCTCGTACTGGATGGACGGGACATGCGGACGATGCTCCTGGGATCCAGGCACAAGATAGCTACGCAAACATGAGTTACGCCTAATAGTAATGACTAGGAAGCAAAGCTCGTGGCGAGCAATGCATTCAGCAATCAGCTCAGCCATTATTTTCATCAGTATTTGAAATGATTCCATAGCAAAATCGCTTTGCAGCCATTTTCTACCAGCAGAAAATCTTCAACTAGTCACTACTAACACTAAATTGACTGTAAAATATAGAAAATCTTTTCAAGGTGGACATTAGTGAATCCATTGCAGGTTATGAAGTGAATTTCTGATGTTTTTAGTACCTTATCAACTCGAAAGTGGACATTTGGACAATGGAGGCAGATGGTAAATTTTTACGTTTCAGCGAAGTTCGCGAAATACAGGTATGTTGAATATTTGGCGAATGATCTTAATCAAATAGGATATAAGCATTGCTTTGATAGAGGTTAGACTGTATTTTAACCACATAGTTGCCATTGTCAATGACATGGCGATGCTAAATCGAACCTTCATTGCTTTGATGCTGTTGTGCAGTGACTGGTAGAAAGTGCTTGCGATGAAGAGTAAGTGGAATAAGTCAAGTTTAGTGTTGTTCAGTAATGCAGCGATCAAACTATCGGAATGCCATTTCTCTCCTTAATAGCATTCAAGAAACATGCAGAAGTTCAATCTCATTACAGTCTAATACAATACTCTTCTTATTACTCCATGCTAACCAAAAATAGACACCTTAATCATCCATTTTTTCTACTGTTTAAACATCCATTCTGTCGATCCGTAATGCTTAGTAAACAGAGACCTGGAAACGAATAAAATTGGTAGAAAGAAAGGATCTAAAGTCGATTTCAAATCGTAGTAAAGTAGAAATTGTTATCCTGCCCAGTCGTAATTTGCTATTGGAGACATCAATAACTTAACTTACTTGCTTCATAGATGACAATATACGTTGATGCAGCTGTAGTGTACAACGAGTACTCACAGTGTCTATTTTCCAGCGATGGACTTGTACAGCATGTGCAGTTGAACAATTTTAAACTGTCGCCAACAAATCTAGTACACAGCATAGCAGTGTACTCTTTCTTTCAAATGCTGCTAGGACAGACAATTAAGTTATGTAAGACGGAGTTAATGCTACTAATTCAACCAAACCAATTTAGTAACGGATGGAGAGCTACAGTATATAAGCAGTCTCCAATCCAGCAATAACAGCTCCTGATTAATGTTTTTTCTCCCCTTATAATTTAAGCTTTGAAAATTCATTTATTCATTTATGACAGAAAGCTTCATAGACTAATTATTTATAGAAAAGAAATGATAACGACAACTCATCTTGCTATTAGAAAGCAATAGACTATCGATTAGGCTTAAATGTAATTATATTGTATAATTGCGTATATTATACTGCAACGTGTAGTAGCAAGTTGTTACGAGACCTACTCATACAACTGAAATATATCGTCGTAGGTAAAATTACTTATAGCATGTACTATTAAGCCTAAATCACTTAAGAAATTATTCTCTTTATTACCTTATTACGAATTTGAACTCCATCGTGGATTTCAAAACACATCTACAAATTGGCTAAAAAGGTGCATAATATTGATGCTTATGACGACAATACGCCAGCTATTCAACGATCAAGTATGGAGACTCCAATTGCTAATGTAAGATTGAACATTTATGTCAAGTGATGATTGTTATTTGTTATCATCGCAACGATCATGATGATAGTAGCATGACTGCAAATCGATAGTAAATTGTGGATATGTAGTTGAGTCCCGCGCTTGATCGAATTAATTAATTGGTTAAAGGAAATAGTTTATTGCTACACCAAGCGTACATGCAAAGCATTTTCCCATCCTGTCTGAATTACGTCGTACTTATTGTAATTTTAGGATCTCGATCTAGTTGATACTTTCCAACTGCACTTACGTTGGTTCTACATTGAAGAGTAATATCTTTATTATTTCCCGTTTAATGCTGTCTGTGTAATGTACTCTCTTCGTAATGATTAGTCAGCACGATTCAAGATCGAGTTGGTGTCTACAGTGCTTGTGGGTTTGCCTAGCTTTAGCTTTCCGCTATGAAAGCATGCATACAGCGGCTCCATTTACAGTACATTTGTCAGTAGTACAAATAACGGCTTTTATAGAGTGTCTTTGAGGTCTTGCTTAAAACTATATCCAATTTAATCGCCATAATTCCTTTATGTCCATCTTAAGCTTTGAACATTAAAGGTAATAATCTTTTCAATATTTCACAACTATATGCGTATACTGTTGTATAGAGCAACGTCGGATTTAAATTATTGCAGAAAATGGGTTGGAGTTCTGGCGATGGCTTAGGAAGGAATAAGCAAGGTCTATATGATATAATTCTTATGCAAATACATAGCGAGATAGTTACTGCGTATTAATAGCATTATTGGAAATAGAACTCAAATTTAGAAAATTTACAATAGTACTAGAGAATGCATTCTGCTAGTTATTTAAAGTCTTAAGAGACTAGGCAAAAAAAAGGAAGATCATTAATTGAGTCCACTTTTTGCTTACAAGGTCGTACGGATCCTATTCCTATTGTCATCAAGGAAGATATTTGTGGAATCGGCAGAATTGAAATGGAAGTAAGTAATACTAGTAAAGCTACCTCACGCCAGTATCTTGTAATATCATAATCTACTATGAGCTTTGATGGTGTATATTTTAATGAATTGCCCTAATAAATGTTTTCTAACCAACTTGCATAACCAATAACAATATTACGAATCGTTTATGTGGACCGCCTGTTATACTATTCTCCAATCTTTGTAAAAATTGGCTTGAAAAATTCTTACAATAAATAATTATAATTGAACATTATTATTATCAATATAAGATGGAACAAGTGCAAGAAATTACAGAAAAGAGAAAGCCATTAGAAATTGAAAAAGAGAGCACTCCTGAATTAATGATGAAGTATCAGGTTAATATTTGGAATCAAGATATTACAAGTATTATTGCCTAGCACTGTATGCCTTTTCTGTCTTTATCTTGGCTACTGGCAATGCTAGGACAATTTACAAAAGGAAATTGATAGAGAAAAGTCACTATCAAGCTTAAAAAGTTCATTTTATTGCGAATTATGCGACAAGCAATATTTTAAATATCATGAATACGATAATCACATCAATTCCTATGATCATGCACACAAACAAGTAAGTTTATGTTGTTGCAAGTAAATTTTGTGATTTCTTCTTTGTTATATTTTGGCGAATCCTTTTGACTAATAAGCAATCTGATGATATCTGTGCTTACCGCTATAAATATTAATACTGTATGACTCTATTGTAGAGGCTGAAAGACCTATCTCAGCGTGAATTCGGACGCAATCAAGGTATTGTCATAGTGACTTTTTAAGTCTATGTGACCGACAATGGTAGATGCATGACAATTTATTGACTTGACGTAATCTCGGCTACGTTACTTCTTGATGAATAAACTTCTGTAGACATAAAAAGGCGACGGGAACAGAAACAAATGGAAAAGGAATTAAAACGAATTCATTCCATAGCTAATAAAAAAGCTGGCGTGGATACTGAAAGGTGATCAATACAGAGCGTTAGTTTTAGATTTTGCTACGTGTTCACAATATTGCAATTATTATTTAACGTGATAGTGAAAGACGTATATTAAGATTTCTATAATATAGATACTGGATATAACTCTATCGCACAATTGATGGGATATTTTTATCATTATTATTAGCTCGGATACTATCTTGTCTGAATCGTGCTTTAAAGGTAGCACGAGTGTCAGCAGAGATCCCGTCAAGGCTGGATTTGCATCTTCATTTGCTCAAAGCCGCGATAACAGTTCTAAATCCTCTTCAGTAGGAGGTTTTAAACCCGTTGAAGGTCTTTCGACAGCGACGACTTCAAATCTAACGAAGGAAAAGATTATTGATAATACCCCAACGAGTAATATACTTGTAAAACCTAACAGTAGCAGCACTATTAAGAATAAGCCATTTTCATTTTCGTTTAAATCCGGTAATAAGGGCAGTGATATAGTAAAGGCTGGTAATAAAAGTGGGGGAGAAAACCGAAAGGAATCAATCAACGCCTGTGATAATAGTCTTTCATCTGTTCAACCACCATTGCCACTTTGTGATGACGGCGATAAAAATCCGGACTCTAATTCCTCAAAGATATCAATTTTACATAGCGTTGATGATCGTCCCCCTCCTCCTTCGCCACCACCTCAGTCTACAAGATCGGTAATTAAATTTTCTTTTGGAAGTAGGAAAAAGTAGCTTCATTACTAACTAAATCATTTTATGTCATTACTAGTATATTTTACTTTGTATATTTTTTACCCTTATAAATATGTCTATAGTAGTTGTAAAAGGAGGAATGTAAAGTATTTAGAGTTGTAGCTATTGGGACAGCTTGTGGCCCAGTGTTAAGCACTCTTGATCGATCATAATGCAAGAATTTATAAATTACACTGAGTGGAAATGTTAAGATTTAATTTATTTTTAATTCTTGTATGTAATCAAAGAATAGCTCCTATCCTAGGTTGGATCTTGTTAACCATGTAAAATGTTTATAAAACTGCTGCATCCGTACGTGATCAAAAGAATCAATGCTTCTGATTAAAATATGATTTTAATTTTCAGTTATTAGCCCTAGTATGCTTCAATACGAGGTAGGTTAACGCCAAGCTTTAGCAATAATTTATATAATCAAAGAAAAATTTACAATCTTAGGAAAGGTGCAATTTTGTTTATCAACTACTAAAGAGCTTACAGCCGACATAACCTTAAGGCAATACGCAATAGTATTTGCAAAGCTGTGTCATTGTACCGACAAGTCTAGTTGGAATTTCACGCATGTTTATTAACTTAATAAGATGGAAATAACTCTTGCGTGTGCAAGAATTGAATGAGCTACATAAGCAAAAAACCTGCAAGTTAATTTGGAAAGCAGAACGATTTCAATTCAAAGTTAAAAACGACCACATTATCTACTATATAGTACATTGCCTTTAATTAAGTATTACAGTACAAAAGAAATTAGTCTTATTTAGCAATCAGTCGACAACAATATGACAAAAATTAGATAAGGACCAAAGATTAAAGATAAAATAAAAGCAAGTGGGTTAAAATTTTAGGATTTTTTCAGTTCTCAATTCTAAGCGATAATATACTAACGTACCGTTGTATTAAACTTGTATCCATTTCGATTTTGAAAGTGAAATTAAAATTGATTAAAGTTAGATGGTATCGACAAGATCGATAGGGTGGGTAATCGCCATTTGAGATCGCAATGAGCATACAATCCATCAAAATAATAGCAAATTAAATCTAAGCAAATACGATGCTTTGTTTTATCGTGTTTTGACCTGGTTTAATATGAGAAATGCTTTATTCAATCTTCGCTTGGAATTTCTTCGCCATCTACGATTAGAGCATGAATAATTCCGTCCCTCTTTTTACCGGAACTTATCGCTTTTATGTAGCAGTTATGATTTCGATATGTAAAATGTGTCTCTGTACCGTCTTCAACAAATTCTCCCTGTTTGTACAAAAGATTGAATATTATTGGAGAGAATTGCAATTAATTATTTTATTGTCATCATTGAAAAAAAAAAAAGAAAAAGAGTTTCTATGATTTAATTGAATATCTATCTCACTAGACATTGAGTCTGAAGATGTACAATTTTGAAATCAAGCTAGCGTGTTGCGGTAAGAAAATAGGATCGTCGACCAAGATAGTAAGGTAGCCTAATAAAAAGTTGTCATGGTATCGATCGTAGGCTTACTTTTAGACAGATGAGAAGGATAGGAAGAGCATCATTAATCTTACAACGCTACGTAATACTTAGCATAATCATCCATTATAATTTAATTTTACAGCTTTATCTATATGTATTAACTACTAGAGTAACGTATTGTTGTTCTTCAGCTGCTAGTATTACTGTTGTCATTATCACAACACGGCTTATCGACGAGCTAATGCAGTACTGTACTAGCCGATGTTGGATATTGAACATTTTCAATGCATATATAAATATATATATTCGAAAGAGAGAGATTACATCCATTGGTAATTATTGCGAGTAATTGATAACAAATAAAAACATAATGGTGCATTTGATATGTAATATCCTTTTATTTATATTTATATTGACTATTGATGCATCGTCCTACCGCTGTGTTTAATTTCTCTCCATTAACCCAAACATCCAGAGAGTCCTTTTCTACGAGAAAAATACATAACCACAGTTATATCCACAATAGAGTATTGGCAATTGAAATGGGCTGAGAGTAGTGGTAGTTGTGAAGAAAGCAGTTGAACAAGCAAATGGAAAGAACAAGCGCGTACTACTTTACTTGATTCCTATTTGAAGATTTTATTATTTATGGGCTATTTTGTAGTATTCCATACAGTATATTATATTGTTGATAGGCGTACTCGATCAACGTGTTTGCCGTTCTCTGTTGGATTTATAGTTCATTTGAAAGCCGCATGACGTGTAAAGACTAAATTAGACTTATTTCCTTTTAAAAGCTAATCCATCGTAAGTCTTGCTGATGACTTGTACGCGTGCAAGATTAAATCTAGTACACGATTGTATTGTTGTCTCTTGATACTGCGAATATTGTCGCGTCTCTATACTGTAGTAAACTCACGTAGGGGGATAGAAATTGTAGTCGATCTCGATTCGTAGTAGGCGGAACTAAGCTATGCGATGTCAGGTTTATTGGGAGAAAGATTGGTTTCTCTAATGTCACTGTCTAACAAGATCACAATCAATGGGATTCAAGTGTATATTTCAATGTTGGATTATATTATCATTGGGATAGAATTCATGGATAGCTTGAACTTGTCTTTGATCAAGATAAATGAGAAATTGAATAGTAAGAAATGATAATAATAATAAAACCAGTGTACTGTACTGTATCTGCAGTATAATGTAAACTATTCTGCCAACAATTTAGTAAAATCAAGTGTCCGGGAAATGGATGACTCCTGTATAATTTGTTGGACTCTTGACGATAGCGATGGCTATTGGAAAGGATTATCAAGGATGACTATCAACACGTCTACAGCCTATTGCAGTGGATTGATCAACTTACCGAAAACCACTCTTGTCGGCTCACCAGTAAGCATAAATGCCCAGGTTTTGGAACTTTTCTTGCGATTTTCTACAAATTTTTTTAAGGATTTACCGTTGACTTCGAGAGAATATTCATAAGCGAATCCACCAGCTGCATCAATATTAATGGTTGCTACGGAATTGCCTAATTTAAATTGTTCTCTACCCACTAATTTGAACATCCAGTTTTTGCGCAATACTTCCTTGTCGTTGACCCAGATAATTCGTTTACCCGATGTGGTACCGTGTTCAAAGGATACTTTATACACTTTATCGGGAAGCGCTACATCCCATCGTGCAACAAGATCGGAACTGTTCATCGCTAGCTAGATTGACTTTAATTGAATGATGATGATTCTTTTGCTAAGGTAATGGACTGTGTAATTCTTCTTGACGATGATGATATTATTGTAGACGATGGATCTGCCTACTCCGCTTGACGTTGACTTGCGATTAGCCTATCCACACCATTCAAATGTGATTGGAAGTCCGTCAGTGATCGATGGCGTTTCTTCAACCTTAATCAACTGCACGCCACTTGATTAACCAGTATCGACCCACACTAAAAGAAAGCAAATACTGTAATGAGCTTATCCAAAGGCATGTAAAGGCTTCTCCTCGCGTCTTCTAACGGATCGATGGAAAGATGCATCCAATCCCCCTTGCAACATTGCTGAAATACAGTATGTCTCTACCATGTCTGCTTAGTATAGCACTTTCAGACCGCATTCCACCCACTACTGCGCTGGCGTACTGTACACTACCGACTAGAACACGTACAATAGTGTACAGTGTACAGTGTACAGTACTTTGGTGGGCACTGTATTGTACAGTACAGTACACTGTAATCGACAGGACTATCGCCTACAGTGTACAGTGTTACAGTACTGTACTGTAACAGCTGTTGGTTCATACTGTACTGTACAGTGTACTGTACAGTACTGTACTGTAGGTCCGAAAATGTCCAAGTGGAAGTACTGTACACTTGTACTGTACTGTACATACACTGAGTATGGTACGAAATCAAACGGGCACCCCAAACGCTTTTGCGCAGTAGCCCTGAGCATGGGAAGGACAGTAAGTCATTTTGTAACAGTATGCCAAATGGTCAGGGCTAATGCCCAGTTTCATACTGTACTGTACTGTACTGTACAAAACTGTTACTCTAGCATGTCCTGCGCTGGCGCAGTCATGTGTCTTGTTCGCTTTACACAATTCTACTGTACGCATATGAATGATGATCTTGGAATTCATTGATATGTTGTGGCCTTCGAGAGAGAATTTTGAATGGAGTACCGTACAGTACTGTACACTGTACAGTTGTCCCTGTTAAAAAGCATACAGTGTACAGTGTACAGTATTGTACTGGCGATGGCTTTTACTGTACGGGATGCTCTGAGTACAGTACAGTGTACTGTACTGTACTGTACAGTACTGTACAGTCCTTGTGCTTACACTCAACATGTACTGTACTGTACACTGTAAGGTACTGTAGGTCTATTGTCCTGCCAATCGGTGGTCCGTTACTCTACCGTGTACTGACTGTACTGTACTCTGTACTGTACAGTGTACAGCATGTACAGTACGTACTGTACGTACTGTACTGTACAGTACTGTACTTGTGCCTGCACTCAACATGTACTGTAGGTGTATTGTCCTACCAATCTGACATCCGTCTATCTTTCTTTCCGTTGTCATGCTTTGGAATACTGTATACTGTATTTTGCTGAAAGCTTGCGTTAAACGACTGTAAGATCTTATCAGCCAAAGACGATCGACGTGAAGCTGACGTCCGTCTATCTTTCTTTCCGTTGCCATGCTTCGGAAGACAGTGGAACAGTATTTTCCAACCGATTAAATGGGTAGCAAAACTTGCACATCAATGATTGGATGTCAACATGAAGAGACTTATTGGCAAATAAGTCTCTTCTAAATCGACTTGACTAGGCCGAAATCAACGACAAATAGGATTGTATACAATCAGTTTCAATAGTCCCTTCAGTAGATCAATATCAACGGTCAAGAATCGCTTGATGAAGGCGATAGGATAATCAACGCCATTGCTACAGACTGAGTTCGACAATTGACATTCAATCAATCGCCAGAGACTAGACTCAGTCAACGATGGAGAAAACCCATATCGCTGCTATAGTTTGCTTGATTTTAGCCGTTACCTTGAATGTTGCTTCTTTAGTCGATCAGGAATAGATTTACATATCAACACCAGGTAAACCATGGATATTGATCTCGGTTCAAACTGAAATGGTTTCGTGATTGTTGCAGATGCTCCCTTCCTGTTAGTGAGTGCACAACATACGGATACTCGAATAGACGAGTACAATCCAACAGTCTACACGATCGTGACCATACTATGCTTCCTTTACGATGTCAAATACAACAGCCCAATGCCCTATTCCTTCCAATCACAATGACATCGTTGATCAGTAAAGGGTGTCTGATGTTACAGTTACGATTGTTGGATTGATAGTCTTATTGAAATGAAGGAGTAAATGCTAGTGACCCTTTAATTACAGCTGTTTTAGCGTGTACAACATGGAAGAGTTGTCGAAGGATTGGCATGAAAACGATCATGGCCGGCCGCACAAACATATTATGATAATAGATTAGAATTGACTGTGTTACCAAATTCGGCAACATACAGTAAGATATACAAAAAAGTTACTTTGGAAATGAGTGTATGAATTAGTCACCAAATTCACTGAAAGATTTTCTCCCTTATAATAAATCATTTGTTTCACAATTTACGACTAGTAGAACAGGACTGTATAGGGCTTCACTAATGCCCAGTAATACCTATTTGAATACAGATAGTAACTACAGTGTTGCCATCATCAGCGAACCAATGGAATCGATAGGATAAAGCTTTTTAGATCTCGTCCTCGAAAGTGGATTCGCATTTGAACGGAGCATATAGGGCTGCACTTAAACCCAGTAGGCCTATTTGGATACAGGTAATAACTACAATGTTGTCATCATCAGTGAACCAATGGAATCGATAGGATAAAGCTTTTGGGATCTCTTCCTCGAAAGTGAATTAACGCATTTAAACAAAGCTACTGCTAGAGTCAATATAAAGAGCCAACTTGTAGTTCTTCCATGTTTACTGACATCGATCTTTCGTGCACGATGCAATACAACGTCTTATAGGCTGATCGTTATCGCCTTGATCTTGTACAGTTGTTCTAAACCCTATATTACATGTAAAGGATATCCATGGCTTAGGTACCGCGTTCACATGAAAAGAATATCGGACAAGTGTTCTCTTAAGTTGCCCGATTAGTTTATCCCAATACAGTAACACAACACAGTAAATGGCAATATTACAGTCAATGTGTATTAATCATCACCAGAATCCTTGGTCGCTCGCGATAGCTATAGTCCACCAATAAATATTACTTCCTCAATATTGTACTATAAAAATTGAAACTCTTCTCTTCGTGCTTTAACATACCCTCTATCAACTTCTTGTACTGTAATCATGCACTACTCAATACTATTCCAGTAGAGTATCGAGTAGTTCATGTTGTATTACAAACTTTTAATCCTTCGTCTGTGGTTCTATCAAGTTATGATTACAGTAAAGCGATGAATTAAAATTTGTATTTTATTACATTATAGAAGAAAATTACAAATTTCCTTCTAGTCTAACTATGTCGGTTTTCCTTGCGTGTATAAAGTAACGATCGCAATCTTAATAACGTAAGCTGTCTACACTTTTCTATATAGAATATACTACAATTGGCTTATTTACAATTTGCGTAAGAGATCGGTTAACTAGCAAATTCCATTGCCGACCTGTACAACTCTCCTTAGAGTGGTCAATCTTATTTGTACTGGTCATTGGATCTGGCCTCATGCTCTTAGTGACTATTTGTGTAATGTGCCTATCCATCAGAATGCAAAACTTACAAATTCCTTGTAAAGTCCTTTCGGTTATTACACGTAAGCATAAATTAGCTGCGATACATCATTGTCTTATTCATTTGTATTACTAATTCCTGATAGCTAATTATAGTGCAAGTAAGGAGGATAGCCTCAAATAGATCAAAGACTAAAATTGTTTGAATTATACGAAAATAGACAAATTGCATATGAGATTGTAAGATTCGACATAGTCATTGGCAGTAGTTAGACGAGCCTAACTTTTACAATAAAGTAGAGTTTACAAGAAACTGTAGTTCTTGTTTTTGAAAAGATGCTTGATCACAGAGTACGATATATTTCGTTACGTAGAAAAAGAACTTGTCCAAGCTAATAATTATAGTATGGAGTTCACAAATATCACTGGAGATTATTATTACATAAATTTAAACCTAACTTGACGTTACCTTGGAAAGATAACTTTACCAGCAAACATATTCCTTAAGTGCCATTGATCCAAGTACTTAAAAACGCTGTTTTCACTTTGTACACTATTAATTTAACGAATAATATCCATTACGCTAGGAATAATGTTGCAATAGACAAGTTTTGCACGCATATAACCACGAAAATCTTTTATACTCTGAGTAAATGTCACAAAGTACACATTAACAAGTAGATTCTTTTCTGATATATAAAATTTAAACCTATATATATATATACGCGTACGGACATCTACACAAGTATATTATCAACAGATTAGACCAATAAACTTGAAATCAATGTTGTTGTTAAATTAGGTCAATTAATTATTTTATCATATAGTATACATTTAAGATTCTCTTGTTAATCAGCATTGCTACGTATTAAAGCATGAAATATAAATCAATTGGCACAGCCAATTACTTGCAACGAATTCAGCTTCAAAGAGTCACTTTCTATTCAATATATTTCAAAGCAACTATTAACTGTCATGTTAAGTTTATAACCGGCAATTATCACAATTTCAATTGTTACTTTTATACTCCATATTCTAACCATATATTGGTTTCTTCTAGTGATTATATTTTGCAGCGCCATGTTGCTTTTCCCGGTAGGATTTCACATTCCAGCTATTGGCGGCCAACCATATCGACTGCCATCTAATGCTTACATTGGTAGATGTTTTCCTCTTTTTATCGCTGCTAACTTTCTCACCTTTGTTGGCACCCTTTTAGCGCATAGAACTATATGCCAAATGTTTAGCTACGATCAATCTGATCAACAGTTGGTTTAGAAAATTGCCATTTTATCGTCTTTACTAGTTCAAGTATCCAAAATTATCTGTGCTATTACTCGGTAGATTCTCTACGTAAATAGCTATTACTTGAGATATCTAGGCGATTTCCTAAATTACTAGATCAACTATATTCTTTAATGTAGAATTTTATTATAAATCATTTTATTTAATCCATTGTCGGGAATTTGGTACCTTATTTATCTTGCAGTATTAAATCTATAGGAGACTAAAATAAACAGTTACATAAAAAGGGACTTTTCTCGGTAGCTATCATGAAAGGAACTGATGTAAATACATTTTGTCTTACTAATTTATTAACGAATTAAATACTTTATACTCTTAAATGAGACAGCTGCGACTATATTGTCCTTCAGTACATTCCTAGCATAACTATGTATATGATCAAACACTTATATCACGAATATTTAAAATATTTTTGATAAATTTGAGATATCTGTCCATATGTATTATAATTTAAAGTTGTCATATAGTACTTAGCTTTATTTTTGTTGCTATCAGCCAACTCTTTATAATAAATAAACTTCGAATTATACCTGCTAAGCTTGTTCTAGCTATAGTTTATGTTGTATCGAATGGAAACGTTATCTCTATTTTGTACAAGAAATTTGGATAAAGGTTATTCTTAACCGTACAACAGTATCCCTGACATGTACAGTACAGGTAATCAATTAGTTGTATAGCACCACAGTATTTTATTTTGTTCATTAGTAGATGTTAGCATAATCTCAGCTTAATAAATAATAATAATATTTACGATCTTAAGGTGTTGCTAACAAAAGCACTTAAAATATTTTTGGCCGACTAAAGCCGGTGAAATTATTAATGTAGAGGTATATACGCGTATATATTAGTATACCCTAAGCACCTATAGCAGCAATTATCATACTATAACTTCGAATTATCTGCTTACTATTTCGCTAATCCTATGAATTTTAGTTTTATTACATTATAATAGCAGTTACTTCAAAACAACCAGTCTTAGTTCTATATATACGAGCTGGGAATACTCATCGAACAAAGACTAGGGATATTGTCGTAAATATAATATCAAACAAATAGCAAATCCATGTCTAAAATTACAATTTTTTATTACTGGCATACAAACCTGCATACCAAATAAATACACCTTAGTAATTTATCTACATCTTACGGTATATTTTGAAGGTTTTTTATGCTAAACCAGTTTGGGATGAGATTACATACATGTAATTAGATTTTGAAATTATTCACATTATTGCTATTACAAACAATAGAATAAGAAGAATGTTTCCGAAAAATAATTCCGTTTAATTCTTCACCTTCCCAATAACTGTGCAGTGAAGCATCTACTTAGCAACTGATAATTTCCTACTAAATATTCTTTTCTCATAATAAATAGCTATACCGTAATAAGCTACTTATACAAAGGATATAGCTGTCGGAAATTAAAGACTGAAAGGTCATTACGATAAAATAAAATTTCTCACATTTATCAAAGTTCATTGTTTAATTATTCAATTTTGCAATAAATCTGCGTCTTTAAGCATATGATAGTATTTACTGCTACTATTTGCAATTAAGTTGGAGGGTCGATCGTGTTCTTTAATGATACCATTCTCTAATATTAGAATCCTAAAATAAAAATTATCAAAGCTTCAAGTTTAGCATTAACTGATATTGAAACATCTGTCAGACAACACTGCAGCAATGGTAGCATATTCTAAAGTAACTGTGCCAATGTAATTTTATGTTTCATAAATTATTAGTACATAATTAGTAAGCAAATATACACATTTGTGCATATAAAAATACGAATATAAAATACTGTAACAATTATTTCGAAGTAAGTACATTTAAAGTAACATCTCGTACCTTGATGAATCTAAAACTGTATTTAGTCGATGAGCAATGGTTATTACTGTGGAAGCTTTAAATTGTTCTCTGATAGTTTTCTGAACAAGCTGATCACTTTCAGTATCTATCGAAGCAGTAGCTTCATCAAGTACCAAAATTTTACTGTTTTGTAGCATTGCTCTGGCCAAACATATAAGCTGTCGCTGTCCTACACTGCAAGTTATATTTGGTGATATTAAAAAACGATATCCACGTTAGGAACTCTTCGAATATCATATTCGTAAATACTGTAATTAATAAATTTGGATAAATTTAGAAAATATAGTATTATTACCAACCTCAGGTTCTCTCCACCTTCATTAATAGGCAAATATAAGCCTTTATCTAGCCTATATACAAAACTCTTTAAATGCACACTTTCTAACGCATTCCATATTTCACTATCACTGTACTGATTGGATGGATCAATATTTAGACGTAGTGTGCCAGTAAATAAAACAGGATCCTTTTCATATAAAAAAAGCTGCATTAATATACTTATGGTATCAATAAAGTACATTATTTTCTATCAAAAGAGTAGAGGCTATCCTTAACACTTAGCATAAAATATACTCATCACAATGATTTTAACCTGAGGTATAATGGTTAATTTCGATCTTAAATCATACAGCCCTATTTTGGATATATTTAATCCGTCTATGTAAATGCAACCTTCACACGGTTCTGATAGACGAAACAGAGCTCGTACTAACGTAGTTTTTCCAGCTCCTGTCCTACCAATGACGCCTAACTAATCAAAATAGATACCAAAAATTTGGAACAGCTATATCAATACCATTTTAAAAAAACTTAATATAGATATAAGTTTGTAGATAGGCCAAGATTTGAACACCAATACATAACAAAACGAACGATTGATTGAGTTCTTATTAGCTTTATATCATTCTATTATAAAACATTAATCATCAATCTCACTGAGAAAACTTTTCTAGAAATATCATATTGATTCTTAAAATGGCAAAAAAGAATCCTAACAAAATCCCTGTCAGCTTACTTTTTCTCTCGCTTCCACTTTTACATTGATATTTCGAAGAACTAGTCTGCTATTTTTATTATATGAAACAGAGTAGCTCTCAAATTCAATTTCTCCTTTACTTGGCCAGCCTGGAGGCGGCCTAGAATCATCAATAATTGCAGACGCCTAAACGCACATATTATAAAATTAGTCATTACATTATTTTAGCTGTCCTAAAATGTACTAGATCAATGCGTCTACTGGGCATTTTATGATATCCATAAAATGATCTAGAGTAATCAGTTGATATTTCTACCTGCTCAGATATATCGGAATATTCTTTAATTCTTTCTGCTGCAATAATACTTTTCTCTAAGCCATTAGCTGCCCTGACCATCCAGTTCAATACATTGGTGATCTATTATTTATTAATGGATACAAATACCGGAACTATGTTTAATCGCTTCATTATAATGCATTCATTTTCAGACTCGATACTAAGTTATCAAAACATTACGCCGCTTAAAGTCAGCATTTTGATAACTTCATATAAATTTTGCATTATTACTTACCTGTAAGGCAAAGGAAACGGATACAGCTGCACTACCAGCAAGAATAGACCCACGATAATAAACAGCGAGTGTGGATGCCAATAAAACAATGCAAGCTCCAATAAAATCGAGATGAACACCAAGCCAACTTGTTGTTAGCAATTAAAAAGAGAATATAGTTCAAATCATTTACCTTAATGTTAACTGTAAACAATTTATGAAACATTTTAAGATGACATAATTACTAACAAATTTGTGGCAGCTGATGGATAGTAAGCCATTTGATTGACGTCTACTTTTTTATGACATTCCGTAGCAAATCTTTCTTGGACACCAAAAGATCGAATAGTGGCTACGCCTTGTAGACTTTCGCTAAAGTGTGAAAAGATGGGAGACCTAGATATCGATTCCAAGCGCCCTAGTTGCCTCGATGTCGATATATAGAAGCGCTACATTAAATTTATTCGAATATTCTTGATCATGAATCGATATAAAAGCACTATCCAAGGTAATTCAATAGAATGAACTTATGCCTTACCTGAGTAAAGAAATACATAATGAAAAGTGGTACAATCGCTATTATAAATGTCGGTGTAGATACGCTGACAACGACAATAACCATAAGAGCACTAACAGACATGGAAAGAAAGCCGCTAAACATGGTGGGTACAACTTCATCGATTCCGTTAATATCATGCGAGAAACGATTAATAATTCTACCAATGGGCGTAGAATCGAAGAAGGATATAGGTGCATTCACCACACTATGAACTAGATTAAAATGAAAATCGTCGGATGCTTTGATTCGGGCTAATGCTATAACGATAGCGTTCACTCCCAAAACTACAATTTGAATGGCTGCAATAAGTCCATAAATTCCGAGATAGTACTCATCACTTTGTGTTGCATTGGTATTATTTAGGTTGGAAGTCCATGTAACTAACCAAAAGCTAGACACTGCATAACATGCTTGGCCAGCAATTTCAAATAATACGATAATAATGCCTAAAAAGAATCCAATCGATTTCATATATAGCAAGTAGACCGACACTTTTACCTAAGTGTTATTGGAAATGAAGAACATAACCTGTAGGTTAATCATACTTGTTGGATAATTCTCCTCTCAATTAAATGATTACAAGAAATTATTTTGTTAATTGATATTTACCTGTCCTGACATTGCTTCTTCATTACTAGTAATTTTCTTTTTCTTAATTTCCCGTTTCAATTGTTTCTTAAAGGAGTCCTTAGACTTTGACTTTATTCGAATAACTCCTGTCCGATTTTTCGGATTAGGTACCGGCGATGATACTGTAGAAATGGTGCTTACTTGACGATTAAGTTTGATATTTTCTTGATTATCGTCATTGTCTTGGTCTAATTCTTTTTCTTACAAGGAATGCGGACATAAGATCAGTGATACTCATTTGAAAATGAAATATTTCCTCGATACAATTCACTTATATACAGATATTGATCAACGAGCTATAAATACATATTACCATATTTATTTGGAGTTTCATCAGTTTTTGTAAATGTTTGTAATACTTCAGAAAAAGCTCCACCATCTGCAATCAACGTTTTATACGTGCCCCTCTAATGAAGAAGTCGTGGCTTAAATATTGCAATAGCTATCCAATCACAAAGGTAGTGGAAACTAATTTCGCAAACCTCAACTATTAAACCTTTATTCATGACATAGATTTGATCCATTTGGGGAAGAAAGCTTAAGTTATGAGTTACTAATATGCGTGTCTAATTAGAAAATGAACATTTATCCATTTTGTAGTACAGTTAGCTTGCAACGCTTTGAGAAAGAACTCTTATTAGAAACACTTAGTTCTTGCATTAAGTCAGGTACCTTGTGCCTTAATGTCCCGTTTGGCCCAATAACACAATTAAAAATTGCTGTTCCAACATTGATATCCACTGCACTAAGTGTATTATCGAGGAGATATATATCACGATTGCAGTAAACTGCACGTGCTAAATTTAAACGCTGCTTCTGACCACCACTAAGATTTAATCCCTAGAAGAATCGATTACGGATCAGTTGATGTTGCTGTCGTCCATAATTATTCTATGCTTAACTGTCGACAATATCAATGCTGAGGAGCTTATAGTATGGTACCTTTTCTCCGATTTCAGTTAAATCAGCACCAGGAAGTAAGCGAAGGTCGTGATAAAGGGAACAAGCTTGCAAAGTCTGCCTATATCTTGCCGTATCATATTCATTCCCAAATAGCACGTTATCTTTAAATGAACAATTTTCGATCCATGGTTGTTGTGGAACATAGGAGATGGATCCCTATACCATGATAAGAAGATGATCAATATAATCGGTCTACGACTTAGAAACAAGAATCTCATAACTTTGTGGTAGTAGCCTAAATGAAAATGAATAAGACACTGTAGGTTACTTCGACGAAAGCATCGCCATGAGAGCGGTGTAATTCACCAATAATGGAATTAAGCAAGGAAGACTTTCCGCTACCAACATGTCCAACGATAGCAACTAGGGAACCTTTGGGTATTTCAAGTTGAATTCTATCAGAAAGAGATCGATTAATTTAAATTTTCATCAGAAACGAGAGCAGTTATGTCGACAGAAACCTGTTCAGGACGGGTTTGTCATCGGTTGGTGACCATTTAAAGCTAGCTTTATTGAAATTTACAGCTATCGTCTCTAATAGAAGCATTCAGAAAATTAATTTAGTATTCCGTTGCTAATTTCGTGATTGGAATGGCTGATATTAACTTTAGTGGATGTATTTATTGAGTCTGAGGCTCTAAAGCTTATTATTATTAAGAGTAGAATGCGACAGGTAAAGTGAAATAATAAGATATAGTGTTCATCATTACAACCTTTTCCCGGAGGCATTTGCCGACATATGCTTTGAGGTTCGAGTTCATTCCTTAACATATAGCTTGTTATCCTTTTTAGCGATATACTAAGCTAATATACAGTAGATTGGGATTTAAGTATGTTAATCATTGTTCCACATTGGTAGCGATTTATTCCTTATCAACGAGAGACCTTATTTCTGAAATTATCTTCATAGGATACTTACTTGCATGATATTAGACAATACTATTGGTAATATTCCCACTGGAAAGCGCAATAAGTTAAATAAAGACATTCCAACAAATGCACTTTCAACTGTTAAAGAATTTCCTGACAAGATGTAAGTGGCAAATGTAACTAAGGAGACCTTGAGTAAGATTGACGAAAGTAAACGTTATAAATGTAGTCCGTATAAATTTGTAGTTAACTAATTGAAAATGCAACATGCTATTTACTAATAATGGTGAAGCTTGCCAAGCTATCTCAGCTACGCCATATAGGATTGACGATGTCCGAAGCAGTTTTAATTCATTATCCCTAATCTCATTAATGATGTTAAGAAATGGCTCTTCCCAGGCACACATTTTTAATGTCTTTTAAGACCAAAAAAAGATCCATTTAATATTAAATGATTGCAAAGTGTTTGACCTTACATGAAACGTTTGGGTTATAAATGAGATTATTTAACAATTGCTTACATAATTATCAATGAAGGCAATTCATGAACGAATAGATGCGGTAGCATGGTTTAGCATATAAATCAACCTAAAACCGTCTAATTTTAAGCATTTCTACTGCGTGACTGTACCTTAATAGCATTCACGACTTCGCTAATGACTTGAATTCTCTCATCTTTCAATTTCAGCTGTTTCACCTGTAAAGTCAATTACATCCGAACAGTTACTAGAAAGTTTATAAAATATCAAATCCAAAATCCTCTGAAAGAAAGTTTTATAGATTGGTAATTAATCCCAACACTTACTAGAGAGTTTATCAAATATTAAATGCAAAATCAGCAGAAAGAAAAGCGTAATAGACCGATAATTTATTCAAAATCAACGATAACCTGAATATTTCTTGCTTTCAGACATAAAATGATGTTAATCGGTAATAAGACTAACAAAATGCCAACACCAGCTAAAGAAGCAGCTCCTAAAGTGTTATAAAGGAAATACATACAAATTCCAATTTGTAGCGGTGACGACCAGATATCGTGAAGGAACATGATTAAGCTTTGAAATTGTTGGGCATCATAGGACATTAAATTAACAATTTCTCCCACAGTAGAATCTTTTCGTGCTGCATCTGACAAGAGTAAAGCCTAATAATAGATTTAGATTAACCCTGTACAGTGGCAATAATTTTCTACCTAAGTAATAAATCAATTTTACCTTTCTATATATAGCCCATACTAAGGACGACCTAATTTTTATTCCGCATATAAAACACTTTCGTTGGTACTGTTCTCTAAATAGAGCGCTAATAATTGTCACCAAAAATAATCCTATGGCAAGAATATATCCAAACCAGCTGTCTACACTCTTATCACTCATAAATTCTATAAAGAGTCTGTAGGATTGAATCAAGAATGAAATTCACAAATTAATACTAATAATAAAATAATTTTGGTCCATTTGTCCAGTGTAGTTACCGTAATAATTGAGGAGTTGTAAATAGGATCAATGTCTCTAGGAATCGTAATATGCCCGCAAATAAAAATGTTCGTCCAAAAGCTTTAGCTAAGGCTATGAAGATAGACGGTTTTGAACTTCTTATGGTTATTCCATCAACATGTATATCTTTAGTTCTTAAAATTTGCCATGTAGTAAGATGAAATACAATAAGATAACTTGGCTAAATAAAGATATAAAATACTGAAGTTGTAGTTACTTTTTCTGTTCTACTTCTTGCTGCCAGTATTCATTAAAATGTAAGCCTAAATTATAACATTTATCCTCATCATCTAACTGCCAAAGGTCTCTATCAGTTAAAGGACGTCTAAAGCCCATCCACATCATCCTATTTCATTTTAATAAGGATAATTTAAGCTATAAATGAAATTGGATGAATATAATTATAATTTCAATAAAATTGTAATAATATTCCTAAATCAAACTGGATTTCGTTTTAATACCGATTCATCCACCAAAACGTAATTTTCGATAAAAAGGATGCGTTATACTCTGGCGAAAGATTCTACATAAAAATTTAATGCCACTATTGTAATTGTATCATATGTTATGGATTAATTTTGATTATACTCTTAGAGATTAAAAAGGTTTAGAAATGGATATAGTTATATTATGATTACCTTATCCTTTTTATTTGGTAAGACTTTTGATAGATCAGCAAAGAATGAAAGAATTGTTGATGTAATCACCAAGCACATATTGATTGCAAAGATTATCAATCTACTAGGTGACGGCCAAAAATTCTATCAAGTTCAATATCGAGAGATTAACACCATGTATTTTCAGGAAGGCTAGCATATTATACTGGTCGTATATAGGCATTGCAAAGTAGAATAACATCATCCTTACATCGATTTCAATGGAATGATGAATGATTGTCCTACATTTAAAAATTAGTACCAGAGTATTTAGTATCCAAAAAACACACAAGATGCCGGATGATCTTACGCCAGCTCGCCTTTCCAGAACTACTAACAGAGCTACTAACATCTGCAAAAAAATATGTTCAAATAAATAATGTCCAGTAAGCAACAGTTATATAAATTTTTGCAGCCTTACGCAAAAACTGAAAAAAATAAGAATCAAATGGGAAAATTATGCTGATTTCCACTATTCGATTTAAGATGATGATAAACCCTTATAACTGAGTAATCTTTACATGGAGCAAGGATTGCACTCATTCTATCGGTCACGACTACGATTACTGAATTGAATCAATTTTCATAATAGCTATTTCACAATTTCGGTACGGCTGCCATCAGTCTATTAGCACCATTACTCACGATACTTACGGTAGAAATCTTTCAATTAGCTTTGAATTTTATATAAACTATAAAGAGTATCGTAATTTCGATGATCTTTAACCATATATCTCGATTTAATTTAAATCAATCCTCCTTTAATTAATCTGTCGTTTACGATTTGATTTAAAAATTTAAAATTTTATCATGTATTAATTTTAAAATCAAATTGCAAACTATTAGCAGCAGTCACAAATCAAGCGGCTCCGTATATAGCTACGATGAAAATAATGGGTTTCGGTTAACTTTGACAATCAATAATTGTAAAATAAATATTGCTAATAATGTAACTTTACGTCGAAGTTTGACAAAATTATGGTACTTGAGTTATTTCTTTGTTACAAGTTCTTTAATATAAATATTACCATTCCACATAGTGATATGCTAGACGACAGAATATAGGATCCAGGAATTTGGATTTGTGTTGATTCGAGGCCGGTGAGACCTAATTCTACGAGGTGCAGCGTGATCATAGTTGCGCATAATCCCTACAATAAAAAATAAAGTTACTTATAGTATCTGACTCTTCAAAATTGGACATGTAATAATATTTGGTTGCATATTTTGGGTACCGTGCACTTATCATATTTTGTATTATTCAAGAATGCTATATAACCTTTACCTTGATGGCCTTTAAAATCAAGAATTAATTATCGATGTACTGTACTTGTACTGTTGTAAAGCTTAAATTCAATCATTTGAGAAGGAAGTAGTGCAAAAATCAAGGAAGCTAAACGCTGAGATTTAAAATAAGAGGATAGCATAAAACTTACCAACTTTACATTAAATAGTACTGGAGTTGGCCCAATCTTGAGTAACTTTACGCGCTTAGACTTTCCATACAAATACGGAAGATAAAATAGGCAGTATAAAGCAAGTACCATGTACGGTGCTGTAATTAAAATAGTATCTTCGAAACAAATGGTAAAATCCGGCCATGTTGTGTTAAATACATCCACCTAATGATGGAATAAAGGCAGAAGATTAAACGTTGCCATTATTATAATATAAGATGCAAAGGTAGAAATCTATATATACTCCTCTCTACATCTTAGCTCTACTTTCAATTCTACTTCATATTGTAAAATTTGATTACTAGAAAAATTTTGACTAGATTTTCAATTATTAATTTAGCCCTGCACGATAAGCCAAAAAACATTGCGTATATAAGCGAGGATAATGGTTGAATAACACTCTATTATCTGATTTATCTATTAAATACGATATTTAAACTTAAGCTTCTAAACAGGTAAAATGGAGAATCGATAATTTTTAAAGTTTTCAATCGTAGTTTAATCTCGTAAATTAGGTTCGTAATAGCTGCTTAAGATTACGAATAGCTAAACTAGTACTACGTTATAGCCTTTACCCTGCAAAATTAATTCAAACTTAAGCATTGAAGAAAGCATTTCTTACTTGAGATTATTAATTAAAAAAATGTATACAATTATGATTTTTGGAATACGCAATTAGATTTTACGTGGTATGTTAAATTATTACTCGTAGCTCATTTTCTGGGATTATACGCAAATAGTAGCGGTACGTAATGATCTACGCTTGTAAGGCTAACACTAGCCTTTACTGCAGGTAACTGTTGATAATAAATTTATTTAATCAAGAATCTTCCCTGCAAGATATCAATGTTATTATTTCAGATCGGCTATTCAGGTATGAAGATTTGACAGACTTATCGTAACATTAATCATAAATTTTGGACAATTACAACTTTGCAAGGTAGTTGGGTTAAAAATTCATTTGTTGATAACAGTATCTCTTGCAAATATTGGCTAAACTGTACATATTGATGAAAAGAATTAGTCGACGTTGAAAATTTTTTCCTATCTGAGCTTCCATCACTAAGTCATCATCTAGCATAAGCGACGGAGATTGTAATTACGACTGTTCCTTTTCAACTACCTACCAATGAGATTAATTGCACTTTCATTTATTTTTATTGTTATTTATTAATGTAATATTTACATCTGAGAGCAATCCCAGATCGTAATATGGACCACCAATCATGCAATTATTGTTGTAATATTCATACGAGTATGAACATAGTGTAGTTATGGCAAGACTATTCACTAGTAATTTAACTTTGTTTAGCTATTATGCTGCAAAATTCTACTGTCCGACTATTAAATTGATTTGACTTAAACTTGTTAGTAGATCAACATCTAGCTAAGGATACTTTATTTCGGACTTTTTCCATGCATTTAGTCATTTTCTGCACTAAAATTGAGCTACAATTAAATATCTATATTACTTTAAAATATGCGTTACCATATTGAATCATGCAATATCACCTTAAAACATAGCAACTAAAAAAATATTGCATCTAAATATAGACAACAAATAAATGCTTCCGTCGTCCACCTTTTACTACATGTGCTTATTAATAAACCATACTCAGCAATAGAATGAATAACTCTCCTCTTTTAATCTAGAATCCGCTATTATGGATTTTGCATGTAAAGTTTTTTAACCATTTTCATCCTTAGTTTTGTACAATGCCTTAATTGGGTCAATTTTGTCTATGATTTCACGTTCCATACTTCAAAAATTCAAGTACTATCATGTCTTATTGAAAAATTCTAGCAACATTTCAGGTACGCAATCTTTCGTCGAACCTTAGTACATATTGCGATAAGCAAAGATGCTAACGAATGAATGTCACTAAAATGAAATGATATTATCGACTTGGAGTTCAAAAGCCTACATTTTACATGACGCAACAGTTTCATTTAGTCCCGCCAAATTGCTTTACTTTACACAGCTAATAATTCATTATATCATACAATAAGCGTTTTATATCATTTGAAACGATACTACTGTAATTAAGGAATACAATTTTTTGCATCAAATCTTATGATAAAGGATAGTAAACTAGCTTACAGGAACCATTTTCAAGTAGTATAATTTAGAATGTCCTCGATAAGGCTGTTAGTAATTCACGCGATAGTTTAAGGCAGAATAAAGTAAACATTTACAGCAATTTAACTCACCCAGAAAGGTGACACAGGCTGGCATAAATCTAAAACTCCGATTGGATGTGATGTGGCCGTAATGTTGGATAGTGCACTTAGTTGTTCAGCCATTTCTTCGCTCAAGCCAACAATATTTCAAGCGACTTTAATAAATTTATAGATTCAATATAGATTCGATATGAATTTAAATAATAGAAAAAGGTATTGCGTGTACAGGAATTATACACCAAAAACGGTCATTTTTCAACCTATTAAGATACTATTCAAGTTAAGCTATAACGTAAAATAAAATAGATTACTGAAATAGTTGAAATAATGACATATGTTGCTTAGCAGGCTTAACCGATGATACTTTAATTGTCCTTTCATAAGCACGCGTATTAATAACTAAAATAAATATTATACGAACATCAGAATAGATTTACAGTAAACGAGTAGACAAATAAATAGTCGACGTAAACTGCACGAATGGGTTCCGTCCCTATGACGTCAACTCATGACTATCTAATTTTAGTTGGTGCTATACTGGATCTTGCTTACCATTACTTTTCTGTTTACTTGATCTTTAGCCTCATAATTGATCCTGTTGTATATTTAATAGCAAAGTTAGATTACGCATTGGTGCAATTTGCTGACGCTTTACTTGCCCTTGTTTGTAATTCTGACAGTTTTTGTGTGCCAAATACGTATGCTTTCTCCTTCAGGCCTGCATTAGAATTGTAGTACAGTAATCAGGAGACACTATAGTTAATTCATGAAGATTTTGGAAATGCTAGGAATTTTAAATTTACTGTACGTCATGTATACTCATACGATACTATCTTAGGAGTCTGGAATTTTGCTCTACTTTTATCTAAAGACAGCCATAGAATAGAGATAGATCTTATAGGTCTATAAAACCTTAGTAGAATGCTATATACATTTACGTGTCTTAAAAGTGCAAGTTCAGAAAATTTCCGTTAAGGTATCTGCATGGCTAGCAAAGCGGCTAACTCCACAAAATAGTGCTTTAAAGATTTACCAATTAATGCTGATATAAAAGATAATATATAACAGTTCTGTTTATATATAGAGATACAGTTATAGCTAAATCTAATTGTAACCTATGGCTTATACTTGATTATTTCCATCTGATAGTGCAAAGATTAAAATTCATTTAATATCCTGCAACCAGCTAAGTTGTTTGTAGACTACAGCATACGTGATATAGAAGTGAAAGAAATTTTTCCGTAATTTTTGGTAGTCTTGGTAGTATTAAAGCATTACTTGGTCTATCTCTTGGTCAAAGATTTAATAGATTGTTGTCCGGCTGCTTCCCCCATTTTATTTGCTGTCAAAGTTAATTTCATAACGTAGAAGAACAATAAGATTACCGGTACTTTGACAGTTAATGAGAGCACCTGTATACAACGCTATTTAGAATAAATATAGAAAGCAATGCAAGGTGTATACTATAAGTTGCATTGTACACCACTATAAACGGGTATTTACTAACACAAACAACTTGCCTTATCGCACGGATATTATGTTAAATTAGAATTATTGACGCGAAAAGTGCATTGATTGATTATCTCGTCGAATGTTATGAACTCATTTGTCCCTATATGCATTCGCTAAAATGATTTATTTACTATGAGAGTAAGAGATAATCAAATATAGAAAAAATTCTCATTTTAGACAAATTCTATCTTGAATACTGATAATTGTAAAGTTGGTTTATTTCCACTTTATGTCGAAAGAACTTCATTACTAGACAGTTTAGAGAATATTCGTATTTCTATTACGATACACGGCAATGATTATATGCACAATAGTAGTCAAATTTTTTTAGGTAGAATCAATGCCGGATCGCGTTACAAGTTACAGAAAATTGCCTACTACATTCAAATACTTTAACAATATTTAAGAAGTTAATACATCAATAACTTTCGCTTGATTATGCTCTTTGGTAAAATTGGCAAATGGCAAAACCAGCTGCTACACGTAGATCAGTGAGAGCATATATTTATGCTACTTACATTTTATATTCTCTAGGAATTTTTGACTGAATGATAGGTCTACATACTTGTACATTCAAGTACATGGAATAAAAATATAGATGATTATAACGGTCAAAATTTTCATTAATGTTTTCAGCTTTATTGCAATCTTAATTAATTTTAAAATTTGCTTTTAAACTAATTCTGCTTTTTTAGCCATACGATAAAATAGTGATTCCGGGTCGGATAATAAATGAGATGGCGAGCCTACTTCCATAACTTTACCAGATTCGAGTCCGACTATCCTAAATTTGAAGGCAACATTATTTTTGATATCGTTTGCACAAGTAAAGAATTGGTAAGCACTGACATATAATAATCGAGATAATGCTAAAAGCTTTACTTGGAATAATCCATAACGGTTTGTAGACGATGAGCAATCGTTAACACCGTACAGTTCGTAAATTGATTCCGGATAGTCTCCTGAATTGAGCTGTCAGTCTCCAAATCTACGGCTGCAGTAGCTTCATCCAATAATAATATCTTCGTTTTTCGTAAAAGTGCTCGAGCCAAGCAAAGTAACTGCTTTTGGCCGACACTAACAAACAGTTAAGTAAAATTTACATTCAATACAAACAAACAATAAATCAGCTATTCTTATCAAAACGATAATTGTAAAAAATATTAAGACCTCCTTACCTAATATTGCCACCACTGTCCGTTATCTGATGATTCAGTTGATTATCTAAAGATTGCACAAATGTTTTCAGGTATGCATGTTCGAGTGCCGTCCAAATAGTTTTATCATCATACTCATTGAAAGGATCAAGATTCATGCGAATACTACCAGAAAACAACACCGGATCCTACATCAAAATATTTACAATTAAATCATAATATTATTCATTCTATATAGAAAACATTGAATTTTGTAGTAAAATGTAACGGTCTCCAGACATACCTGAGGTATAACAGTTAATCGCGAACGCAATCTCTGTAGGCCAACTTTGGATATATCTATACCATCAATTGTGATACTGCCGCCTGCAGAGTCGATGATACGAAATAATGACAACAGCAACGATGATTTACCAGCACCAGTTCGGCCAATAACACCGACCTAATCCGTAAATTTAATATTACGCATTAATAACATAATCAAATGTCAAAGAATCGTAACAATTAATTAAGATGATGACTGCTAAGTTCTGGAACGCTATCACTACCAGCAAAAATTTAGGATAGGCAATTATTATTACGAAAACATATTTTATTGAGAAAAACACTAATTGTTTTATTTTAAGTGCTACCACCAACAATTGTACACATTGCTATTTTTCATACCCTTTCACCACTCGCTATAGTAAAATTTACGTTCTTTAAAGCTAAATCCAATTCAGGACGATATCGAGTTGAAAAATTGTTAAACTGTATCGATCCATTCATGGGCCAGTTAGCGTCTGGACAGCATTCTCCAGTTTCCCAATCCTCCTATTTATCAATTCGATCAATTTTCTAAGTTACTACTCACAAAATAGTGTTATTTTTAGATGATTGAAAATGATACACCAATCTGAACTAACTTCAGCGGGCAGCGTGGAATATTCCCGCAATCTTTCGACTGAAACAATTTCCGTCTCTAGCTCACTACTTGATACTACAATGTGATTTAGCGTCTGAGTAATCTATAATTAAGAAAATAACGATTAATCTACTTTAATTATCATAGTATAGATATTCATTTATCGAACAATCTGAAGTAATACGCTCTAATTATAAATCCATTTCGATACCGTAAGTGAAGTAGAAATTGACAACCCGACGATTCCGGGTCCAATAGTGTCACGAGCTGCCATCGCGAATACTGAGGCAAAAAAGGTTATGCAACTACCAATACATTCTAATCGTACACCTAACCATCTATATTGAAAAAGAAATGTTATTAGTTCATGTAACATTAGTGAGATTAACAAACTTAAATAGTTGTTGACGCTAATATAGGAGATCCTATATTCGTAGAGATATCTTATACATTATAATGATTATAATAGTGCTATCGATTAAAAGTATATGAACAATGTAATCAGTTGTTATTTATGCCGTATTTGGAAAGATAGACGATAATATAGAGAACTGTGGTGTTATTAGAGTAGAAGCTCCTACTGCATTAATTAGGAAGCTATAGTAACTTGTAAAATGGTAGATAATGTTTGCCAGTCGTATATAATGCGAGGTCTTCCTGGTAATAGTTAGTTCTTATCCTCCATTTACATTAGACTCCCAATAAATTGTTGTAAAGCTATTACTATCCACAGATATTTTCTATGGATTTGAATTTTATTATATTAGTTCAGTTAAGCATATAATATCTAACGTTGCTCCAACCTCAGAAATTAATGCTAGGATTATAAATGATATGTATAATAATATTAAAAAAGCATACCTAAAACACATCGCCTTAGAATATCGCGTTATTACATTTCGATCAGTTTTCAGATCTCCCTCGGTGCAAAATCGATCATGGACTTTGTAAGCACGAATAACCATTGCTCCTTGCACGCACTCCGTAAAGTGAGAATAAATTGGAGAGCGACTAATTGATTGCATACGTTTTAGTTGCCTCGAAGCCGGTATAAATAATCTCTATATTGTATGTTAAAAAGCAATATTGAAAACATTATGTGCTCATAAGCAGAATTATTAATATTTAAACTTCTTTGATAAATTAAAACATTACATCTTTTTCAGAAATTGAATGCAGTACCTGAATCAGTCCATACAGAACGCATAAAACAACGATAACAGCAATAAAGGGGGGAGTGGATATACTAATGGTAGTTATCATACCAAAAGCACTAAATAGATTTGTGAGTAATACGTAATTAGTTCTCGATAACTGACCGTCTATCGATCTAACATCCTTTGCAAATCGATTAATAATTCGACCCTGTGGAGTTCTTTCAAAAAAAGACATTGGCGAACGAAGTACGCTTAAAAGCATTTTACCATGTAATAGGCGAGCAGCACGAAATGAAGCTAGTACTAGTAATACAATAGCTAATCCTCGTACTATAGCTCGCCCAGCACCAAAACTCCCGTAAACAGCTAAGTATCTATCGCGAATATCCGTTTGCGATGAATTAATACCGGCAGTACTCCATTCGGCTAACCAAAATTTTCCACCAACCTGACAGGCTTGATCTATACCTATTAAACCTACGATACCAACCACACTGAATAGCCCTAACGACTTGAAATAGCTTAAGTACACTGAAGATGAAACCTAGCATGGACAGAGAACAATCAATTTATTTATCAGAATAAAGCAGAGGCTGCTTACAGAAAAGAAAATTCTCCTTAAAAAAATGTGACCAAGGCCGCATAATACACTGATAAAAATGATTAAATTTACGTAACAAATAGAAAAAATGCTGTAGCTATTGCTTCGTAAAGCTACCATGAAATAATAATTCACTAATATTACCCTTCCAGTCGCTGCTGCTTCTTTAGTTATAACATTAAATATTTTTCTTTCTTTCCGTCTGCTTTTTTCACTTTTGTCTGCTTGAACAACGGATTCCGAAGATTTTACATCCGCTTTAGAATCTCTTTCACCTAGATTTACTGCAATGTCCTCTAAATCTTGTTTACGCTGGCCACTCCGAGAACGGTATTGACTAAAATGTACTCTATCGTTAGAGGTTACAAGTTTTGGTAGTGTCTACTTGCTATTTAATGAATGTACAAACCTTTTTCCGCCACGACCACGACCATGTCCACGACCGCGGCCTAATCCTCTACTGCGTAGTTTTGCAGAACTTGATTCTAATTTCCAATCTAATTCACGCCTAACAGTATCTTCATCTTCTAAAACTCGCAAGTAATAAACAATCAATCGCCAATTCGGATAGTCTGTAACAAGCAATTTGAATTTTTGAAAACAAGCAAGAAGGCTAAAATCGGTCTACAAATTACCTTGTTGTGACTTATTTATGTCTGTGAACCTTTGTATAAATGTCGCAAATCTATCGCTTCTATTGATTAATTCCGTATAGCTGCCGCACTGTCAAGCCAATAGCATGTAGACATTATAAAGACACATAAAATGCGAATGCCTCAAATTATACAGTTAAATTAACTTTCTTTCAATTGTTTCCATATTTTATAGCACTGTAATTTTCAAAAATACACCATCTGAAAGAATGCTAATGCGATTGTTAATGATGAAACTTAATGAACTAGAACGTTGACATATTGCAACCAACCTCAATAATTTTACCATCTTCCATAATAATAATTCGGTCTACGCTTGATAAGTGCTGAATACTGTGAGTTACTAAAATACGAGTCTAATGATTAAAATTATCAAATCATAATGTTACATGCGTACGGTGTTCGGTTGATAAATAATAATAATATTATTATATCTACTTCTATTCTTTGCGCTACTTGCCTTGTTGCTTAATAAGCCTCGCTGTCCAATTACTTCATCAAATATGTGCTTGCTAACGCGAGTATCCACTGAACTAAGTGGATCATCGAGTAAGTAAATGTCTCTATTACTATATACAGCTCGCGCTAAGCTTAATCGTTGCTTTTGCCCTCCACTTAATGTAACTCCCTTAAATGTATTAAAGTAACATCTTAAAAGATTTAAAATAATTCTAGATAAGTACGGTATGCCAAGAAATCAAACTAATTTTACTAAGTATATATTTCAATACCTTTTCACCAATCTCTGTGTAGTCTTCTGCAGGAAGAGAGCGTACATCTTCTTCTAAAGCACATGCTTTGACCACATTTTCATAAACTGTGTAATCCATTTCTTTACCAAATAAAACGTTTTTCTGGAAAGTCGTATTTTGTATCCAGACTTGTTGAGCAACGTAAGCTATGGAACCCTTCGCATGAGATACGAGTATAAATACATTAAATTTTTTGTTAAAGTAAGTACCGCTTATAGGAGCTAGTTATAGCTGCCGTTACTAACTTGAAGATTGATATTTCCATTCATTTTGTATAGTTCCCCAATCAAAGCTGACAATAAAGAAGACTTACCGCTACCAACGTTGCCAACAATAGCGGTTAAACTACCTTCTCTAATATCGACGGTAATGCTAGAGAATAAGCAATTAAATCTTAAAAAAGTTGTTTAAATAAGGCAAAATTACGGTGCTTCTATCTAACATATAAGATATTCTAATATAGATGTTATGGAAAGATTTCAGAGTAAAACAAGCGTAACAGAATTATCGGGATTGGTTGAAATATATGCGTATTTACTCTACCAGGACTTTCAGCATACATACAATACTACAACATATACGTATTAGAAGCCTATCTAGTAAATTCATAAATTTAATTCGAATTAATCTACAATGTATCGATCTGATGTACTATAAGTTGTGACTGTTTGATATACAGGCTGATGCAGCGGTCTCCGTTATCGAATAAACGGCATCAGTATACTAAGTAAAAGAAATGATACGCAGATCACTGAACTATACAATAATCAAGTAATAAAGGCATAAATTTTTCACAAATGTCAATCTATACAAGAAAATTTCGAAAGAATTGTATTGCTAACTAATAAACGTCATAAATCATGAGCTTTTGACTAACTCGGATAAAACAGGCGACTTGTCTTGAGGATCCCACTTGAAGCTAGCATTTCTGGCAGAAATAACGCACTGATGATCTAAAATCATACAAAATAGATTTAATAAAAACAATCAGTAAAGTGGATGCAGAGTGCAAAAAGAGATGAAATAATAGTGGTCTAACCGGATTTCATTATATCCTGACACACCGGCGATATTTCGCTACAACTTAAAAATGCGCTTAATCTCTTTAAAGATACGTTAGCCTATGAAATCAAATGTACGCATCTTACCGTATTAAAAATCATTAATAATGATTAATTATTTTCAGAGTGGCATAAGTTTTCATTAGTTAAAATACAGAAATGACCGTTTACTTAGCACAATATTCATCAATAATTTTAGAAATCTCATACTAAGGCACGCTATGCGGGTTTACGTAGTACTAATATCAGAATTATGTCCCTACTTCAATGATACCAGCGAAAACACGAGGTAACGAAAACAGCGGTATTCGCATAAGCCCAAACAGTGATAAGGAAACAAACACCTTTTCTGGATTTAGTTCATTTCCGGCAAGGACATAGGTAGCAAATGCACTGAGCGCTATCTATGATATAATAGCAAATGATAGTAGTATTATCACGTTTTTAAAGTTTATTGTTACGAAGATAATCAAGCTCTTCATTTAATTATAGCGATGCAAGTGTATCACATGTATTAGCATTTTCAATACTGTTCTTACGACATAAGGGATAATAGCCATTGTAAAGGCGACAAAAGCATGCAATAGTCGGCTGTACATAAATTGCTGGAGTTCTTTGGTACGAATATCTTCCACATACTTCATGAAAGGTTTTTCCCAAGCATACAATTTCAGTATCTTTAAAGAAATTATCAAAAAATAGTCGAGCAATCCAGAAGACGAAAATTGATTATAATAAATTAATTATTTTACGCATACGCGTACTTCCAATAAATAAATAACATATGGTAGCTTACCTTGATACCGCTTACAATTTCACTCATAAATTTTACCCTTTCATCAACATATTTCAGTCCCCTAGTCTATGATACATGATTTTATTTACAAGTTAAAGTTCTTTGTAATTTAGCTAAGCCTTGAACACACGGAACAAGGAATCTAAAAGAAAATACGAGTACACTACAGCAAAAATCATTGTGATGTACATTGCACCGAAAATTACGGTAACTATCTATTCAAGTCTCAAAATACCCATAAGATTACATTTACTATCAAACTTAGTAGCTTTATTTGCGAGCTACGGTACTTATTCACCTGAAACTGGCGAGATTTAAAGGCGACAAAGGCATTCAGGAATAGAGTTAGGACTAGGATTAGCACGGATGCTAAAACTGATGGTCCTAACAAATCCCACAAGAAATAGACAGCAAACACTACCGTTAACGGGGCAGCCCAGGCTTTGTTGATCATATCAACAAAGCCAGCAACTCTTTCAGAATCAACGGCCATCAAGTTTACAATTTGGCCAACAGTAAATTCTTTCCTTGCAGTACCAGATAACTTTAGTGTCTTTGTATTTTACGGAAGCCAGGAATAAAGAAAAGGGGAAAGTCAAACAAATAATTTTAATTGCAATTCTCATTGCAAATTAAATATTGAAATTATATTTAATTTAGTAAAACATTAAAAGTGTGAGATGAAAGTGTTATTATGCAGTAAAGAGAATATCATAAATGGTAAATAGAGGATTACAGTATCAACTTCGATTACCTTGCGATACAAAGACCATATTATAGCTGTTTTTATTTTAATTCCTACTATGAGAGCAATCTGGTGCATTTGATTGATTACAAATGAACGGATTATGGTTGTGAGGAATAGTAGACCAGCTAAAGCGTACCCAACCCATGCTGGTCTTGAAAGATCTGATGCTGATCGAATCAATTCTCTACATATTGAACAAGAGACAAAGAATACATAAGACGATTGCAATGCATCATGGTTTGAGAATTAAGGGTATGCTGCTAAAAACTAGGTATTAAAGTTCCTCAATACATATAAACGGAATATTATACCGTAAAAGTTGCGGATAAATGAAGGCGATACCGGTAGCTAATAACTTTAATAAACTGGCTATCAGATACTGGCTACCAAAACTACGGACTAGGGCCAAGGCCAATAATGGCTCCCTGCTGGAATGAATTTTGATATCCTCCGGAATAGTATCACTGAAACTGTACATTGTAGATAATATGACACAAAAGGAATAGAAAAAGCAATTATCAGATATTTAAAGTGTCTATTATTAACACGTGCTCAGAGAAACAAACGTACTTCAATCTTGAAAGTTACCAATACATACAAAAATTTTTTATTTCGCAATTCTTGTTTCCATTCAGAATCAAATGTAGGGCCAACTTGCTTAGAAGACAATGAATCCTGTATTTGCCAAACATCACTTCCTGTTAATGGCCTTTTATAACCATTAATAATCAGCCTATTTCCACGAATAAATCAACCAATGCATTAAACTGCTAAACTACATAATTGGAGTAGCCAAATCCACATTATAAATTACAAAATGAATAACTACTGCATGACAAATAAAATGGATATAATGCTAACTTGTTTATCCACCAATATGTTAACTTGGATAGAAAAGTTGCTTGAATTTCAGGGCAAGCTTTCTAATAATACAGTCAAAATAGTCAGGAGATCTCAACTATGATACTTCCAAACAAGTAATTTTTATCAGTTTTGCGGTTAAATACACAAAATCAAACATTTTGTATTTTAATACCGTATGGATTATCGACATTTAATATAAATAGAACATAATACTAAAGCAAATAGCATTCTGTTATAAACAGTATTGCAGCATGCAAACACGTACTGTAAACTGTAAATTTGTAATACTAGCGATAAAATCACCTTTACCTCGTTATCGTCGTTATAACTTTGATCTTCCCAAGTAGGGATATCAATAAAATTGGTTTGAACAAATAGTAATATAGAAAGAATAAACGTCAAAAATGTTGTGACGGCCAATAACATTTCTTCTGGTGCGGAATTCTAGTATAGAAATCAAAAAGAGATTCTTATTTCATTTTCATTCTGCAAAACCCATAGCATACAGTATAAGTTGCTAAGCAGACAAGTGAAGCACGTATGGGCTACATTATACGTGCTTAAAAACATTTATAGAATTCTACGCTATGAAACAGTGATGTCATGCTACCTTCATATAAACATAAGTTAGTCTATAAGATTGCTGTACTTACTAATACTATCAAGTGCATGATTAATGTTCGAGTTTTAATAGATACAGCGATGCTGGTTAATAACCAATATATCCACAAGCATGGCGATGAGTAAACCTTCCTTGTCAGCTCCAGTTTCAGAATTAGTACCGCTAGCAACTAAGTAGATTCCAAGATATGATAAGCATTTGCCTTCATTTCCCTCTAGTATACTAAGTGCAATACATGCTACATGAAGTTTATAATACAAACTATCTTAAGAATACTGAATTCTGTTACAGATTATTTAGTTTAAATAGTTACTGTACATTCCTTGGACTAACAAAATAAAAACAATCTCTTACCCTAGATATCCAGGTGATTGAAGGCAATATCAAATATACATTTAGCACAACTCTTTGTTGCCTTTGAATGATAAAATTCATCAATTCAATAATGGGAATGATCACTAACGGAATATAGCAGCCCTACAATCAAAATTGAGCAATAAATGCGTTAAGCACAAGCAATTCTTTTTAGTCAATTTGCTAGAGGTAGCAGTACTTGTATCATTATTTACTAAGTGGAAACGGAAAAATAGCAACTGAATTCTCGTCTACAACAGCAGAAAACTCTATTTAGATGATGATAACTATAGCATATATATCCTGATGACGATGCACATTTAAATGTTCTAATTTCAGTCAGCAAGAGTTTTCAAAGGGTCATCAGTGATTATAGGTATCAATTAACTATTGATCATGATCTATTTGTCACTATTGCACTTGTGATTAATCCACTAGTAGACCAATGTTGCTTTATCATCTTATTTTATCATCCAATATCACTTGGATAAATAAAGCAAAGTTAATGGCTTACCAGCTTAAACCGATGTATAGCACTCGTCTTTAAGACTGCATAAGTTTTCAATTTCATCAAATAAGGTAGATACAGCAAACTACATGCCAAGATGAAAATAGATGGTGCTAATAAGATGACTTCATTTTGGAAACACAGGGTGAAATCCGGCCAAGAAATTGCGGTGGAATTCTACGCATAAGACAGTGGAAAATCAAATTTAGAGTTAGAATCTATCTTAATGTTGCAACTGTCAATAACATCAGAAGCAGACTGAACAAGTTGATAAGATCAACAAAAAAATGTTTGCATTCTAATGTAACTCATGTCAACGGATTGATTTGTAACATTACCCCCGAAGGCGATACTGGATAACATAACTCTTCCGCGTTGGACATTTTCTTCATCTGTGGCATTGATTACAGCTCTTCAGTCTGTTGACATGGAGATCGACAATTTACAGCTGAAAAGAAAGCATGCAATCATTTGACTAGGAAACGTCTTCGTGGATCATTAATTGCAGCTAGAAATGCTTTATTCAGCTCCAGATGAAGGCTTGATCACAGCAACTTTAGTAAGACCAATGTTGAGCCAATGCTTTGGCCAACTTCAAATCCATTCTATGTTATTGATGAATAAATGCAAGCCAAACAAGTATTCCTCCACCTGCAATCTAACGATGCAAATCGAGGTAAGAACAAATCATCAGCCACCTTGGACAGCTTTTACACCACCCATGGAGGTCCTTTACCAACCTGCTTACTGTCAATTGTCCGAACGGTCTCCAGGCGTCCGTCCTAGTTATTGGTTACGTCATCCTATCCAAGAAAAAGACTATGGACGACTAGCAGGATTTCTTCAACAGGCCGAGAAAAAACAAGGAACTACCAATTCAATTCTATATATCATTAATTATTATTAGCGTGAGTTTACCTGTGTTGGACAAGAGAAATGACCGAATGCTTTTAAAATTTCTACCGAAACTAGTAATATGGCAGGTAACCATTCACTTTCCGTCATTAAATGCAGCGTTTCCACTCGTAACTGATGGAAAAAATGACATTAACGATGAATGGCCAGTATCATTATTCACGTTTTCTCAAAATGATGGATGGGATAAGATAGGAAATCGTTCAATATCTGTCTTTGATGTCGTGTTTATAAATGATGAAAAAAGAAGATCACCTTGAATGATGGATGACTAATCCTAAATGACACGGTAAGGAAGTATATAGGAAAAGATAGACTCACATGACAGTCAAGTGGTGTGATGCCTACATTTAGAATAATTCTACGATAAAAAAAAGGATTATTATTAATTAATTATGAACGATTATTATATTATGTAAAGTATTCCGCAGGATTGGATCACATACAGAAATAGCAGCTTAGGACAGGCATACTTTATCGGTCAACATTCAACAATGTATAACTTACAGGAATACACTCAGATTCATTAGAAACAGTATTAGACGAGGAGACGAGGAAAAATTCCTGGAACTATCCAAAACGGCACATCTTAAATATTGGAATTCCACGTCATCTAAGTAATCATTAGTATAATCTTATTGAAAAATCATTAGAGTAAAGTAAATTGATATCAACTATTTAAACATTTAGTAGTTCTGAGATTAGTACTATCTCTTCGCTATAGAAATCCCGGCTGTTCTATATTAGCTGTAAATAATGTTATATATGATATAGTACTCATCACATAACATCGAATAAATTAATAATCTGCTATAAATTATACTTTAAGTACAGCATTTAATCGAATATTGTTGTATCATATAATATTATACAGGATCTGTCTATCGTATAGTAAAATTATAATTACAACTTTTACAGCTCTCCATTCAGAATAAGGAATGATATGAGGTTTATAAACTTTATGTTACAGTAGACTCACACATTAATCGTATTCATTTAAATCTAGTTACAGAAATTCAGGCAACAATACTCAAGCAATAGCAGAAGGAAATACTATTTTATTTGGCCTTAATCCACTATTATTACCTTAGAATTTATAGAAGATGCTCATTCTTTGTTACCACAGAGGAACGCTGATCCATTTACTGCTCTAATTATCACCAGTCCCCCCCCCCCCCATTGATGTACTGTATTTTAGTAACTGTGACAGAAAATGTTACTGTACTATAGCGCTTGCTATTGTGAAAAATTTAAGCTAAAGAGTAAGAATAATGATGCTAACTAGTTTAAATTAGTATCTAACCTATCATTTAGTAGATTTAATGCCATTATAAAGCGTAACACTGCAACAATAGTACATCTATTTCGTATTTTAGAGCTAAAGTCAGGAATATTCACATTTAAACGTTATTGATATTGCCCAATACATAAAACAGCATAAGGTGTTATGACTAGATCTCTAGCATAATTAAGATAAACTCGTATCATGTTTTGGTCTAAGTGACACAAATTAGTTCGCTAAATTAAATTAGAACGTATTCTAACCTGTTCCATTATTGGTACACGAAACCTAAAAATAGCTTACTCAAACTGATATACAGTATTTCAATAATAAATTTTTTATTCACAGTAATTCACTTTGCTTCTGTGATAGTAATAAGTTTAATTGATAATTAATAAAATATATCATAATTATTATTACTAGTGCTACCCACGCTAGGTTTGCTTTGTGTCATATCCGCACTTGTACTTTTTACTTTACATTACTAATTACTAGTGCACATAGCGAGTACATAGATGTATAGCTAGAGCTATAGCACAAAAGAATGTTAAACGATGCAATCCATTACCAATCATATTACTTAATCCCTGCAAACTGTTATGTGGATCAAAAATATGTTATTTGTGCTTTATATCAAATATATCAACGTACATCTTGTGTATGTTGAAATATATTTCACGCTTATGAGATCTTTTAAATCATTCATACTGAAACACTCACTAACATCAATGTACTAGCAGCGACTCTGCAACTCTATAGCACCTGAGCTAGATTTCTTCAAGGATTATTAGAAAAATAATACTCTATATAGAAGTATTTAGCACTATCGAATAATATAGGAATTCGCATAGAGATTTTCCAGTCTTAAACATTAAGAAAAATTATCCGGTTTATCTTAGCCTGAGGTCGATTCCAGCTTCGAATGATTCTCTAGTAAAAAACTTACCATATAAAGAATGTAGTCTTATTTTGTATAGTTTTGTATGAAATTACGAAAAGTTCGAAATTAGCTAAAGTCCAATTATTCGGTTTATCTTAGCTACTTCCCTCTGTTCTTATAGGGAACAAAAGTAATTGTACGACGGACCTCCAAAACGAGTTTTGCATGGCGGTTTAATAAACCTTAGAAATTGAAGGCTATATCTGTGTCGGCTTGTTACGAGCTAGGAATAGCCCTAGCTGGCAACAAGGATTGAGAGAGTGATTTCTACCCTTTGCTAGTGTTATTTGGAATACAAGAAAATCAGTTATCCAAGGCGGATAGGGTTTAACACAGGGAGACATTCAAAACTTACTAGAAAATCACAATCTATCTTATTGTCGGCGAACTCACTGTTTATTTAGGTTTTGAACCTAAAACCGATTTAGCTACACAAGTCACTCCCGTCTATTAGAAATTAACCAAATTAATACCTAAAAAGATTGTATCTATACAGATTAGATACAGTCTAACCCTATTAAATTTACTGTAACAGTATTAAAATAATCAATTCTTATTAATTATTTAACAGATACATATAAAGCTATCCTACTGCGACATTTTCTCTAAACTTAGGAAATGTACTTTGAACCTTAACAACTTTGGAGGTGATAGATATAATCCAGTTTAGCTGATTGGCAATTACTATTTTAGTCTATGTTATTCTAAATTAAAGATATTAACTGTTAACCACTAGAATTACAATTAAGAAGACTGTAAAACATTTCTGAGATATAAACATGTATAGAGCGTAACATAGAAATAAAGTATACATCACGAAGATTACTTTCGTGACACAGCTACCATAGTTGTGATACAGGATAGTGTTTTGCTAACTTTAGCAAAGAGACTGGATTTAATCGAAGTGAAGCAAGCGTAGATCTTACGGACTCATTTACATACTGTATATTGCATGTAGTAAATTTCCATTCTAAGGAACATAAATTTATAGGACAATAGAAGACTAGATAGTAGGGACTGCACAAGCGATTATTTTTAAGTGATATTTACAGACATTACGGTGAACCATGCATCCATTTTACTACCATGATTATTTTTAAGAATCCTAGATATTAATAGATGGCATTAATTTAGTATTATGGAAAATTTAATAACACTTTAATTGTAAGTACTAGTTATAATCAGACTAAATAATGATAAATTTAGCCCGAAAATTGTGACTTAATGGGACACAAAATGATTTAACAGCTAATTATCCGAGTACTAGAACTTCCAGACTTTTCATCATAACCTTACTGTATATTTAGACTGAACCAATTTATGAAATTAAGTTATCAATTTAGAAATTTATACTCGTATATAGAATTGACAATACAATATTAATCTGCTATTAAAGCTCTTCCTAGGAGAATAGGCATTCGTACAATAACAACAAAATTTGTACTTATAGTATACTCTATAACTACTATTGAACGCTATTTTTCATGTACCAAAGAATATGCTTTGCTAACTTATATGCCTATCTAATAACATAAAAATTCGTACTTGCAGTATATAACAACAATTAAAGGCTATTTTTCATATACCAGAGAATGTGCTTTGCTAACTTATGATAATTTATGCTTACTCTAATGGAATCTTTGAATATAACTTTAATATGATATAACATTTACTCTCCATTTAATTATAGGGAAAACTAAAATTTATCTATCAATTAAATGAAGCAAAATTGATCTTTACTTTCACAATATTTTTATTTCAAACACAATTTATGAATAATCTCGTCAATTGATTCTGCAATAAAGTAATAACGACCGTCTCAATAGTTCTACTACTTTGTTAATATATATTGTATAAAATAGTATTAATTTAGAATTTAATAATATCCCTATTACTGCAGAATGCGAAGTATCAGTATTCTACTAGATTCTAAGTAAATATATTTTAGCACTATTGAATAACAATCTTATAGCTATCTAAATTTTACAGCAATTTAAAAAATTGATCATATAAACGAAACAAGATAACTGCATCTTGTTCGTAAATTAGCAACAATAGATATTTTTAGATAACATCTAAATAAAACTAATTGGATAATGATAATTTTTTATCCTTTCCAAGACTTGAAATTGATGTAAAGGTACTATAGTAATAAATTAATGAATACATCTACTGTTCGGCAAAATTTGATTATATAGCTGAAACCATTAAATTAAATTTGCGTCTTTAGCCATAGAATAAAATACGCTGTCTTTGCGTGCTAATAAAGCAGCTGGAGGATCAAATTCAGCTATTTGACCTTGGTCTAGCACCATAACTCTAGATAGTTATTTATTGACAAGTCAGAAAATTAGTTCTTAACTACTTAGACTTAATCTTATAAATCATGATTGTAATCGTACTAATAATGACCGAAACTAAGTTTATACATCGTAAAAATTTTACATACCTTGTACTGTCCATGATAGTATTAATACGATGTGCGATAGTGAGGATTGTACAGTCTATAAATTCTCGTCGAATAGTTGTTTGAATTAATTCGTCAGTTTCCGCATCAACAGCAGCGGTCGCCTCATCTAATACCAATATTTTAGTTTTGCGTAGAAGAGCACGAGCCAAGCATATCAATTGACGCTGACCAACACTTTGTATATTGCATATGTATGGCATTAAAAATTAATTAGAATACTTCACCAAGAAATTTATTGAACTAATTTCTTAAAGTACTAAATATTCTGGTAGTAAAACTAAATTTCAATCGCTGGCGAATACTGTAATTCGTGCTATGTTACAAAATCATTCATATATTGTTATACCTAAGGTTTTTACCACCCTCACTAATTGTGTGCTTCAAATTATCTTCTAATGAAATGACAAAATTCTTCAAATGAGCATTTTCTAGAGCTCCCCAAATATCATTATCATTGTATTCGTCGAAAGGATCCAGATTCATTCTTAAACTACCAGCAAATAAAACTGGGTCCTAATTTTTGTATATATACACATATTATTATAGATCAACACAGCTGCAAATCGTTCACAAAAAGTAATTATTAATCAGTAGAATATTTTTAACTGTAAACATTTCTATATTCATGTTTATCTATTAACTCGTCAATAAAATTATCATTTTAGGAAACTTCAGTGAATATTTCTTTAAACAACAGTACTCGTATAAATAACATGTGAACCTGCGGTATGATAGTAATTCGAGAACGAAGATAATGCAATCCAATCTTAGAGATATCGACGTTATCGACCATAATAATTCCATCAGCAGCTTCAATTATTCTGAATAATGCCAAGGTAAGAGAAGATTTGCCAGCACCTGTTCGGCCAATGATACCAATCTGTAAGATAACAGTAGAAAATATGGTCATAATATTATCCGGTAGACAGAAAATAGACAAATCTTTCAGTTTATACCTTTTCACTGGCACTAATATTGCAATTTATCCCTTTCAGTACCAGATCTAAACCGTCACGATAGCGTGTTTTATAGTTAATAAATTGAATGTCACCTTTAGGAGGCCACTCAGAATCAAGTTTAATTTCTGATACATCCCACGAGGCCTGGCATCACATATCATCAAGTAGCACATTAGCGTGACACCTTATCATAGTAGAGTAACAGTATACCTAGGTATCGTTTCACTATTTTAATTCGACTAAAAAATGGTAGCACTACCACAAAACTTTGGAGCTAATGCATGTATACTTTACTAAAGATCAAAGTTTAAATTGTACAGTAAACATACGTATATATATATCAGATGACACCAATCAAATTGCAGCAACTACATAGCGATTCTCATATGAATGTATAATTACCTCGGTGGGGATTTCAGTATATTCTTTTATCCGTTCAACGGAAACTATATTACTTTCAAGTTCGCTACTCATGCGAACCATCCAATTTAATGTTTCAGTGATCTAGAGACAGTATTCATTATTTTTAATTCTAAATAACTTGGTTTTGAATTGAAATTGATAAATATTATTTATGTCAAATAGGATAATTGTGAACTAATTTCTTATTTCTACTTTGTTAACGTCTATTATACGCACTTGCATGGCATATGAAACAGACAAACCAACAATCGCTGCTGGTAAGCTGTTTCTCCCGATAATTGCAAAGATAGCAGAAAACAACACTACGCAATTGCCGATAAATTCCAGTCTGATAGCTAACCATCTGAAGATTATCAACAAATCAATTAAGAAAATTTAAGTAGGCAAAGCAAGATAGATTAACTTATATAATTATAGTAAATGTAAAAGTTAATTAAAAATACCTATTAGAAGCCATGTTTGGATAGTAAGCCATGGCATTGAGATCAACTTTTTTATCATTAATGATACAAAACCGATCCTTAGCACCATAGCCGCGAATTGTAGTAGTACCTTCGAGAGTCTCTCCGAGGTGCGAGTATATTGGTGAACGTCTTTTAGAGTCTAGACGTTTCAGTTGACGTGATGTTGCAATATAGAATCGCTTAATATAGCAGAAGAAAGAATAGATTTTAGCCAAAATAGAAACGTTTAGTAAGTTTATCTTAGGCTATAAATAAGAAATAATTTTGATAACATCTTTTAGAAAAAAGTGTTTAATTTTCGGTCCGATCAAAGCTGAAATAAAATGATGATGCTATTGCGTATCTAGTTATACTGCCAATGATATGACTCTAAATAATTCTAGCCTGTCTAATAAAGCGGGCACAAAGAGTATTGCGGACACAAGAGTTAGTTTTAGTGATTAAATTAAACATTAACTCTTAAGCGAAGAAACAGCAATAAAAATATCGAAAGTTAAAGTTGCCAAATAGATATAGACAACAATGATCATATCCTGATTATTATTACCTGCGTAAAAAAGTAGATAATGCCAAGTGGTAAAACGACAACGATAAATAAAGGTGTAGATATACATATGACGAGGAGAATACCAACAATGGTACATGAGATTCCAATACAGTAAATTAACATGAGAGGGATTACTTCATCAATTATAAATATATCGGTAGAAAACCGATTGATAATTCTTCCTGTTGGATTAGTCTCGAAGAATGACATAGGTAACCTTAAAACGTTTTGTAACAATGCCGAATGCAGAACACCTCCAGCATGAACTGCTGCATAAGCTAATAGAAGACTGTTTAATAGAGAAATGAACACTTTACTAGCACCAAATGCACCATAAATACCAAGATAAAGATTTCGAGTAGAATCCGTAGAATTTGTGATGCTACTCCATTCAGCCAACCAGACATTAGCACCAACAGAACAACCTTCAATAACAATCTTGCTAAGAATTATTACTATAGCTGATATCCTGCCGAGAGACTTCATGTAATGAAGAAAAACTGCAAATTTCACCTACAGAAACAAAGCGTTACATAAAATATAAAATTTCCTACATATTGCGTAAATCACCTTCAAAAAGCGTTATTTGAAATTCAATCTTGTCTCATACGGCCTAATTAATTTACTTACTCGACCAACAGCAGTTTTCTCTTCTTGAATTAATTTTTTCTTTTCTTCAATAGCTTCAATTTGCTTTAAAATCAAATTATGATCGTCTTCTGTAGTCGTAACCTTGTCCTGGCGTTGACTTATTGTCGATAAACCCCTTTCATATAACTTACTTTCTTGTCGCACTGATGACATCTTGCTCAAATCTAATCCCTCTGTAGAACCAGAAAAGGAACTTCTATCCAGTTGAGATGTAGTGGACTTCAAACGTTGAAGAAGCTCATCAGTTAATTGTGGTATTTCATCAATCTCAATTTCTTCATTTATATCCAATTCTGTTGAAAACATGAGAAATGCAATCGCATTGTGCGTAAGCAAAGCTGCATACTCGCATTGCTAATTCTAGTAAACTGCATAGGTTATACATTAAGAATGTTGTATCTTTCAGAATATACGTGTAGATGGCGTCGGATATTGAAATTTTGTAAAAGAAACAGCAATAGTACAGTATACAGATATCCCAAATAATTATAATCAGTATAGTCTGTCCGTTTTCATGATTGTCTATATTGATAGCACGATGGAATCTCAGCTACACCCTTTTAATATTACTCTAATATCGCTAAATGTGTGTATTCTTTTATATACAACTACCTAAAAACTTTTATCATCAGCAAAATTGAATTTTTGAGTTGCAAATTAAGAAAATTTAATAAGTGCAAATTTATCTACCTTCTTGGGGTCTATTCATTTTCGTGTTAGCATAAGTTATAAAAAATTCAGAAAATGAACCTTGACGTGCTAATAATTCATCAAATGTACCCGTCTAAATTAATAATAAGTAACGGTTGTTAAATTTTCTTTTAATTCACGCCTATGGCCCTACACAAGAAGGAAAGCCTAGACTATTTAGATTTTTAAAATTTTACACTAACTTCAGTTATTTTTCCTTCTTCTACCACAATAATCTTATCAACAGAAGGCAGAAAATTAAGGCCATGAGTCACGAGTATTCTTGTCTATAAAAGAAATTTTACGATGTTGATTTGTTAATCCATATTATACACAAATATTATGCTATGGATTATTAATAGCAATAATGCGCACGCTATTGGAGATCATAGTTACAACTTAATTAGGCGTAATAAATTCTTGCCTTATGCTTTAGCATTCCGTGTTGGCCAATAACTTTTTCAAAGATATGTTTTCCTACATGAGCGTCGACAGCGCTTAAAGGATCATCAAACATGTATATATCGCTATTTGAATAAACTGCACGAGCTACACTAATTCGTTGCTTTTGACCACCACTTAAATTTATGCCCTACATTTGTAGAGATTTACATATCTAAATATCATCTTTCATTAAGTTGATAATTACACTAACTGTATAAATAAAATATAACAACCTTTTCACCAATCTCACATTGATCTCCACCTGGCAAGATCTCTAGATCTGGTATTAGTGCACATGCTTCAATAGTTTTATTGTATCTTGCAACCAGTTGATCTTGACCGAATAAAATGTTTTCCTCGATTGTTCCATTTTGCATCCAAGCTTGCTGTGGTACGTAAGCAATCGATCCCTATAATTATTAAAAAAGCAATTATAATCAAACGTCTTCATTCTTAGGTTAGAAAATTTTTTTACGCATATCTTAGCTGAGGCAACACTTCATCATACCTTGACGTAAACATCGCCTGCTACTTTATCCATTTCACCAAGGATTGCAGACAGAAGTGATGACTTACCTCCGCCAACGTGACCAACAACTGCCACTAGAGAACCGGTTGGCACTTCAAAATCGACGCTAATGTTATCAAGAGACCAATGTTAATGTATGAAACATTAAGATTGGTATACTCATATAATGATATTAGGTTATAATAAATTTGCTAACTTGTGCAAGATGGTTTCCTTTTCGTCAGCTCCCCATTTAAAATTGCCCTTCTCAATTACGACGGAAGACCTATCTACTCGGATGGCACAGATATTGTCGATTACGACACAAATACAAAGAGATCTGCTTTTACTTTAATTTAATAAAAATTTCAATAATTTTATTACTCAATTCTAACCAAATTTAGGAGGCATCGAACGATTTACGTTGCTTTCGTCCATTTCATGAAGTTTTAAGAAGTCAGACAAGCGTTTCAATGAGACAGAAGCCTAGTTATATTATGTAGATGCATTGATAATCAATTTCAATAACGTACTAGATGTGTCTTCAATAGGACAAAATAAGTTATTACGTTATTACTTACTTGAATAATAACTGCAATAGAAGCCGGTAAAGTTGTGATAGGGTAGCTAAGAACGTTGAATAAGGAAATGGACACGAATGCTTTTGATGCAGTAAGTGTATTGCCAGATAAGACGTACGTTGTGAAGGTGGCTAAAGCGACCTAATTTACATTTAAGATGTAATTAATAGCGGAGACTTCCAATTGATTCTTACATTGTATGAATTGTATAGCTAAAGAATCTCCAAATACTTCTGTCATAATTACTATCATTACTAATGTTATATAACATACCAGAAATGGTGCATTAGCCCAAGTAAAATAAACAGCAGAATGTAGTACGCTGCTAATAAATAATTGTCTAAGTTCTAATTTTCTAATATCCAAAACTTTCTTGATGAATGATTTTTCCCAAGCATATAATTTCAAGACCTATTTATGAGTATTATTTACAATTTAAAGCTTACTAAAATAATAAAAATCCTTCTGATAATTGTTTAAAGCAAGGCCAAACACAGAATAATAGACATTTCACTAGCCCTGATTCGTTTACCTTTATACCATTCAAGACTTCGTTCATTAGCTTGGTTCTCGTATCTTTAAACTTCATTTGTCTAGCCTAATTCATTCAAAATTAATAATTCTACCAATTTAGAACTACAATCAAATTTTTAAGGCTTATTTGGCACGATAAATAATAATTAAACAATATTTAATGTAATTCTAGCAATATACCTGAAAATCTCTTTGTTTCGTAGAAATATACGCATTAATAGGCACGAGCAAAATCAAAACACCAAGACCAGCCATAACTGAAGGTCCAAGTTCTTGCCATAAGAAATACGTAGCTAGCGAGATTTGTATCGGTGCAGCCCATACCATATGAAGGTATAAAACCGCCTCAGATAGTTTTTGAGCATCTACAGATACCAAATTTATAATTTCTCCAGTTGCTGAGCTCTTTCTTGATGAATTAGATAGCACTAACGACTACAGTTGTAAAAGAAAAATCTATTTTACACGTGCATCTTGCATCCGGAATTTAAGGAGTATAATATTAATACTAATTTTAAATGCGCATACCTTTCTATAAACTGCCCAGATAATCGTTGATTTTAGTCTAATACTAGTAACAAAACATCGATGATAGAATTGATGATTTGTACAGGATTGTATAAAAGTTATTGCAAACATCATAAAGGCGTAAGCGAAGCCCTGCCACATTGGTTGGCTAGCATCAGCCGTAAAGGCAATCAAGGCCCTAATTTATAAAAGTATAAGTAAAACTAAGATACTTATAACTATTGATACTATAACTTTGAATTGCCAGTTAATTATCTAGTTTGATTTGAATTATATCGGTACATGTATATTGATTGATTAGGAATAAAAATTTCAACACTAACCTTAAAATTTGTGGAGCAACGAAACTTAGCGTATCTTGCGTAACCTTTAAAACACCAGCAAAGATAAATGTCGAACCAAATGTGCGGCCAAAAGCTAGCACTAGGGAAGGATTTTTGGCGGTGGTTATCGTAACACCATCTTTATTTGCACTACTATTAATATTGAATTAATAGTGGTTAGTGTAATACCGTATAACAATTAGTCATAATCTCCAAAACGTTCTTTGTGCACCTAATTTTAGCTAATTCTCTTGTCCAGTAATATCGAAAGCGATTTCCAATGTTACTACATTTATCGACTTCATTTAAATCCCATAAATCTTGATCGGTTAAAGGATGTTTATATCCTTTAATTATTAGTCTAAATAATGAAATTGAAGAACGTCGTTAATATTTGCGAAACGACAATCTGATTAATTCGAAAACGAATATGATTACCCATTAAGCCACCAAAAACTTATTTTAGAAAGAAATGACGCCCGTGACTCAGGATTTGGCTCCTGCAATAAATATTACATTCATTTCAATAATAGGTCATAGCAAAATTTCACGCAATTAACAAAGTACCAAATCATCTTCCTTGCAGTCAATTTGTTCCTTCTTGTAGGAACGATCAACCCATATAGTTTGTACTAGCATCACAACACTTCCGCCGAACACTATACAACAAGTTATGTATCGAAGAAAACCTTCTGGCATAACATTCTACGTAAAAGAATAAGAGACCATTGTTGATGCACATCATCACAATTTATATATCAAATATATCTTTTCGTCAATCTTTGTATATCTACTTAGCCATTGACAATGCCATCAAATTTAAAACTATTGCTACTATAGGGAATTTTAAATTAACCGAGTAAAAAATAGAGGTATAACAAGTAACCACTGTAATATCAAGCCACAATAGACGAAAGATGTAATATAGGCATTAATACAGTAGTAACAGATATGAATACGTAATATTTAATAAGTAACTTTTAATTTACTTACAGTAAAATAGTATTTTACCATCAAGTCTTAATGTCATAGTGACTGTAAATAGAGATTAAAGCAATTCATTTTTTTAAATATATATTGTAATCCTATGTGTAGCCTTACCATAATTACTTGATACGAAATTAGTGTTCGCATTTTAATGGTGTACGCGATAGACATCAATAGCCAGTATAAAAATAATACACTAGATGAAAAGATGCCCCTACTCCACTCTAATCTCATGGTTGCTGTAGATAAGACCTATTGTGAAACAGAAATTACCGATATTAACTGAGTTTTGAGCCAAAAAATGGCATCGTCGGTATTACTAACTAAGTGTCACCGCAATTGGAATGAACTGGCTGCATCATACACAATCTTTAATTCTAAAAGGATTAAACACTACAATTTAACTGAATGGTTGTACCGTAATCCCCTTTGACCATTAATAATGCAGCAATTTCGGAAAAAGCCTTACTTATTTTGTTAGTAAAATGCGCTCCTAATATATACGTTGATTAAAACTACCGGCGACTTATTCAACTGCCAAAGGTATATCGTTCGTACTCGTATAGACCTATGATGATTACTAAGACCAATAGAAGATCGACTAACAACTGCAGTTCAGAGTATTTATTTTAAATTTCTCCGATAACTGATTCAAAACAGTGATATCTGCCGCTATTGAAAATAAAACTATAAAATTTCAATAAAGCATTATCCGTGTTATGAATATTTATACCATAGCAATCCATGTCAGACAGGGTGTCACCATTAAAACACCAGCTACGGGTCGTACTTGGACGTCGGTAAGTGTGTATAGTAAATCCACCATAGGTGGTATAATCAATGCCGCAGAGCAATACTATCAAAAATGAATGAGGAAATGTTAGATTATCAAGCAATATTACAAATTTAGACAAAAAGAATAACAATGAAATCAGATTATTGAAATACTCGTACATTCGTAGTTTTATAGATTTTACACTTATCTCTAGGAATCTCATTACCAGCTTAAAGTGATATAGCGATGACTTTATTTTTTTGCCAAACTTTGGATGAAACTCAGGGGATTTGATCAAACTTGGTATATGCAGCAGCGAAATAAGGATCAAGAAGACGGCAGGTATATTTAAAATAACAAAATCTTGGAAGCATAGCGTAAAATCGGGCCATGGGGTAGAATAATTGGATTCCTATTGATAAACATACCGTAGTATATTAATTGCTTTATTAAATATAATAATATCTTGGTAATAATTACAGCATTAATCATTTCTTCATAAGGCTCTTTTACATTGAATTAATAATAACAATATTGAAGCAAACTATTATTAGCCAGTAACAAATAAAATCATAAGATAATTCTTCAACACTTTTTCGTACAAGATTCTATGACCTGTAAATTATCGAGAACGACATCAACTTTAAGGTGGCCGATTATCCTTTTAATTGCAACATTTTCCTATTTACAAACAGGACTGGGATAAACTCCTACAGTAGCATTCTAAGGGCGAGTCTAGATGACTAACTTTATAATACGTAGGTCATCTCAATCTAGTATTCTTTTCCAGAATTTTGCAATATTGTTATCAAAGCTATCTATAAGTAGGCTAATTACAATTATCAACAATTTAAAGGAGTAGATAACATAATTTAGTTATAGATTTCGTATATGCAGTGTATACTACAGATTAACTAAAAGCTAATACCAGCAATTATTATGCAGGGCGTCATTGCAGAGCTATAATTGATTTCTAAATGCAATCAGTTAAACTACGATTATGACAACAGTTAAGATATGCAAATAAATAGCGTTATATTTATCAGTCAATAATATAATTGGCTGCCTGTATAACAAATCAGTATCTACGATGCTTAATGTACGAGTTGAATTAGTGGGCTAAATCTTTAAAATTTACTATTTTTTTAATAGTGTCCCCAAGCTTCTCAATACAGTTGCTTTAATTAGGAATTTGTTGTAACAAGTTTCCCATTAGCATTGAGTTTATTCCATGGTGATATCAATATCTTTACTCCTTATTGAGTAATAAAAATGGATGTTACTATCAATCATAACCATCTAATAATATCTACTGTATACTCTGTATGGTTAAAAATCGAAGGATAGGAATCATTGGATTAATCTGCAAATAAGTATAGTGAAGAATCCTGCTTTCATCGAACGCTAGCTCAATTTATAAACGTCAGATCTAATTTCAAGAGCCTTACTGGAGTAAAATCTTTGCTAGGATCCATCTACTGTAGTAAACCAACATAAATTGACAGTGCTATCTTATACTAATCCTGTATAATAAGCGTTGAATAAATTAATAACTCTATTCTGGGTTTTTTTAAAGCTGGCAATGATTTGAAGAGGTTGTCAATCATCATTGTTATTTACATGTACTAGAACGATATTATTGGATGTTATAGCGTACGTAAATAATGAAAAGGCTAACCGATTTTACAAACTATAACAGCCTTGCTTATTATCGGCTCAGCAAGGTAGCAGCTACTCAGCATTGAGGTGCTACAAGAATGGAAATGAATAAACTTGGGATCAAGTTGATCTTAAGCTCATATGATTCCGTTTGATATAACAAAATAGTGATGGACGATTTGAAGCTAATGCCAACATCAACTGTTACATCGTCTACTGCAGACAATGTTTTAGGCAATATCAACCGATTGCTACTGCTTTAATCTATAGCAGACTTACCCAAAATAGCGATAATGGTGAGCAAAAGTCACGAACACCGAAACTTTCGGCCATGATGATCCAAGAGTAATGCCCCGTTGAGGATTAGACCCGTAATGTTCTTGCTATCACTTGATTTACTCTCCAAATACAACTTGCACTTTAGACAGTCAGTTCGCTGAACAACTACTGTATTCTGCAGTGGAAAGGAAGATCATCGATTCATAACAACTCAATAGAATCAATGTACTCGATGCAATTTCGAGGGACTTCATGCAGTTCCCTGGAACGCTTACGTTATCCAGCTGCTCTATATAAACTTGTTACCAGGAGATGTTGCAATGTCAGCAGATTCACCCAGATCGGCTATAAGTAACTTAAGTACACGTTTAAAGCAATAGTCCCAGTACTGAGTGCTGAGTGCTGACTATTGAGTGCAATTATCGCAGAAGGGGCGGAGCGTTGGACTTTGTAAGATCATGACGTCATCGATTATACTCTCATGGCTTGACCAGAATTGCTGATGTCAGCTAACGGTGAGCAAGGACAATTGCAGCGAGCTAGGAGCTGGAAAGCGTTGACTAGAGTCAAGCATAAACCATATACCGAACCATGAAGTTGTAGATGTTCCACAAATGGCAAGCAAGAAACAAGAAATGAAATAGACAATGTTTTTAATCAATTATTATTTGGCCGTCAATTCTATACAGTAGTCAAGTATTGAAGCGGAACTCGATAAACGTTATAAACGTTATTATAGCAGATAAACCTAAAATTTGAGAAATAGCAGATCTTAGCTCACTGTACGCTAGAATAGCCGAACTCTATACTACCAACTTGACACGCTAAGTACTAACTTTAGATTACAGATGTACTTACCAGAGACTCCCATAAGAAAAAATGGGACTCAATAAACCCAAAAATCAATTTAATAATCACTCTCAACTGAAAGTGAGTACAAGACCCCAATCTCTGAGGCAATCAGCAGGTTACAATACTTATAGCAGGCTGTTACTACCTTCACGGACCTTTAGAACTTATAAAGGTAAAAGGAAGAGCACTATGAAAACATCAAAATTATCTCCAATCTTTGCTTACCTCTTCTCTCCCCCCCCCCCGTCTCAGCTGATACTTCGACTGTTACAGCATACCAAGTTCTAAAATGCTATCCTTGCATAATAATTAGAACCAAATTATCAGTTAAGAAGGGAGGGGAGGGGGTATGAACTAAGTCCACTAGATGTGTTAAACTGTGTAGCTGGTGAGTTGGTGATTCACTTCCTACCTTTTTAGTCAATCTTACAGTACGAGTAGAAGTAGACTCTAATATTAGTTTAAGAGCACAGAATTCAGAATAGTAAATATCACTTTATTAAAAGAAACAGAGGATTTTCAGTAACCACGAAAATGATGCAATAGTATGCTGTATACGGTTCATATTCCAATTATAAAGTAATAAATGAAAATAAAATAAAATTGGGTATTAACGAAAAGTGTTAAGTACGCAAGTAGATCATGTACCAAGGCAATCAATAACTTCACTTTACCTTAAGCGTACTTACGCCATTACGTTAAGGTGTGAATGAACACACAAAGTTTGAAGCTGATACTGCAGAATGGGCTCAACGACAACATAGACTTAACCAATTTGCGCCTGCAAATATCCATGTTGGTCTCTAGATGATGCTAAAATTTAATTACTGTACTTTGACCTTCATTTCACTGGAATTATTTATTCCTATATAAATTCTATTGGAAATTGCATGTTATTTTATCCCTAAACGATATTATTTTGATTTGGCCGATAGCAAAGGAGTAGTAATCGAAATGTTAGTTGCTCGTCGCGTTCTTCAATCTCTTCCATCTTGTTTATTGGCAGCCAATCGCACCATGTCTAGTGTTGGTAGCGCTAATTTTAAGGTTGATATCCAGGATGATGTTGCCACTGTTAGGATGGCAAAATCACCAGGAAATGCATTGGATTTAAGTTTCTTCCAAGAATTTCTTGACGTATTTAATGAGGTGGAAAACTCTTGCCGAGGCATGATCCTCACTTCGGTTAGTCTATCGCACGTTGCTGTATCTGCAACCGATACTGACTTGTCATGAATAACATACGTAGTAGATAATCTTCCATTAATGCATTGACTAGTTTTTATCTTCATGTAAAACTGATAGATGACATTTCTTGCGTTACAGTGGACGATGGTCAATGTCTGCATACTAGCTATCGTCCATGCATTAGTTAGGATACTGTATATAAAACTGTAGACTAGTTTTTATTGACATACTAGCTAGACATTGCTAGTGTATCAATTACGAACAAGCTAATTATATGTTGCTAGTAAATTGCACGTTCAAATAAACGGGAACATATTTTGCACAAAGCAGTACATTAAAACAAAATTCAGTGTTAGATTATCTTACTATAGAGGCTTCCTTATTTACATACCAACTTGTACATAGCAACAGTTATGTCCGATATCCCATGATTTTATAATTTGAAAAGTTTGGAAATTGTCTTTGTTTAGTGTACTAAAATGGCTATTTAGTGAATCTCAAAGTAATCGGTTACTTCAGTATCTAACAGTGAATTTAGTCTTATAATAGCTTAACTAGTTCTTTATTGAATGCTTAATCCTTGAGATAAACGATTACGGCTAACCGTTGTAATGGTGACATGGATATTGGATGTTACAACTAATTTTATATTAATTATCAAGCACAACCCATACGATTACAATTGCAAATCACGACTACTTTGTAGTAAAATTAACGGATTAATTATAATTATCGATGCAATACATGCTAAGCGATTAGCGTTACCCATTTTATTCTGACAATAGCACGATAATCATTGCATGTGCAGTTTAAATTATGCAATATGCAACAAGCAATGCCACATTTCACGATCATCAGGACAAAATTGCAACCCAAGCGGTGTGGTACGATCTTTGTAACCAGTACAGTACAACTAAAAGCTAAATACTGCCGAACTAATTGCAATACAAATTAACGAATTAATTATAATTATCGATGCAATACATACTAAGTGATTAGCGTTACCCGTTTTATTCTGGCATAAGCAGGATAATCATTGCGTGTCCAGTTTAAATTATACAATATGCAACAAGCAAGGCCTCATTTTACAATTACCAGGACAAAATTGCAACTCAAACTATGTGATACGATCTTCGTAACCAGCACAGTACAACTAGTAAAAGCTAAATACTGTCCAACTAATTGCAATACAAATTTTATCTTCATTGACAACCAGTAGTAAAAATCTGACTGTAGATATAAGGTAGTACAGCTATTGCTTTACTTCAGTTTTCAGCCTTCAGACCAATATCAATATCATATCTACTTTTTACTGAAAGAAATTATTATATGCATTCTATCCCTCGTTCGTTATACTTGTATCTTTGCATACTATACTTGTAGTTACTTATTTTACGTTACCAGTGTCACTAATCATGAGTTGTAGCCTTGTATTTCGTGCAAATTGCTGACTAATACTTCTTAATATTGACATAACCAACATCGGTTTCTGTTCAAGAAAATTTATGTCTACCATGATAATCTACACATATGTCTCGTAGATGGAAATAATTCTACTCTCAGGCGGTATATAGCAGACTTATTTAGATACCAACTCTACGTTTCCTGTATAGGACTTGCCGCAAATATATTCAGCTGGACTAAACATCAAAGCAGTCGCTCAGTTATCATCGACGAGTGAAGTAAACGAGTTTCTGGCTGGACTGGAAAAGTTTTGGTTTCGTATTTACTCATCAAAATTAGCCACTGTGGCTGCTATCAATGTTAGCTTGATCTTAATCATAGAGAATTTATCTTTCAGTAATATCTAATGATGATATTATACTTATATGTAGCAGAAAAGTAATAACAATGTGAATATCTTGATAATGAAATTATTCTAGGGCCATGCTACTGCTGCAGGCTGTTCCGTTGCTCTCGCATGTGATTACAGAATAATGAGTAAAGGAGACAAAAAACCTTACACGATTGGATTAAATGAACCTAGGCTGGTAGGCATTCTTAGTATATTCTTATCATCACTATATCAAATCTGTTAAAGATTATCATTATCAACTAAAAGACATTTCTTGAAACAATAATACTATTTCATACTCTCTAGGGATTGGAAATTCCATTTTGGTAAGTTTAATACTTAATTAAAGCCAGTTGAGTATTGATCATTTTAGATTGATATAAATTCAGCAAATAGAATTGATTGCACTATGCATTCAAGGGCGAAAATATTGAGAAAAAAATACTGTAATTATTATTTATGCTATATATTGTCAGGTTACTGGAAGCATACAAAGATACCATTAGTAATAGGAACATAGATCTCCATGCGCAACTCGGTACCTTATTTCCTGAGGAAGAAGCCGCTAAATTAGGACTCGTTGATCAGTTAGTCTCTAAGGAAGAGCTACTGCCAGAAGCTCAAAAACGGATGAAAGAATTTCTAAACGTAGCGGGTAGAGAAATACGAGTATTTCCATTTATTAATCTATAATCGTTGTTTAATTTTAGCAATATGGATACACATACGTGATGTATTCAGCCATGTCTAACTACTATACATCATTTACTGTAATCATCAATATACAGCAGAATGTACAGTATATTCTACTACAGGCTACATAACTATTAACAAGTACGTTATACTTTTATACATTATAGTTAATCGTTACAGTTTCCCAATGTATTATTAGATCATTCCCGTCAAGGTTGTAAACTGCTCCTCCGTCGAAATCTCATGAATCACTATTCTCAAGTTGGTGATAAAGAACGACAGCGATTGGCGGAAACCCTAACGAGTCCCAAGACCCGAGAATTAATTAAGGAGATGATCATGAAGCTTTCAAAGCCACGTAAATAAGTCTGATAGCCCAATTATAAGGTTATTCGGGATTGTTTCCTACGAATGCACTTATTTAGACGCTATTGCCTTAATTATATTATACCAGTATTTGTTGTACGTTACTCGTAACAGTAGATAATAACCGTGGATATATGTTGTATACAGTCCGACAATCTAGAAATAAAACAGATCTTTTAACAGGATCCGTGTGTTATGCCGTATCATTTACTAAAGTCGAATCCTTAACAGCAGTAGATATCAACTTTCACAATACTGTAGCCAACCAACTTGGTGGCTACGATGTACTATGAGAGCGCAATTGACCGAGACATAATGTTCTTCCAAAGCACCGCAGTAAATAAATAAAACCATTTGTCTCACATTTCACAGCAGGTATGCAAGAAACAAGACATGAATAAATTTTTAATCCATTAATATTATTTGACCTCCAATTCTCATAAGACCACTATGACTGAGGCGTTGCGAGCCTTCTAAAATGGTTGAAAGATGTTCAGCTACAGTGTTGCCTTAAATTATATTATTCAATTGTGAAGAAATGTACTTTAAATTTGGCTCCAATTCCATACAGATAGATCAGTACAACCTTGAGCAATTGGCTCTTGCTGTTTCGATTACTTTTTATAGCAGTATTGAATAATTCTATTTCTTTCAAGTTTCTAATACAAACTATCAGTCGCTATTACCAGTTCAATCGTTCCAACCATTTTACAAGTCACGTCGTAATACCAGTCTATAGACACTAGTTCACCGCCGAACAAACTTGATCAAATTCATATATAGCAGACAAGCAGCAAACTTTGAGAAATGCTCACTGTATGGGCATTGGCCAGTTCATAATAACCCCGATTGCTGAGATACTCACGCTGAGTATCTGAGTAATCGGGGTTATTATGAATGGGCCTAATGTACATTATACGATATAGGCCGTTCAATTTTTAACTTGATGTCCAAAATTCAATGATGAAACGTCTCAATCCATGGTATTTACTGAGTGCTGCAGAACCCATACAGCTAATTCTGTAAAGGTATTGCAAAGTAGATCATTTCGATATTTAGAATAAGCAATGTACTGTAGCATTATATAAAAGCCGTATGAACCGGGCGAGATTCAAGAATCGTAGAATGGTACATAGCGTCATGGACTACTAGAAGAAATAGTCCATGATAGCATACAAACAAACATCAACGTTTTGCGTCGATATTCTTGAATTGCAAATGAGTTTAATCCCGAGTGTTTTAGAATATTACCCACTGAACTCGTTTGAAGTCCAATGTTGACTAAGAACTTTACTGGCTATCGAAATGAGTAAATTTACTTGCAATATACACTGTATTCAGTGCTTAAAATTAAAGTCAAATCCTAACTATATATGTTATACAACATACTACGGCATAGTTCATAAATGGCATGTATTTCTATCTAGGAATAACACGAACAATCGTATTGAAGGTTCGTATTAGCATGGAGACAAGAAATTGAACATGTAGTTGAAGTTATCGTAAAACTAACTACTAACTCCTACTCTCTCTTTATCGTAATGTAAAACGGTGGCTTATATACGTGCGCCATTCACACTTATAACGCAATGCAATTGCAAGTTTATGTAACAGTGGATTCATTGGTGTACGCAGCACAATCAATACGTAGAATTAGCAAGTGTAGAATATCACATGAGTAGAATACTATCAATAATCAATTCCGATTATTATTACGTAACCTGTGACACTAGTACGTTTATAACGTACTAAATTTAGGTAATATCGAATTAACGCAAACACACAATAGCAATCTAAATGTATGAATGCTATATAATGTAATACATGGGTATTAAGCGTACAATCTAATCAATATAGCTTCGTTAAAAAATCCAAGTTGTATTTCGTTAAAAATCCTGTAGAATGGGCCTGATTTAACTGATTTAGCTTACACAATTGTTTTTGTTTTTTTCAGGGAGCCATCGAAATTAGTCAGACTTGTATGTAATGTAATTAGATATGATAATAATACAGAAACATATCTCAGAATGCAGACAGTTATAATATGCAGTACGTTTATAAGACTGTTCTGTATAATGTACAGTAGAGAAATAATCTCTAAAATACACATCGCATGATACGAGAGGACATTGAGCGTACGAGTATAAAATGGAGATGCTGTAGATACATGATTCATTCTATCATCGCTGCAGTGCTGTACAACGAGTAGTCCATGGCAATGCCAACACAGCACACTACAGTACGATAGCAACACTGAACTTCATAGTCCTATACTGTATTTACGATTAATATTTCTCTACCAGCTTCGATTGCTGATCTCTAGTACAGTATAAGGTTGAGCGTATCAGCTACTACATCTTGCAGCTGTTCTTTTACCATTAACGTGTTTACAATGCAGCATGTCGAGTCGTTTTTCGTAGTCGATGACAGTCTACTGTACAGTACATTGTATAAGTGTACATTTCGTAGAGCAGACTCAAATTCGCTCCAAAACATTGGGATCAAGTCCATTTCATTGCAATTGATGCATACACTGTTTCAGTAATTTCAGCGATACTTTTGAAGCAGAAATTTAATTCACTACTGCAGGAGATCACGAATATTGCTGATCTCTAGCAGAAGGTTGAGCGGATCAGCTAGTATATCTTGCAGCTGTTCTTTTACCATTAACGTGTTTACAATGCAGCATGTCGAGTCGTTTTTCGTAGTTTTGTACAGTACATTGTATAAGTGTACATTTCGTAGAGCAGACTCAACTTCGCTCCCCAAAATTGGAATCAAGTCCATTTCATTGCAATTGATGCATACACTATTTCAGTAATTTCAGCGATACTTTTAATGCAGAAATTCAATTCATTACTGGAGGAGATCACGAACATTTCAGGTCCAGGTCTTTTTTAGGGCTTTCTACTTGACCTCACACAGTACAGTACTTGACCTCTGTACAGTATTTGACCTCTTACAGTACTGTACTGTACAGTACTTGACCTACAGTACTGTACAGTACTGTACTGTACAGTAAGACTTGACCTTACGGTATATTTTTGGACTCTCTACTGTACACTGTACACTGTATAGGGTCAGGTAAATCAATCAATCAATCAATCCTCTGTCGACAGCTCGCTCTTCCTGCAAAAAACAACATGGCCTTAGCAAGTAAGTGCAAAGAAATATCCAGCATGGACGCTAAAGTAAAAGTGTCCGTACTTTGACCTTGATGTATAATAATTTCAATCGCAAACTGCATGCAATTTTATCCTGAAACGATGTTATTGTAACATGACTTACTGGTTACTGTAGGAGCAGTAACAGGAGTTTCTGGTGCACGCCGCCTTCTCCAATCGCTTCCATCTTGCTTATTGGCAGCTAATCGCACCATGTCGAGTGGTGGTAGTGCCAATTTGAATGTAGAAATCCAGGATGATGTTGCCACTATTAGGATGGCAAGGTCACCAGGAAATGCATTGGATATAAGTTTCTTCCAAGAAATTCATAACGCATTAAATGAGGTGGAAAACTCTTGCCGAGGCATAATTCTCACTTCGGTTAGTCTTGTCGTAGCTTGCTCAATCCTCAATTGAGACTGTCTTATCATGGATAATTATAATAGATTGTACGTAGCAGATAGCCTTCTATGAATCATTAAATTGACTAGTTTTACCGTCATGCAAAGAGGATTAACGGCATTTTCAGCGTTATAGTGGACGATAATCGATACCTCTATACCCATATAGAACAGGATAATCAGCAGTAATCGATTACAGTGTCATCGTCACGTTCTGCATAGAATGTTGTACACAGAATTTTAAACGAGCTTTTATTGACGTATTGGCTAGATGCTGCTACTGTATTAATGACTCACTAGCTAATTATATGTTATCAGAGTAAACCCCAATGTCGTCTCTATTTGCATACCAATTCTATAGATGGCAGCGATTCAGTCCGATATCCCTTGATTTTAAAATTTGAATGATTGGAAATTGTCTTTTTACATTATACCAAAATACGTTCGTTGTCAATCTCCGGGCAACCGTTGCACTATCATCCGGCAGGGAAGTTGGTCTTACAATAGATTAATTAGTTGTCCTTTCACAATGCTTGAGCTGATCAATTATGGTTAACTGCTGTAATGGTCTAGGAATATAGTATTTATTATACGTATATCTGAAATGGTATTGGATATATTCCATACAGTAATATTCAAATTTTACTGTCTCGAAATGGATATTGGATGCTAAAAATTAATTATATATTAATTATTATCTATATAATTAAACAAGTACTATCCATACGATTACATTAGCAAATTAAGTCAATTTCATCGTAAAATTAACGGATTGATTATAGACGGAATATGCGCGGAGTAATTAGCGCTGCCCGTTCTAGTCTGATATTAACACGGTGATAATTGTATGTTCAGTTTAAATTGCATAATATCCAGCAGGTAAAGCCACATTTCATGTTCACCAGGACAAAATTGCAACTCAAATGGCGTACATACAATCTTTGTAGCCAATACAGTGCAATTAGTAAAAGCTAAATACCGCGGAGCTAATTGTAGTGCAAATTGAAATGCTTTGACGACCAGTAGTACGAATCTGACTGTCGGTACGCATTTACTATACACGTAGTAAGATAGATATTTCTTTCTTTTGCTTCGCTTTACAGCCTTCTGACCAGTATCAACATCATGTCTACTTCCTACACAGTAAGATCATTTTAGGTACAGTACACTAGTTGATCCCTCGCTCGTTATACTTCGCGTACTATACGTTATATTATCGCTGTCACTAATAATAAGTCGTAGCCTCGTAGGTCGCGCAAGTTACATAAAAATCTACACTTATACCACGCAGATGGAAATTATTCTGCTTAAAAGCGTTGTAAGGCTAACCTATGAGTTTAGGTATCAACTCTATATTTCAACATTGTAGGACCTGCCGCAAATATTTTCAGGCGGACTAAACCTCAAAGCAGTCGCTCAGTTATCATCGGTGGCTGAACTAGACGAATTTGTGCGCGAAATGGAAAAGTTTTGGCTTCGTATTTACTCATCAAAATTAGCCACGGTGGCTGCTATCAATGTTAGCTTGAATTTATTCAGGAATACCTAAAGATGACGCTATACTAAACTACAACTAAAAAGTTGAAAACAATGCAAATAATTTGATAATAAAATTATTGTAGGGCCATGCTACTGCTGCAGGCTGCGCTCTTGCTCTCGCATGTGATTACAGAGTAATGGCTAAAGGAGACGAAAAACCTTACATGATTGGATTAAACGAATCTAGGCTGGTAAGTATCCTTAATATGTTGTTATTAGTGTATCATATGTACAAATCATCATTATCAATTAGAAAACATTTTCGGAATTAATAATGCTATTTCATATCCGTTAGGGACTGAAAGTTACGTTTTGGTAAGTTTAATAATTTATTAAAGCCAGTTGGGTATTTATCGTTTTTGGATTGCTATAAGTTTAGCGAATAGAATGGATCGTTGTATATGCAGCTAAGAATGAAATATTGGGAAATAGTATGCCGTAATTATGGTAATAAAATATAAATAACTATCAGGTTACTGGAAGCATACAAAGATGCCGTTGGTTATAGGAACGCAGACCTCCATGTGCAACTCGGTACCTTATTTCCTGAGGTAGTAGCCGCTAAATTAGGATTAGTTGATCAGTTAGTTTCTAAGGAAGAGTTACTACCAGAAGCTCAAAAGCGGATGAAAGAATTTTTAAGCGTGCCGGGTAGGGAATACGAGTACTTGTATTTATTAATTTATAATCATTGTTTAATTTTAATGATATGACTTATTCAGTTACATCTAATTACTATACATCATTTATTGGAATCACAGATGTATACATATTATAATTGTTTACAAACTTATAACAATTAATCGCTATAATTTCCAAATAAATTATTAGATCATTCTCGTTATGGTTGCAAACTGCTCTTACGTCGAAAGGTCCTCGATCACTATTCTCAATTTGGCGCTAAAGAACGACAGCAATTTATAGAAACTCTAGCGAGCCCCAAGACCCAGGAATTAATCAAGGAGATGATGATGAAGCTGTCAAAGTCACGCAAATAAGTCTGATAACCCAATTATGAGGTTATTCGGATTTGTTTCGTACGAATCTACTTGCTTGCGTGTTCTTGCTTCAATAATTTTATTATCGTTCGAGCTAATTTAGTTGTTTTAGTTTTAGTTACATCAGAAGTTAACATCCTACAAACCAAGTGATCTACAGTATTTTTTATTATAGCTGTCATATGAATTTGTGAGTTATACATACGTATTTACTTCCGTGTTGTTTGCACCACATCAAGCAGAACGATTTAATCTGTTGGTTGGTGCAGGCAAGGATGTGCATCCTTCAGAAGAATACGTATCATACGATACTGTACTTATAGAGTATTCATTACTAATAGTACTAAGTTGCATTAGGGTAGAAAATCATAGATTCATCTAACATTGCTAGATGAAATAACTATACCAAAGAGCGCTTTTACAAAAAAGATTTTCCACACTGATATATTGTATGCCATCTTTGGATCAAGAAGATTGTTCCGAGGAATCAAGCAGCTTAATTTAAGCCTACATTTATTTTATAAATCAACTGAATATTCTACTGTTAATGCCTAATAAAAGTTTACATTACGGAATGTACTTGTATGCAATTAAATAAATTAATTAATCGTAAAAATAGAAGAAAACTGTTGAAAATCGAAATTTCTTGACAACTGCAATATTTCTAACTCATGTTGCCAGATTTCAATTGTATACTTTAATTTTTATAACTTTTCAGAAATACAGTTATTAAGGTAAATTATTGTTATCAAGTAACCTCGATGGTTTAGAATGCACGTGTATCTCCTCTTTATTTCCAATCTCAACCCTTTATACAGTACACTATGCTATCCCAGCTATTGTTATGATTATGCAGCGGTACAAGAAGAACTGTGCTATATCATAAGCATATATACGAACTACTGTATTACTGTCTCGCGCAGTATAATGCAATATAGCACTGCAAGCGAATACAACGTTCAATCGTGCATGCAGTAGAATGCTCTATTACAGATTTTGTATATTTGTAATAGTTAATCTACGAATCATAACAGTTATTACGAATTCTTAATAGCGGGCATTTTGAAATTGATTGAATATGCAATATGTTACACTTTTAGTATTTCCCACTTGAACCGCTAGAAGGAATGGTCATGTACTCCGGCTAGTTTCAACGCTCACACTCACACAATGTAAAGTTCCTTAAAAATTACCTTTATTTAATCCCAGAATCTTCCAATCTCATCTGCCTAACATCAGGATTAACACGTCTACGACTCCGCTCTCACTATCCAAGACTAACTCAGTTTGATTACTTTACTAGTTATATACTGTATTATATTACGTAACAGGTAACACGCAATTGGTATCTCCATACCAAATTGATGTTAGCAATCATTAGGTTACCGTTGTTATAGGCACTACTATCGTACAACGCAAACCATTGCAATACGGTACTATGTCACCATGCTATAACTAAATGAAATACTGCGATAGTAATCATGTCGGAATCAACATAACATCATATATGCTTCGAAGTCTAATTTATACCATTAGCGTCGCAATCTCACATTACATAGGATAGTACAGTACCTGACGAAACATTTAAATTGTTCCCAATTTCATGTAATCCTTTACGATATTATACATTCTAAAGGATGTAGTAGTCTAGTAGATAGCGACTTTCACCATTTTGTAACTAGCCAACTTGGTGACTACTTTAAGATCGACTTGTAAACAGTACAGTGTACGATGACAGACGTCCATTGCAATTAAAAATGACCTGTAAAAGAGAATTCTTGACCCGAAATATAACGTCCTCCCGAAGCACTGCAAACTGCAGTAAACAACAGTGCTTCGGTCGAATAAACAAAACCATCTGCCTAAAACATTTCACAGACGGTGTGCAAGAACCAAGAAATGAAAGAATTTGGAATGATTTGATCATCAATACTATGCACTAGTCAAATATCGAGCAGATCTGATTCAATTCATATAGTAGACAAACATAAAGTTTGAGAAATGCTCACAGTACCTTGTACAACCAACCAGATAGCCGCACTGAATTGATGCTACAATGCAAATAATGAACAAAAATTGTCAAGCCTAACATCTCTAGCAGTGTCGGTTACTGATCTCTAGTGCAAATTCGAGTGAATCAGCTACTAAAAATCGGTGTTGTTTTGTACAATACTGGACAAAAAAATTATCGAACGCGCTGGAGTGAATATTGGTGGAGGACTTTCTTTTACCATTAAAGTGTTCATATATTGGATACAGTAGTGTTAATCGTAGTTTAGCATGAAATGTTCATACTGTATATTGTATACAGTAGTGTTCTTCGTAGCTTAGCATGAAAGTGTTCATATACAGTAGTGTTATTCGTAGTTCATGACTAAACATGGCGAGCAAGCTCAAAATTGTCTAACCGTAATGCAAACCCGTTTGAGCTCAACTTTTGCAGCAAAAATAGACGACCCCCTCGGCCCCTCCCACAGTACAGTACCGTACTGTACTGGACATACTGTACACTGTACAGTACAGTAAAGTACTGTACGATGAGACACGCCCATTGCAGTACTGCAGCATGCGGGTATACAGTACAGTACTGTACTGTACAGTACCACACTCAGAGTGGCGTCAATCGACTGTCCAAAATTCTGCGTACAACAACATGGCCTTAACAAGTAAGTACACGCAAATATCCATCATGGACGCTAAACTTAAAATAAACTAAACTATGTCATAATTTAACTACGACACTTTGACATTCTTTCTACCGGATTAATTTATTGTTGTATAATTATTTCAATTGAAAACTGCATGCAATTTAATCGTTAAACCATGTTATTGTAACGGGACTGATTGGATAGGAGCAGTAATCGGGGTGTCCGGTGCACGCCGCCTTCTTCAAGGTCTTCCATCTTGTTTATTGGCAGCCAATCGCACCCTATCTAGTGGTGGTAGCGCCAATTTTAAGGTCGACGTCCAAGATGAAGTTGCCACTGTTAGGATGGCTAGATCACCAGGAAATGCATTGGATTTAAGTTTCTTCCAAGAATTTAATGACGTATTTAATGAGGTGGAAAACTCTTGCCGAGGCGTGATTCTCACTTCGGTAAGTTTTAGTGCAAATTGCGCTACTCTATCGGGCAATTGATACTGTGTTGCCATCGATAACACACGTTGCAGATCGCACTTCCATTATTCCAATGGACTAGTTTTGACCATGTATCCAAAGCTGATTGATTACATTTCTAGCGTTACATGTCGAACAGGATAATAAGCAGTCAATCACCTTGCTATTGTCGACGTGCTAGATTGGATGTTGCATACAATTGCAAACTATTTTTCTTAACGTACAGTATCAGCTGGACATTGCTTTTTACCCGTATTAATTACTAATTGAAGATAGTCATTAGAGTAAATCTCAATGTTGCCTCTATTGGCACACCAATTTATAGATGCCAGCAATTCAGCACGGTATCCCATGATTGTATCACTTGAAAGTTTGAAACTTGTCCCTGCATACCAAAATATGTACTCGTATTTTGACCAATATCAACATCATTTCTAGTTTCTATACTCAATGTGTTAGGCATATATCATGAATTGTAGCCTTATAGGTCGTACAACTTACTGACTAATACTTCTTCGTAAACTTGACGTTATTAACATCAGTAATTATTCAAGTAAATCGTCTCTACTATAAGAATCGACGCATATACCACGCAGACGGAAATAAATCTACCTTAAAATGTTATATGGTTTCCTAATTTTGCATAGTAACACTATATTTCAAATGCAGGACCTGCCGCAAATATTTTCAGGCGGACTAAACCTCAAAGCGGTTGCTCAGCTATCATCGGTGGCTGAACTAGACGAGTTTCTGGGTGGACTAGAAAAGTTTTGGTTTCGTATTTACTCATCAAAATTAGCCACTGTGGCTGCTATCAATGTTAGCTTGATCTTATTAAGGAATATCTAAAGATGACGTTATACTGATCTATTACTACAATGTTATAGCGTTGCAAATAATAAGCGTTTGATAATAAAATTATTCTAGGGCCACGCTACTGCTGGAGGCTGCGCCATTGCTCTCGCATGTGATTACAGGGTAATGAGTAAAGGAGACGAAAAACCTTACATAATTGGATTAAATGAATCTAGGCTGGTAAGCTTTCTTAATATATTGTTATTGCTGTATCGAATCTGTTAAAGATCATCTTAATCAATTAAAAGACATTTCTTGAAATAATAATGCTATTTTCATATTCTTTAGGGAATGAAAATTCCGTTTTGGTAAGTTTAATCGTAAATTAAAGCCAGCTGAGTATTTATCGCTTTTACAGTGATGTAACCGTGCGCCAGAATTGATCGTTGCATATGCAACTAAGAATGAAAATATAGAGAAGGAGGGTATACCATAATTATCATAATATATTATCAGGTTACTGGAAGCATACAAAGATACCATTGGTAATAGGAACGCAGATCTCCATGTGCAACTTGGTACCTTATTTCCTGAGGTAGTAGCCGCTAAATTAGGATTAGTTGATCAGTTAGTTTCTAAGGAAGAGTTACTAACAGAAGCTCAAAAGCGGATGAAAGAATTTTTAAGCGTGCCGGGTAGGGGATACGAGTACTTCTATTTATTAATTTATAATCGTTGTTTAATTTTAACGATAACAATACGCGTACGTGACATATTTAGTCATGTCTAACTACTGTACATCATTCACTACAATCATCGATGTACATACAGTAGAATGCAATTCAATCTGCGCATTAGCAAGCATGTTATATAATAGTTAATCGTTACTGTTTCCAAATATTATTAGATCATTCTCGTCATGGTTGTAAACTACTCTTCCGTCGAAATATTATGAATCGCTATTCTCAATCTGGTGATAAAGAACGACAGCAATTTGTAGCAACACTAGCTAGTCCCAAGACCCAGAAATTAATTAAGGAGATGGTCATGAAGCTGTCAAAGCCAAATAAATAAGTCCGGCAATCCGACTATAATACTGTTTGTGCTTGTTTTGTAGGAATCCTCTAGTTTGCGTGCTATTGCTTCAGTTTTAATTGCTATCTTTCGAGCTAATTTAGTTATTTCAGTCATTAGATATAGCAGAAGTCAACATCTTATAAACTTAGTGAGCTGCAGTACTTTTTATTGTACTTATCATATACATTTGTCAGTTAAATGTGTAAATTTGCTTCTGTACCGGTGGCGTCACATGAAACAGAGCAATTGCATCTTCTAAATTTTGTAGCCTAGGATTCACGTTATTCTTCCAATTAAAAATACTCATACGATATTCATTACTATCAATACTATGTTGCATTGTGGTGAAGATCACAGATTTATCGAACAAAACTAAATGAAATAGCAAATTCAAAGAGCCCTTTAATAAAAGATTTCCCAAATTGAAATACCTTACATCTTTTTTGCTCAAGAAAATTATTTTAGCAAATCAAGCAGCCTCCTCTTAGCAAGCATTTATTATACAAAATAGCCCTATACTCTGCTAGTAACCTCTAGTAATTTTTTACATAACGGAGGGATATATATGTATGCGATTAATTAATTGTGAAAAACATATAATAAAACTGTTGAAAATCGGAATTTATTGGCAGCTGCAATGTTTCTAACTCATAATCCCAAATTTCAATTGGATACTTTAATTTCTATGACTTTCCCGCAATACAGTAATTAAGGCAAGTTTTTGAAAATTTTTCAGCAACATGCAATGTCAAATTGATTGAATATCAATGAAGAAAACATATGGCATATAAATATTCATAAATGGGAAGTTATTCTATTACTTTCTCAAGAAATATGGACAGCTCTTTTATATACCTATGACCAAATTATTGTTAAAAAATGTTATTCTGATTAGGAAGCTATAACGTTATTAAAAAGACTTTCTTCCTAATTACCAAGATCCGAAATATAATTAGATAAGTAAATTAGAGCTTTCATTGAAAGAAAAAGAGAGCAAAGATAACAATATAGTACCACATCTATTCAACATACAGTATTAACCATTTAATATTAATTATTTATCGTGAACACAAGAGATGTGTAGTGAATTTAAGGCAGGCTGTTGTATACTCTGTTCATTACGTACACTATCATGAAATATTTATATTTCTTTTTCTTCCTATAATCACATCATTGCTATTTATTTTATTTTAATCTTGCTTCAACATACTTTACTTCTGTGAACTATCTAAAATGACTACAATTCCATTACTTTCGTAACTGTCGATACAGGCTATTAATACGAAAGCAAAACTTGTACTTTTAATATGTAATTTAAGGTTACTCGCAATAAATTTATTACATTTCATAAAAAAAAATCACGATTGATATGCTTATACGAACTGCAGTAATGAGCATAAAAATCTTTTTAAAACGTGACTTATTCAAAGGAATAAGATAGCCAATCCAATTATCCTTCTTCTATTATTTTAATCATAATGGAGTTTACGGTCACCGAAGTCATATTTATGAAAATTAGCATCTCTGCTATTATATCCAATTACGCTAATGTTAGAAAGTATTGTATTTAGTTATTTTTCTAAAATAAGATTGTTACGCTTTCTTTACCAAGTTATGCTATGCATGCATAAATGAATAAACATTTAGATCAACTAATCCAAATGCTTTGCTTGTCGACTATTGTCATAGAGTGAACTATTGACTGTAACTAATTTGATGTGAAGCATTCAATACTGTAGTAAGATATTAAATTTATTAAGATAGGTGTTTAAATACGGTTTATATTGCATCGTTGATTACATAGAAACGAGTATGAAGTGTGTTTAATTCTTGTGTTATTGCTTTCGATAAAACTATTTTGTATGCGGCTCTCTCAGAAACCTCAACTTTGATTTCTAAATTTGTGTAAGAAAAATATTATTATCATCGAAGTCTCGTTTTCAATCTTTATGCAGTTGTTTGATTCCGATTGGCCAACCTCACTTCGTGTATCGCGTTATGTATGATATTCGTATTGCTGTAAAACATGTATATTGTCATATAAGGCTTTTAGCTATTAATAATAAAAGTAGATATAGATCGTGCGGTGTTAAGGTAACTTTACTGGATGAGTATTACTGAGGCACTGCTTGTTAAGTAATTCCTTATCGATACTGCTCCAAGTGTAGGTATAGAGAGTACCACATTTTTGGACCTGGCGATTTCTTTTTGTTACAAAGAGCTGAAAGTAATAACTATATACTCCCAGTTTGTCTTTAATAAATGAAATCCTAAACACTTCATTTATAAGATTGCGCATGTCTTTTCTCGCTAATTAGACAATAAATAACTGACTTCCATTTACATTATTCTAACTTTAAACACACATTAATAATATGGTCAGCTAGCAAGATTCTTAACAAAAATTTTTCCCAAGAACGAAAAATAGATTAGAGATATGAACTAATTAAATTTAATTAGCAATTGTTACAATAGCTATTTATTATAATAAATGACGTCTTTTCCAGAAATTTAAACCGTCTTCTATACTTTATGTACTTCTGATTAAAATAAATTTTAATAGGATACTTGCATTACAACAGTAGTGCCGGTCCAGTACTTTAACGTAAGCCAAGCCTTCCACATTCATAATTTCAGATTAGCATCGTTACCGAGATGTTCTTGGAAATGAAAGTGATCAATATGGTGCTATTTACTATTCAAAGTTTACTACTGCTTGGTTTACTAATTCCAGGTGAATTCGGGTAGTTGTATAATTCATTGAATCTTTAAATTATGTAGCATTCTCCTTGAAGCGATATACTACTATTAATTAGACGTGATGGAATTGATATATAATATAACGGAGCAGTTATCATAACTGACTTGATTTTAATAGACTTTCACTGTAAGACTATTTATTGTATACAGTATATATATAGATTAAATCAAGGCTATATTGTGATATTTTTTCAGAAATTCATACACTACAATGCGGGAATTCAGCTGCTAGTCTTGATGCATCGCAGTTTTGTGATTGCAAATTGCACTGTAAAAACGGATTCGATGAAGTCAATTGCGGTAAATCGTATTAAAGTAAATCAATTTAGAAATCGAATCTTATCTGCATGAAATATTTGCTCAATAGGCGTAATTATTTCTCACGCTAACATTTTATACGGAAAATTGCATTAGTGTTTAAAAATCGAAAGTAAATAAAACGTTTTCTCGTATCGGCAACTGTGAAGTTAGCCAACTTTTGAAGTATAAATTGCTAACCATTTTTAGAATAGTATCTTGCAGTCTGTAAAATAATCTTAGCGCATGAAGAACTAGAGTATCGATAATCGTTTTTCCACTAACAAGACAAGGCAGTGAGTGACAGATGATAAAAATCCATGCAAACAGATTAGTTATCCATCTATTTAGTTATGGATATAGTGTCGTGTTGTAGTTAGAGGATAATGATAATTGCATAAATATATTAGCTTTTGCTATATTAACTGGTAAACTTCCCGCTTGTAATATTTAGCATAATAGTAATTTTTTATCATATAATTTCACATTTATGGACATATACTAACACTTTGATTTTTAGTTATTTTTGTCATACACGTAAAATTAGAATAACTATAAATATTAAAAACAATTCTGTAGAACGATCTATTTGCGTTATGCCTTCATCAAATATAACGTTAGCTACGGTTGACTACTATGTTAAGATGGGTGAACATAAAATGAAGTAGAATACCACAAGATAATTGAAGCTACAGATACTGAAAAGATTGTATTTAAATGCGATATTAGATGATGTAAGAGTCCTTTCTAAAAATGTTACCTATAAAAGTATTTGGCTACAATCTGCTTAAAAAAGCTTGTTCTGCTAGCTTAATTCATCGTGTCAAGCTCATAATAAGTTTTATAATAATAGATTCTGTTGTTGCTTCTTTATTGACTGAGATATTACATCATTATACTGTATAGCCAACTCTGGCAGGCTGAAAAATTTCTTATAACAACGTTTCTTAAAAATCAAGCATAAAACACATACCCTACAGAAATAGTATAACCGACTAAATATGATAATTAACTTATTTAGAGCATACCTAGCTAAAAATTTAGAGCGAAAATTCTTAAACTTATAGAACTTAGTATGCGATGAAATCTTCTTTGTCGAAGTTCGCCACAGTGCTACTCAATAGTAAGAATCACATTTCATCAACATGAGGTCATACTGACTATCCAGCTCTTCTATACTAAGATATGAAGCTGCAATTTTTTATTTAAAAATTAGCTAATTTACAGAATTGCTGCATGAGCATCCGTTATCAATGTTCAGTTAATACTAAAAATTCAATGGCTCATGTATATTTGCAAAATCTCATTGATCAATTATTATGATTGAATTTCAGCTATCTAATGATAGCGGCTGATTTGAATTTACTAGGTAACAATGATTAATTTATTACAAACAAACTTAATCTATTCTAATTAAATCTCGACATAGCTAACAAGGTAGAATGCTTTAGAAAATAAATTCAATAGTGTTTATATTTGCTTTATAAATTTACTTTAGTATCCATGGATATTGCAGCTATTAAAAATAGCGCGTTGAATTGTACGAAAGATTCTTGCTCAATTAAAGATGGAATGTATTATGTAAAAGGTATTGTAACTCTTCATTCATTCAATGGAGGATTATCTGTAACAATTATGGATTATTGTTGAATATTAACTAACCCTATTATACATATTAAACTAAGTATGTAAGCCATTTTCGTGCCCTTTATGGAAAACATCTAGCAATAATAATGTATCCCTACCACAGATAGTTTGTCGTAAGTTGATATTGTTTTCCTACGCAGTATTTAATTTAAAATAATCCATAAGTTATCTACATGTGAAGGCGGTGAATTAGGCCATATGCGATCTAATTAATTTTTACTAAATAATTAATAAAAAGATTGGGAAATTTTTATGTTTGTATGTTCTAAAGTTTACAGTTACGTCTTTCTGAC